TTAAAGCCATTGTTTCCTTGATTTGTCCGTTGTTTGGATTGAAAGGAATGCCAAGCAGGAATTGACGTAACCATCCGTGGTAGGAGTTGATGTGTTCTAGTGCTCACGGTATTCCTTTTGTTTAGCTGTAATTTTAAATGAATGCGATATTTTCTTGTAATTCAGTATCTCAACGTCGTCGAAGTTAAGGCATATGAATACGTATTTCCAGATGTAATATTTTTGTCCCCTGATACAAAGAAACTTGAAATGAGAGATTTTTTTTTTTTTCATTTTTCAGTCAAGGCAGTGCCTGAAGGTGAAACGTTGCAAGAAACTAAAAGCCTTATCGATCAAGGGCTATTTTTGAAAGCAGGGTCAAATTAGCTACCGTAACAGCACTGTAAAAGTATCATGTGAAGGACACCAAGATGCCTATCTCGTTGGGCGTATGACACACACAACCCATCGAGATGGAAACATAGAGTAGGGGAGGGCCGGAGGACTGCCGCGCCTTATGAACGCCTCCCTCTGGGGGATTTTGATTTTTGACCCCTAAGCATCAGCCTCGCTAAGCTGCGGCAGCAGAACATTACATCGGCTCATGTAATACCCATCATTTATGGAATGAAGCGAGAGATCTAGTGTAAAAAGGTGACAGTTGCAGACAGACTTGACATAACACTTTACAATTTTACACCAAATTTAAGAGAGAAAAGTCTTGAAATGGAAGTTGTTGCACATTGTACAGCCTCTAATGAGCTAATGACCAAATGCTCTGGTGCTCAGCGACTCTGCTGAGGGCTGAAGGCCTCCCCTACTGTTGGCTCAGAGGGCTATCGCTTGTTATGTCCATCACTGATGGACAAATGATGCATGCCGCTCAACCCAACCCCACCCCCTCTCCAGCCCACCAAGGTGACCTGAAAGGGCTCTGTCAGCATATTACCCCATCTGCAAATGAGACTGGCTGACTGGACTGGCAAGCAGGAAGTTTCCTCTGCATACGTTAACATCTTCCTCCCGCAAAAAGGGTCTTTGGTGTGTGCACTTTGCCTCAGATGGGAGATTATGAGCTGACTGCTGATTTGCTTATTCCCACCAAAAGACCAAAACTGTAATTCTACGGAAGTGTCTTAGGCCTAATATGTTATATTGATCCATTGCTGTCTAAAACAATTAAAATTATTGAGTCACGCCACTGGGTTAATGCTCTAGTTACTTTGATCTCCTTATGATTTTAGGGTCGAGTTCTGACACATCAATGTCAGAATCCAGGCCAACTAAATACAGCATAACACTGTATCAGTTTCTATTAGTGGGCAAGTGGATCACAGGTGCCGTTAGTTATCACTTCTAGTGGCCCCTCTTCTGGAAAGTTCTCAGGACGTTACGGTGTATACATGTTACAAACAATACCTGTCAAGTGGGCTCAGGTGAAACTAGATTTGGACCACTGTCGGCGATTGAGTTAGTCTGTTCCCTTGTTGGGGATCTCTCAGTAAAATGCCTGTCAGCGTCAGGTGCTGAAATAACTAATAAAACCTCTGCAGATATACAGGAGGGGCCAGTTGAAAAAAAGCAGAAATCTGGGCTCAGACAGGGTGGAACACAGAGGACCCGGTGCCTCACATCCACGCAAGAAGGAAGCAAGAAACTTTGTTTCATGGTTTGTTGCAATCTCAAAAACAAACAACCTTGCTCAGACTTTCGTTGTTTGGTGTAGAACAAAACCAGCTTTAATCCGCCTGGAACAGAAAAATTCCTATTTGATCAGGTTGGAAGGAGATTATTATTCCACCTCTTGTATTTACTCAGCTACCGCATTACGTTCCACATGCACAATCTAAATTGAATCTGGTGAATAAGTGAATAAATGTTATCATTGACTGAAGAAAAGAAAACGACTTTACAATCCACGGAGTTCTGCTACGCGACAATGTTCCTGATCAAACGTAGCTTTGGGTGATTACATTCACTTGCAAAAATGACACTGCAGTTTTTGTTCCCCTTTTTGTCTCCCCAAAGCCGGAGTCTGATTGGCTCATTTAAGGGGGGAGTAAGAGGAAGCAATTTTGGCTTAGTCCTGGTGAGCATTGCCTTGTGGGAAATCAGCGTCGTGGCAGCTCCTGTAATTAGTTCTGCTTGTTAGAAAAATGAAGGGGTTACTAATTAGCAAGTGGATGGCTTCTTGACTTGTTGTGCATCTTTTCCCTCCTTTCCTTGAAGATCATCATTATCGTCTCCAGGCAAACTGGAGAGAGAGAGACGGAGAGAGAGAGGCAGAGTGGGAGAGAGAGGGAGAGATGCAGCTCTATCGTGCTGCTCAACAGTTTAGCTCACGCACAATGAATCTAGATGGACAAATCTGTCATGCTCTTACAGACGGGCTGCCCACTGTAAGCACATGTAGGCAGACGCCTGCAGCTCTGCAAGATTGCATTTTGCAAGATTGCGTAAAAAGCCAGGCAGTGAGGTTGTCACAAATCTGTACATGCACAGGTTTACAGATGCTATATTTAAAGAATATCCGCAGCTTCTGCAGTTTCAACACGTACGAATGTATTAGGCAATGTCTGCCTGGCTTAAACGTGTTCTTTGCATTACCTTGTGAAACCATTTAAACACCACGTTTAGGGCCGGTATTATTTTTTTAACTAATAGTTAAAGTAGGGGTGGGGCATATATCAATATTACATTGATATAATCTAATTTATAATTTCAGATTTCCCTGTTTTTTAAGGCTGCATTACAGTCAAGTGGTTCACCAGCTGTTCGATATTTATCTGCCTAGTGAAACTAGTAGAACCTATTTTTTGCTATGTCAATCATGGTACAATATAACTATTTCATCAATATGTTCAAGACTTGAGTTAAAATAGCTTTATATTTAGCATACGAGTGTGTAATTGGCCTCTTTTTCTTGGAGTTACATCCCAAAAATTGTTTTTGCATTTTTTTCCCCCCAAGAAGTTTATGTTCACTTCCACTTGTGGTGGTTTGGCAGCTGTATCTGTCTTCCTAGCTAAAGTTAAGTTCAGGGTTTATATTGTATCAATTTAAGTTTTGAGACAATGCTGCAAATTCAAATCATCCAGAAATAGACTCCTTTCGTGCACGCAGATTACATATGAGCAGACTTTTAATCCATCTCTGATGTTTGAAAGCCAGGACTTCAACATTTCACCAATGAGTGCAGATTCCTGCGAAAGCCCCCCTCATCTTTAAGCTGTGGGCAATTTGAGTGTCGAAAGCGGAAGTACTTTTGCGTGATGTCACACTCTCGATCGATAACCCTCCGTGACACGGCCGTTACATGTTCGCGTCTGTAGAGGGACATTTATCTCCTTCAGCTGATCCGCTTCCAAGAATGATCCTAATGTGACATTACGTAAGGCCTGGAAGGCAGAGCCGCTGGTATTAGAGAACACACAAACTCCAGAGAACATACTAATCTCCCTATGTGATTATTAGTCATAATATTTAACGCTGGCTTAATGAGCGACCCACGGCGTAATCTCTATCTGGCACATTCACCTATTCTCTGCTAACCGTCCTGACTTTGCCTTCGAGGAGGGTGATAGGGAGTTAAATAGAATAATTACACCTCATGTGAAAAGATATGAAATGTGGAAAAATGAGGTTATGGCTGTATCTCAGGAATAACTCTGCTCCTGCAAAAATAAATTGGCAAATGTTTCATTTCGGGTCTCTCATTTCTGTAATTCTTCTGTAGCTATACAGAGAAAAATCTAATGTATGATAAATCATGAGCTGTTAAACAGAAACAGTGGGACACGGTGGTTACTGACAGTCACAATGACTGCAAAATAACTAGCCATGGATGATCAAGTAAAGAGGAAATGGTTTGGTTTAGTCAATTCAGAATCAACATCAGCAAAGAAAAGCTATGCAATATATATTTTTTAAATCAAGAAATGTGTGGAAGCTTTCACCTCATGAACCAGAGTTGTCATCAGACTCCTTCATCCTGAATCATCATCAAGATCAATGCAGTGCAGCAGCATTTTGCTTCCACACACAAGTGCCTCCACATTTCACATTTCATTTCAACATTTTTGTCCAAAAACTGTGTAGGCTGTGAAACAAAAACCTCGATATTCTAAAATCTCAACCAGGGCTTTGTGTTGATTCCTAGAAACGAAGACCGTAAGCGACTGATATTTGATGCACTCACGCAAACACGTTTTTGGGGATGAAGTGAACGCAGTTCAGTCAGGCACTTGGTGAAAAGCTTTTTGTTTCAAAAATAGATGTTACAGTATACTGAAAATGCCAAACGGGCCCGCTGAGAACGATGGCAGAGAATTGAGTGATTGTGAAAAGACTTTTGTAGGATCTGACACTCGCCCACTCGCCCACTCGCAGCACGTTCAGACTGGAACCACTGGACCTGCATCACTAAGCCTTCGTGTGGAGCATTCCGGTCAAAACTAGGCTTTCTTTACTAAAGGAAATAGTTTTTATTCAAAAGAAATGTGCTTGTGAGGCCTGTGAAAAGAACCAGCTGCTTCCTCTAGTTCCCATGCTTTGTGCTAAGCTAACCGAACCGGCACGAGCTCCATGGAAATCATACAATTAGCATCTAGCATCTCCTCAGCTAGCTCGTGGCAAGAATGTGAAGTGTATGTGCCAAAGTGCTATTTTATCCTCTTTGCAATTTCCATTCTCTCTACTTTTCACTGTGAGCACCAATATACGCCTGTGGATGTCCCTCACTCCCAGGAGTGAAATTTAATTGAAATTTTTGAGGAAATTTGAAGGAAAAAGAGACAATGTAATCCAGCCCGGCTTGTGGCTGCACAGAAGTGGGCAGGAATCTGTTCCTCAAGTCGTGTCTACTTACATCACAGTCAGTCATCACCATCAGTTTAACTGTGCTGTAATGTCTCCCACTATCGTCTTTTCATCTCGTCTGCGTGGTTGTGCGCGGCATGCTTCACATCTTTGTCCTGTTTTCTCTTTCTCTCCCCCTTTTACTTCTACTTCTCTCTGTGTTGGATGAGAAGGCAATTCCTACGACCCCAGAAGATGACAGCAAGTTGTCGGTAGGTCCTGTCTGATTGACACTCTTCCAGTCTGCGTATGTGTTTGTCCCTGTTTTTTGTGTAGATGTCGCAGCGTAACTTTCTGTTTTCTCCCGACCATACTGTGAAGACGTGTACGCAGTTATCTCCAACTCTCCGCCTCCCTGTGTGCAGAGAAGTAGCTCTGTCGGTTTTCCTCCGCAGTAACATTTCGTACGCAGCATGCAAAAGACAACCCGTGGGAGGAGCATGCGCTTGGATATGACAGACTCCCCTTGTGCTCTTTGTAAAGTTCTTTTTATCCGGATTGCAAGGGAAGAAGATAAAAGGCAGCAGCAGAAGGAGAATCTGCAGGGTCACGCCGAGATGCCGCATCTCACGCAAGCCCTGCCAGTCTGCGCGCGCCCTCCCCAGAGCCTCCCGCTCGCACCCATATGGGCCTGTGAATTAGCATCCGACACCTCCTGCGCCTACGCGTCACCTGCGGCGGGCAGCCAAAGGCGGACACGTTCCAAACAGCTTCCGCTCTGCAACGGCGCTGAAATACCCACAGTTCTCAAGTTCAGTTTCAACTGCGGGAGTGACCTTGGCGAGGGTCGTTTCGGTGGAGAGGGCTCGTATGGCTCCTAACGCCCATCTCAACCCGTGGGGTTTATATTTTTCAGAAGCTAAGACACTTTATAATAGTTTAACTGGTTTGCAGGTCCCACGGACGTTTTTTATGCAAAAGAGGATTAGGGAATCATATTCCAAACAGCTTGGATTAGAAATGGTAAAGTGCTTACAATTGATGCTTGACACAGCAGTTAAAAGCAGCGTCTGTGCTTTATGACAGGAATAAGAGGGAGCAGTTGGACTTAAAAAAAATGTGTGATTGACGTCTTGTTTCGACTCTCACAGGCCAGGCCTCGGCTTCAGAGGGGAGGCAGTTCCGCCTCCCTGCACAACAGCTTGATGAGGAACAGCATTTTCCAGCTGATGATTCACACGCTGGACCCTTTGAGTGAAGGTAAGACACTCGGCACGCAGAAAACTCTAGGTTTCTAACTCGCAGGATTAACGGCATCGATGTTCCCGTCTTTGTCTGTGAATTCCTCCATTTTCAGGTTGATGTTGCCTTGGATGTGTCATCCTTCTTGTCTTTTTCATTGAAAATAACCTAAATCGTGCTTTCAGGTGGATCCAAAATAGACCTTTACAGGCAGAAAACCTATGGCCCTATAAAAAAATATGCTCATATGCTGGACTCTAACTTCAATTCTCTCAATGAAAAACATCTCTGAGCATCCATCCACTGTGTTTTTGAGTTTTTGGTCCAACTGAAAAAGTGTTGGCTTTCATGCAAGTGCCCCGTATTAAGTATCCCTTCAATTCCAGTGAATCCATCATTAACATTTGGAATGTACTTCCATCCGGAATTTACTTGATCCCTCTTTTTGAATAGTCCGTACGGGACAAGGTTCTGTGTCAAAGCACAGCTGAGATGTTGAGATCATTTGATTGGCTAAGCTAAAGCAAAACGTAAAACCGCAGTGTCAGTGCTCGACGACGCAGGGGATGAATATGTTAGCACACCGGAGGGAGGTGCAGTGTCATCCCATTAATAATCCACTGCGGAAAAAAAAGTTCACATTAACGGGAAGCGACACCGGTCTGATGGAATTTGTCGTTGCAGTTTTTGGGGGCTTTCACGATTCGAAAGTCTTGAAATTGTGAAGGTGTATCTTGTGATGTGATGAATCCTAACCCTTAAAAAGGATGTGAATGTTGAATGCTAATTCCCCTGTGTTTTAACCCCCCCATTTGATTAAAACCATCAGTACCAGTGTTACGACAGATAAATTACCACAGGATAAGGCCAAGTAGAGATTTATAAGCCTGAAACAATGCTCAGACTAAATAAATGCCCTATAGATGGATGCGATTGCATTAGCAGATGTTTCAGCTTTCTCTGAAAATGACCTCACATTCCTTGAAAGCCAAATGAGTCAGCGCACTTGATGTACGTCCCCATTAACGTACATCAAGTCGCCGTGCACTAAATCCAAAGTGTACCGTTTCCCAATGTGTCCATCTTACCGTAAACGTCTCAGTGATTGAAATATGAATCATTGCCAAGTCTGCGTGGCGTGTTGCATATGTTCAACACAAGTGTTTTACACACTCCACCCTGCCACTCTTTGTGGAGGCATATGGAGGCATATATCATTCGGTCCCTTGGGGAGCAACTAACGTGTATTTATGTCTAACATATGCAACGGTTTGTTCAACCGCACGATTATCAGGACTGTGCAAACGTCTAAAGCCACTGTTTATGTGTGGGTCTTAATCACTACCAGTCTAGCAAACAGAATAACTATGTTGATACAATTTGTTTATGAATAGATCTTCCCTAGTGGTGGATTGGAATAGTCAAGCGGTGCATTTCAGTACGAATGCAGCACAAATTGTGAAGACGTTTGTCCAGATTTGACTGACAAGTCTTTTGGCACGTTCCTGACTGGAAATGTATTCACTGAAGCAACGGCTACAGTGAGACACGACTCACGGATTTAATTCATTGCCCGAGAGAACAAAAGCGACACTTTGCTTATTATTTTTTTCATTTCCATCTCAAACGTAGGACATTTTCACACTTGCAGCCACATTTAACGATGGTATTGGTCTTGAGTGCACCTTAGCGAGCACTCATCACGTGCCTCCTTCGTTTGATGAATCCTTTGATCCATTCTGAAATGCACATTTAATGCGATCAGTAATGCAAAGAAGGATCTTGTTGGTGAGCTAGCGGCCTGGAGAGAGACGAGCAGTTGCGTCCATCAAAGATTGTCCTTGCGTGCTCTTAGGCTTTGAGTGTAGCTCAGCGGAAGCCGGGAGGGGAGCTGCCAGGACTCCGTCCATACATTTTTTATGGACATTTCTCAAAATAAAGTTGTCTTCTCGTCTGAGGGGGAGGTCTGAGGTTGTTTTGCTGGTGTTGGGAACTGGTAACGTTTGTGTTGCTGTACGGAGTACAGTTTTTCCTGGCTTAAACGCTGACTCTGTTTTATGGCTCCCATTGTTGAAATAAAATAATTGTACCCAGTGATATCACAGCTATCAGTGATACATGTAAGGAGGTTTTTCATTTATCTACACTTGTGTGTGTGTGTGTGTCAGTATGTGTGCGGAGATGCATGTGTGTCTCCCTTAGAAAGGAACAATTATAAAAGCTTGTGTGCTTTCACCATGAGAAATGGAGGAGTTGATTTATACCGTTCTTATACCTGTTACTCACTCTTACCACCTCTCAAATCTCTCCATAAACATCTGCTTCTGTCTGAGAGTTCTCACATCTTTCACTCATTGCTACTTTGCACAAAGGAGACCAGACAACGTCTCAACGAGGGGGTTCCAGTCAGCTAATTGGCTCATTCTTGAAAGTTGCTCGGGACAACAATCGGCATCCATGGGAGCCCAGAGAGCATGTGCACCTTGTTCTCAGGCTCATTCATGCGAACAGGGGAATGAAAAACACTCTGATTTCAGATTTGTTGCATTTTACAAACTTTTTGGACTGTATCTTGCATTGTTTGTACAATAATTTGTTTTGAAGCGAAATACAGCCTCGTGGACGTTTGACTCTCATCTTGGAAGAATGTAAGGTACCACACTAAATATCACCTGGATTTATCTTTTCTCTTTGTCTTCCTATCTCTCTTTTCACTGTCCCCTCAGAATTTGCTGACTCTGGTGAGTTACTACTCTAATTTCTGTACCCCGCCCCCTTTCCCCCAAAAATATGTCTGTTCTCATTCCAACAGCCTGGAGGCAGCTCTCTTGCCCGACGTGTCCCCTCTGTATACATCCCCCCCAGCGCCGCTGTGCCGTATGCCAATTCTGTACTGTCCATCCCCGCAGACTGTCTCCTTCAAGTATCTCATTCTCTTTTGTGGATGTATTCTCCTTGGAAACCCTTTGTGACCATTTCTGCATTGTTTTCTCCATTGTCCCCAATCCTCTCTCTCCTCTTATGAACTTATTTCAGTCCTGGTTTTGTAACGTTGCTCTTTACAGTGGGACTGGAAACGATTTTGGTGTCTCCTGTCATGTTGTCCTCAAGCTTCTGGTTTTGTGAAGGTGTTTTACCTTGTCGGCATTAAGCTAAACATGGCAGTGGTGGAGTGAGAAGATGTAGATTCTATGTGGTATGTCTCTCCACCTGACAACGTTGTGCTTGGCTTGTGAATTTGTTTATTGGGTCGGATGAGAAAAGTTGCCAGCTGTTTTCTCAATCCTACCCTCATGCACTTTGTCAGGATTGAGAATCAATAAGAGCTGGACGCAGCAATTAATTGCTGTGGACTTAAATGTGTTTCCCTCTTTTATAATTAGCAGTTTCTTCCAAACTGTAATTGATTTAAGTATTCCCGTGCTCTTTAGACACAGTATATTATTTAGTATCCGCATTCAGATCAACAGCTCTTTTGTTATGTTCCATCTCCCTCGGTTCAATAAAATACCTCTAATCCTGCATGTTTTTCATTGGACAGAACACGGTAATAGTCTGGTACAGTTAGTTCCCGGCACAAGTGCCCACATCTCTGTCTCCATCAGTGTAGAGCTACAAACAATATCACTTAGGAGTGGCATCAAATATTGAACTACAGAGAGAGTCGGAGAGTTCAAAGTGGCTGCCTGAGCTCTCAGTGGATGGGCGAAACAAGCCTCCCCAAAAACAGCACTCAGAATTCAGACTGTGTGCATGCCGACCCCTCCATGAGATTTATCACCCTGAGACGTAAACTCTGGTGGTGAGCGTAGCCATGAGATCGCTCACATGTGGCCTTGGACATCGTTGTTGAGGTACAGTATTTTTTATTGAGCGGACGCTTCCACCAAGGAAATCAGTCGCAGCAGCGGCGGCTGCGATTTGTGTGTCTTTTTGTCAGGGCGTGACTTACACCCGAACCCGGAAAGATGAATCTGTTTACTAAGAAATTAAGGATTTTTTGGATGCTTTTTCTATGCTGTGACTTTCCAATTATTTTAACAGCCGTTAATTATGAATATGTAGATCCATTCGTCTAGCCAACATTTCCAGTTTGCCCCATTCTGCCTGTCCCCCCCCTGCCACCAGTGTTGCATGTGTGATGACCCAGGGCCCCATCGATCACACGGTTCAATAAATAAGTCCCTGTTACTGACCTTGCTCCCCTTGTGCAATGGAAATATATTAACTATTCATGCAGATATAAAATATTGACATCCTGAATACTGCAGTCTAAGCAACTGCATTACATTTAACACCAACTTCAACATCACAGAGACATTTTTTTAATAGTATGATCATAATGTGTATTGGAGAAATGAAATACTGTATTTGCAAAGTAACGAGGCATTAATCTGACCTCTTATTGTCAGTAATTGTTAAAGCAAACCTATTAATGTTTCATATGTTTAGCATTAATATTTGAATGCAGAAAAAGTGGCCACGTACAGCCATAATCGCACTTCCAGCATGTTATGTAACCGAGACCAGTCAACCAGAACCGATCAACGCATCATCCCTCTAACTCGCACACACGTCATGCCGCAACCGGCAGCCTCTAAGCTCGCGCTGCGCCGTGCGTGTGAAGAATCAATGTTAAAAGCCTTTTTGCTTCGGCGCAGACTGTGAATTTCCGTGACACCTCAACCCCCAGCCGTCAGAGTGGGAATGCGCACACACACACACACACACCGTGCTCTCTAGCACACTGCTCACTGGAGGTTTAGAGGTCAAGCCACAAGGACAAGAGGGCCCCTGGTAAACAACAACAAGCCTCCCCCAGACGATTGTGCGGGCAGTGATTGTCGTTGAGGGTTAATTGCCCCCCAAGCAACCTCTCCGTTAGCTGCCCGGTGATGCTGCACTCCAAACGCAAATAGGATGCGTTTTCATCTCATTAGATTGTGTTTCCAGGACTGCCAAGTCTTGCATTTGGCATGACGTCCTCGTCATAATCCTGTCTCGTGTGAGTGGTCGCCCACTGATGGATATTAGTGTGAATGCATGTGTGTTTGTGGAGACTGTTATTTACTCTTCTTACTGTACTGTACGCCTACTACGTGGAGAAAAGCTGTGCTTGTGAAGAGAGTACCCAAGTTACAAACGTATATTTTATTCTTTAACCTTCATGCAAGCAGAAAGTCTCTCCATGAATTGTCTCTTTTACAAGAGAGGTCTGGCCAAAGTGCCACTGCAATGCACCAAACATGGTGGTAAAATCATTTTTTATTCCTATATAGGTCAATAACGTAGGGCTTTTTTAAAAGCGGTTCATTTATTCAGACTGCATGTATGAATGTGGCATTTTTAGGGCAGTGTCACAAATGAGGTTTGTCATTCCAGCCCCAGCTTGTGTTGTAGAAAAATGCAGTTTTACCATAGTTTAGAAAAAGCTATTTTTTCCATCATTATTATCTATGATTATGATTTGGTCGACAAGGCTTTAAATAGGAGAAATATGTTGGAAGTTGAGCAAGAATGGCTTTCAAAGTTTGAATCTTCCTCCTTCCTGGTTTCATCGAGGTCGATCCAATTGGCAAACGTCTATTATAGCGATGAGCCGGAGTCGACATTCAAAATAAAGCATTTAGAAACCACCAGAGTTAAGTGAGGATATGTAATAACATCTGCAGTAAAAAAAACAACAACTCATCGAGCAGTTAGTTATCACGTAGAAACGGGCACAGCAGCTCCAATGCAAAGCACAGCGCGGCGGGTGGAGCCTTGTGGCCCCGGGTCTTCTGTCCTGAAGCTTCACGTTCAGCTGTTGCTGCAGGTTTGAATTCCCGGCTAATTCATCAGGCAGATGTGCTGACCGTCTATTTACAGTAGCACAAAGAACTGCTTCACTAAGGGAATCAAATGAATTGTTTGGGTTTCATTGTGGAAATAAAAAACGCAGAATCAACACGCCTTTGAATGAGCTCGCGTGAAGAGGAGAGGAGGACTCATCTTTTTGTTGCATGTTGACCCAGTAAATTCTCTTGACTTTCCTTTTTTTTTTAAATTATTATTATTTTTTGTTACATATATCATTGTATGAACTTGTAATTGTGCGCTCTAGTGTTTTGACAGCCCCTTCCCCCTCCCTTTCTCTCAAAAATTTTCTGTCGTAGCTCTCCAACCTGTGCCGTTTGCAGGCTGTGCATCAGACTGTGTTAAACTACGATGTGTTTTAGTTGTGATTCCACCTTTGCCACTTTGTTTTGCACCTCTGCAGTGATTGACTCTGAGAGACTTTGTCTCTCTGTATGTCACTCCTTGTGCCCGTGTGAGTGCTTGTACAAAATGTGATGTAGAACCAGCGGACCTGTCTTGTTGTCATGTTCACTCTTTTCCTTTTCTCTGTTTGTTCGTTGCCTTACCCTTGTCTTTGCTGTGATGTTGTAGAGCTTGGGGACTTATGGGAAACTAAAATATTATCACTCAATGACTGAGGAAGGTAAGCCTGAAAGTTTTCACTTGATTCTTTGAGTCCGCTTCTGTTATCCCTCTTGCTTTTTCCTCCATCTTAATCACGAAAAACGCTCCTCCAATTCTTTTTTTTTTTTTTTTGCTTGCGACATAACGTAGTTTGTTTTGTGTTTTAAGTTTGACAACCTCTGAGGTTTCTCTGAAAAAAGTGCAAATCACAAAGTCATTTTATTATTTATTTCATAATTTTTCTTTTTTCAGAGAATATGTACAAACAAATGATGTAATACTGTGTGTAGTGCTTCTGTGGGTTTTAACCTATTCATTAGTGAGATATTGTCGTACTATGTTGTTTATGTTGGATTGTGTGAGAAAGCCACTGCTTCATTGAATTATTAGTTTTATTATTATTATGCAAATAAAACTACCGACACAAATGGACCACACACCATCCCCTGAAACACGAGGCACGAGGTTTTCTCTTCTCTTTCTTCTTCTTCTTCTTCTTTGGCCCCGTTACCCATCCGCACTTTGGAGAAATGCATCACCCACCATGCCTCGGCGCTCACTTGGAGGTTTCACTTGTACCAGCGGCGGCGGCTGCACCCATGTAAGACGAACGTTGCTGAATTTGTCAAACTGGAGTGACTCATCCACCCAGTAGTTGCGTAACAAACAGAGCCGACAGTGAAAAATGGGCGGCTGTGTGACAGCGGCTCGCGCTGAGCAGAACCCGGTCACTCTCACAGACTCCCGTTTGAAACTACAAAAAGCTTTATCAAGGGATGGGGAGCTAGAGGGGTAGTCTTGAGGAGAGAGTAAATGTGGCAGTTTACCCAAGTTGCAAAAATATAATTTATTTATTTAAGCTTTATATAAGCAGGAAGTCTCTTTTATAAGAGGGATTTGGCCAAAGTGCCACTGCAAGGCAGTTATGTGGTGGTAAAAAGATTTGCTTTTTATATATAACTTAATATAATAGGGCTTATAGAGGTATAAGGCGGATATCTTATGTTATTATTATTATACATCTTATTATTACATCTTGATATTCTTCAGAACACATTACCTATTTTGAATCAAAGACATCTTGATAGCATCTTGAATAATGGTTAGCTGCTCTAAATAACTATGCCTCAAGTGCTCTCTACCTTTTATAGATCTTTGTATATCTAATTTAACTGAATCAGAAAACATGGCAGAGGGGTTTTCTTCAATATTCGAGAATTTAGTTTGAATCTTGTCAAAAAACGCCCCACCCAACTGCTTGTATTCCCAAGCAGAGACCATGATCTCACTCCCGCATCTGTATAAATGGACAAACGGGCACAAAACCCACTGACAATGGCCGCGTAAGGTGAGTGATGTCAAGGCAGGGGAATTTTTGATGGTGCCGTTTAGTCAAAATGTACATCTTATGTGTGCGTATGTCTTCTGGGAGCATGTGCGTGTCTGAAAGAAAGCGAGCCAAGGAGGGGTTGTGCGTAGACACCAGATCGAGGTGAGAGAATTGTGTTTTGAAGAACACAGAGGAGCGGGAAAAAAAACGGAGCGATGGAGAGCTGAAGAATTAGATCGAGGAGACGGGAGGAAGGCCGGGGGGTGACTTAGGGTGGTTAATGATTTTGCTAGAAGGTCACAGACAGCGTTGACATGGTCGGATAGAGTATGTATCGACGCGTCACTGTCAGGCGCTGACAAATCAGCCATGCCCTCTCCAAATAAAAAAATAAATGAAATCTTTCACATTGATTACAGTCGAGTACATTGCAACAACTAACACGCACAGGAAGTCTGTGGAATTAAAAAAAAAGAGGTTTCACTCATGGAATGCCTTCCGAAGCCATTAAATATTTACATCCCCTGCGTATTACATGGGAGCATAAATACCAACGCTACACAAGCTGTGTGCATATGGTGTCAAATTTCTTCTCGTCTGAGTACTTTGTGGTTGTTTGTATGTGTGTGTGTGTGTGCGTGCGTGCGTGTGTGTGGATGGGAGAATTCCATCCATCTCTCGTGTTGATAACTCGGGCAGAGTTGCCTCGTGTGAGGCTGCAGCTTACGCAAGCCTCAAGGTCATGTTGGTCAATTGATGACTAGTTTTAATGCAGTGTCCTGCGTCACCGCGTCATCTCTCCAGTGTTACCGAGTCAATAGATGTTATCCGCAAAAACATATTCATCCCCAACAGTGATTCTTTTATTTTTTTTATATTGATCAAATTCTTCAACAAGCAGATGTCACTTGCATGCTACAGTATTTCCCTTTGTCTGAGGCTCCGCACGCAGCTACTTTACCTGAATGTAGGAGGAACTTCAATAGGTTCCAGCAGGAATGAGTCCTAAAACCTGGAAAATAGCTTTCATTTTCTCACTTACAGTTCTCTTTTCACTGGGTTTTTTGAACGTTTTTTTTTTGGTTAAATGCCTGAAATAAAGTCTGGTTAACACAAGCTTAAGGGATTTAAACGTTTTGTTATACACTACAAAAATCTGTAAATAACTGTTGTTGTACATTTTGAAGCATTTACGTCTTACTAAAAGAAGGCAACACAGCTGTTAGTCAGCCTTCAAAGCCTTGTTGTGCTCATGTGACCTTGATGCGTGTCATTTATTTTCCCTTCTGCCAATTGTAAACATGCATTAAGAATCAGTTGTAAAGATTATCTTGCAGGAGAAAACGTTGAGGTAACAAAAGCTTGTGTTTGCCACAGTTTATTTTGTGCAGAAAAGAAAAATCTAATAGAAAACCCACATTTACTTTCTGTCAAAGGGAACCGTTGTGATGCTAACTTCCGGGGTCATCTCTGCAACACTGGAATAGAAGCGCTATAATAACGGTTATATTAGGTACTTCTTGTTATGTCATTATAATACAAATGTGTTACTTCTGCTGCCTTTTTGCTGTCTTTCACTTTGGTGGCTTTCAGTTCCCAGATAGCTACTGGTATGTCAACTGGTGTACAGGGGGGTGAATCTAAGCTCCAGAAGGCAGATATCTTCACCAGAGACTCTCTCTCTGCTGGCTTTGCTTCCACCAAGGACCAGGACATTGCAGGATCATCAGTAAACGATATGCTATGTCATATTGACTGCGTTGTTTAAATGGCGGTTTTGTGGAAGACGCCACTCTGTATGCACTGTACTTTTGAAATGCGACCTATCTGGGGTCAAAGGTGACAACGAAGGAGCTCTCACAGGGAGGAGGACGAGAGGCCTTGAAGGTGCTGCGGTGTGCAGCCCTCCGCTCACTATTTAACCACTGTGGCGAATCTGTTTCAGGTAAATTTCGAGAGAAGGCGTCCATCCTTCATAAGATCGCTAAAAAGAAATGCCAAGTGGAGGACAGTGAGAAGGCCAATGGAGTAGCAAGCCGTTCAGGTAAAAAGCTCTGTGATTTATTGATTTATGCTAAATATGAAACTACCACCAGCAGCTGGTTAGCTTAGCTTAGCACAATGGGAAACAAAATGTGCCCACCAGTACCTTTTAATCTCATCATAATCAATCTCATGGTATAGCAAATGTAGTCGTAACATAAACTAAAGTGTATAAACAACATGTTGTATTTGTACAGATTTATGAATATGCACATTATTCGGGTCAATATTCCTTATTCGTCATCAGAAATGCCCACTGAAATAGTTAATGAGCCTCACATCCAATGTTAAACAAGCATGACATTATCAAAAACTGCCAAATTGATTACAAGTGTTGTCTTCAAGCAGTATTCAAATCAATCACAGTCACTGCCAAGCGTCATTTGTGCATCTCACTTCAAAGAGCATCGGACCAAAAGATAAACAGGAGGCAAGAGGAGGCTCTTTCATGGCCACAGTGTAGTCAGAGCAGCAGAATCAAAGCGAGGCATAGATGTTTATCAAAAAGGCAAATTATGCTAACAGCGGCACATTAACATATTACCATCTCAATCATAATGCATTACTGGTCGTCATATCAGCATACTTTACTATTTGAGCCACACACATCTTAAATTGGTGACAGGAGTAAAAAAAAGTCAGTGTAGTCGAGTTTACGGTGCTTCTGATTGGATCCGTACCTCATGGTTAGATCTGTGCCGTGTTGAATTTCAGTCGCATTAAGTCGCCATATCTATCTGAGACACATCTATCTCCGAATGTGTCACAACCACACTCGGATTAAAGCATTTTCCACAGCAATTATAATGTCATCATCTGATTACACGGCTTTCTGTTATTTGTATTTTAATAAGGGCTGTTAAATAAGTCTGCCGTCAAATGAAATGGAGTCATATCATCAACAGACATGAACATACTTGATCATGCACAGAAACATGCTAAAATAGGGGGGAGAAGTATAAAACAAAATGGTGGGTTGACCAGGTGCTGCCTCTCGCCTCTCTCTACAACAGCTAATACTCTCATGCCCATTTGAGGCAATGCCAGCTTTAGTTCCACTACAATTATTCTTTAATCTTCCCACAGATAAGAACCTTCCAAACAGCTCCAGCGTGGAAGTGGAAGTGACGCCACCCATGAACGGAACAGCAGGCCAAGAGGGGGAGACGGTAAGGAAGTCGCTCCCCCACCCCCAGAAATATAAGCCTAATCCAACGAATGCTGTTATCCTACAAAGGGTAGAAACACGGAGACAAATTTCCAAGTTACAGGGACATTTGGGGATATTTTACACGTGTCTGTGTTCCACCTTGAGTGTGGTTGATGCAAAGGTTGCATGCACAATGGTACAGGTCATTACTGCTGGTAATTTCCCAGCATGCACTCGGGCGAGTCCCTCCATCTTCAGCCACGCCTGCCAAAGACCCGCCTCGTCCCACTGAGTTCTGTGATCACACTCCTCACTCACCTGCTGCTCCCCGCCGACGGGTGCTCGGAATGGACACACACACACACACACAGACACACACACAGAAACACAGACACACATAGTCTCTGTGGCACAAAGAGCCTCCGAATTGCACCTGCAGCAGCTGCGCTGGCATGAGCGATGACGGTGGGACACGCCAGGCCAGCAGAAGGTCCTCGGGTAAAAGGGCAGCTATTCAAAGGCGTCCACTGAGAGGGAGCCACGCAGAGGACAGGACGAGCGCGTCGGTCATCCGGCTGGAGCAGCTCCAAGACTGAATCCTGCTTCTGTTAAATGAGCAGAAAGGGAAGGTTTCAACTTGGTTTTGGGGGCTTGAAATATTTAGTTTTGGATAAATAACTGTTTACAGATGTTTTTGAGGAGTAGCTATGTGTACTCATATTTCCTACATACCTTTATGTCTCAGCTAAATCTGTGGCCAGAAGAATTATGTTTGGGGTTCTCCATCCGGTCCAATCTGAGAAATGCCTGCAGGGAATTCTGTTTACATATACCGATTAGAATTGTGTGATGTAAGGTCACTTTTGTGACTAAAAACTGTTTTCTCCATAACTGAAAAATGTGTATGCCGATTATGATAATTTTCCTACAGATCCTCGAGGCTCAAAACGAATTTTGATGAGCCTTGAGGCTGCTTTTTAGATTATTATGTTCCAGTCTACCTCCTTTTAAGCTCCTCCACCACAATTTAGATTTTTGCTTTTTCAACGAGCCTTGTAATGCAAGGACCTGTAAAAACTGTAATGTTACCAGTGGCTTTCCATTATAAGGTGTTGGTAAACCATGGGGATCTTAAACTGGCACAGTTTCTCTTTAAATCCAAGTTCAATCTTTGAAAAATATTTTTAGCTTCAGCTCCAGTTGCAGAAACTGCATGATAACAACAATTAAAACCATTTTGCACCTGAAAAACGGATGCGAAGGCACTTTGACATATAGCAATCCTCCAAGGCAAGACACCGACTGATGTGAAGGCATACAGGGCGCTCTCAGAATAGGCTGCTTAAGATGAGCCCTGATTTGAAACATGACCATGTGAGTATTGATCCATCCCACTTGGTGCTATTCCACTGCACCAAGTTCTTCTCAGATTGATACCTCACTCTGGGATTAATAATAGCCTTCACAGAGCAGACGCTCATCACTCCCCTGAAGCCAGCAATGTTTGGGTCTGTAAATGTAACCGGGGTAATTTTAGACATAACTCTATTCTATTCTACTCTATAACTATTCAGAGGTGAATGCAGAAAAACCTGACATATGTTGAAAGAATATTTCAGCTGGCAGTCGACCAAATTGGTGAGATCTGGGTTCCTTTTTGGTATGTGACTCCCACACGCTGCTATTAGTGGAGCTCTGTCCCACAGAGGGGACCCGTCTGCGTCAACCAGGAAGAAGCTGGAAACGGCTCATGCCTTCACACGCTGACAGAGGCCCCGCCATGCTAATTGCTCAATTCCTCCTGGATGCTTGGCCACCAAGATTAGGGAATGAGGGCATAGCTAAGGTCAAATTCAAATCTGCAGCAGATTTCTAGAACAATTCCATGGCTCTTTGAGAGCTGTGCCGATAGAAATGACCCCACACTGCAATGTTTCCCTCAACCGCGGAAATTCAAGTTTATATTTTCATAAGGCAACATTGTAAAGTGCATATAAGCAGTGTACATTCATCTGGTTCTAATTGTATAATGAGGAGCATATTCAGGGCATGGCTCACAGCAAATAGTTCCTACCTTCAGCACACATTTTGAATATATATGTATGAGAGAGTAAAGCTCCTGTTATCACTTCTTTAGCTAACATACTGAGCAACTAAAGAAAACGCCCAACCAACAACACTTTGTTCCTCATGCCACCTCTATCACAACTATAACGATTTGGGGAAATAAAGTAGACATTGCACATCATGTGTGTGTCAAGGGTTTCAGGAAATGAGTCACATCAGGTGTAAGTATCGGTTCACATTCCTTTTGCTCAATAGTGTGAGGTTTTAATATCCAGATGGAGCGTCTGTGATAAATGTATTTACACAGCAGACAGCCGACACTCACACCACGGCAGCTGTTACAGTAGTACATCAAAAAAAGATGAATCAGCTGGGGGAAAATACAACATTTTTTTCATGGACAAACTATTAAACTGAATGAGTTTTTCCTGTTAGTCAGATTAACCCTGTGCTGTGTGATTTCCATGAACATGTTCAGATGGAGTATTGGAAAGGTGTAAGAGAAGACAAAGATTATTTCAGGTAGATAGCTGCCCCTCCGTCCGTTCCATGGCACCTAAAGTTTGAGCGAGCAAGTAATGCAAATACATCCCCACGCAGCCTTTTTGCAGCTGTGCCCTATGCGCTTGCTCTTTTCGTGACCATTTTAACTCTTGTAGCTTCATATTCACACACCAGGTGCAGACGCACGCGCTTTTTCCCGGGGAAGAGAAAGGAAAAAAAAAAAAAAAGCAAATGTCACGCCTCCCCTTGCCGCTCTGTGGTGTCTGGTAAAAGTCAGTGCCTTTAAGCTCAGAGTTGGCAGTGTAGCCAACTGAGACTCCACGGAGCAGGAAAGGCCCCCGAGGGGCTGGCATTTGGGAGCCAGCTCAGGGAAGGGAGCACCGTCTCAACGGGGTGCTTTAGCAGATAAAAAGCAAATAAAGTATAAATATACAGGTGACGGACTCACAGAGTGCAGGATCAGCCAGAAACAGTCCCCCGCATGAGGTCAACATACACATGAAAGAGCTGCCGGCCAAACTGCGATATGATGCGAGGCACCCTGCTGGGACGCAAGGAGAAGCTGTTATGAACTCGTAGTAACCGGGATGGAAATCTCTCTTCTCATTACGTCTCTGAAAAGCAGTGGATTTTGATCAGAATTGATCTTTCTGAAGCCTCAGGTTTTAGGCCTTCTAACAGACAACAATGCAGCCATCTGGATATGGAGAGGAGAAATCAGAATGCTGTGCATAAGTGATGCAAGCGCTGCCTTTTGTTTGGCAGCTCTGATTACCAAGGTTACCAGGCAATACCGAACAGCAGTAGCTGTCACAGCAGGATAAGCTCCATATGATTTATGATTTGTGCGCTAGCCATCTTAAAACATTTCTGCCTCGCTCTTTGGGCAATCTTAGCTCATGTGATTAAGACTGAAAGGATTGACTTGATGCAATTATTTACCAAACAACATCTGCTATCAACGTGTTTCTTGTAGTATTTCTTTTTCTGCCCGGTCTTTCTTTTGCCTTTTGTGTTTCATGTTTACACCATCCCTCTTCAAAGGGCAGAAGGCACTTTTTAAGTCAGTGGGGTGTTCTGCTGATATCTGCATGTGTGGACCTGCAGCTCCCCACGGCTCCATAGCAGCCTGGATAATTGGATTCAAAGGGACCCGAAGCACGTTTCCACAGAAGGCTTTGTTGTTGTACCACAAAAGTTGTGTAAAGTAAAAAGATAATTTTAGACACACAAAAGCTTTCTTGCCACGGCCTCAGTGTTCCATCATTAGACGGTGACAGCTTATTTGATGCTGATCTGCAGAGAGGTAACAGTCTTTGGCTTACTTGGCATTCCAGTGGCAGGTCCAATCAGACCCCGGGGGTCTGCGCTGCAGCCGGCATCAGCAGTCAGCAGTGATGAGCCCCTGATGACTGGAGAGTCTGAGCCCTTCAGGCTCGGCGCAATCTCCCAAATCACAGTCATCAAACTCCTCCGTCTTAAGGTCACCGCGGAGCCAAAACGCACGCACTTCCAGGTCCGGCCATTCGTTTTCGGCAGACTTCTGTGTTGTTTTTTCCCTCTTGAAGTGCTGATGCTGCTTTCTCTCTGGGTAGTTGCTATGGAGAGGTGTATTCCAATGAGACAAATCATCAAGCTAAAGGAGACACTTGGATTATGTTGATTTTTTTTTTTTTTTTTTCCCAAGCCGTGACTCGACTCGATGTGCCATATGCCACATCTTTACCCGATCTGAACTAAGTTAAACACAAAGGGATGATGGCGTTTGAACACATGCATGTTTCAAATGGTGTTACACATTCTGGTGAATGTTCTGTAATCCAAATGTCTCCTTCCCCCTCTTTCTGTTCTACGGCGTTTCCTTTCAGGCTGAAGAGGAGGAGGAGGATGACCAGCCTCTGAGCCTGTCCTGGCCCGATTCCAACCGCAAGCGCCTCACCTACCTCTTAATCATCCCCATCGTCCTCCCCCTGTGGATAACGCTGCCTGACGTCAGGAAGACGGTGTGTATGAGAGTTGTCCTTGTCCGTAACATATCACACAAGAATAGCATCAGATATGGATCGATAAGTGTGGATTTCATATTGGGGTTAATATTGCTTTATACACTGATCTCACTCTTTACTCCTCTTGCACGCCAGGCATCAAAGAAATTCTTCCCAATCACCTTCTTGGGTGCGATCACCTGGATTGCAATCTTCTCCTACCTGATGGTGTGGTGGGCTCACCAGGTACGCAGTTCCCCAAATAAAGCCGTAGAAATGACGTTGCAAAAATGAAGCGTGTTTTAAGTGATCACGACAGCAGTCGCAGAACATTGTAATAACACAAGTACAGTCGTTGTCAAAATACACAAAGACAAGATGCGGTTGTCTTTTCTCTCCAGATTCCATCCATGACATTTAAATATGAAACCATATTTTATAATCAACCCACTCCTTGATAATCTCATCTGTTTCATTCGAAACAAAGAGATTGTCAGAGCTGGAGTTGTGTCACCTCCATCAGCTCCCCAGCATCACAAGGACATTAAAAATAGCTAGAACAAAAGATTAGGTTTTATTTATCCCAAAGCTTAGTTTCCTCTTTTTTTCTTCCTTTTTTTTCCAGGTTGGACAGACCATTGGGATTACAGAGGAGATTATGGGCCTGACTATATTAGCAGCTGGAACCTCCATCCCTGACCTCATCACCAGTGTTATTGTGGCACGCAAGGGACTGGGCGACATGGCTGTCTCCAGCTCCGTGGGCTCCAACATCTTCGACATTACCGTTGGGTATGCCATCCGAGCATGTGCACGGTCGCACTGCGTCCCTATTATTTAGGATTCCACAAAATTGAGCGAGAACTCCGAAGCCTCTCACAATTTACGTGACACAGTTTGTGTTTGGCGGATGAATCAGTATTTTTCTCTCCAGGCGTTTTGTTGATCTTCACATTTTTCTTTTCATGTCGACTTTACACACTTAAAAGATATTTCCTTTTTTCAGTAAAATAACGCAAGGTGTTGAGGCACGTACTATATGCATATGTATTATTTTTAAGGTAAATAAACAAAGGTATAGCCACACCTACGCATGCTGCTGCTTACATCGCTGCAGCAAGGTTAAAGTGGAAAACCGTGTCAGCAAAACAACGTTTCCCTGGTGCTCCTGCCAAGTTCCACTTGATTTTGTTAAGTCTGAGTCAAAGCCTTATTGTTGTCATATTTTGCCATGCTGTATTATCTGTGTGCACATATGTCATGCTCTGCCGAGTGTGAGCAGCTTCCACATTGAGAGGAAAAAAAACAAGTCTTGACAGCAAGAAGAAAAACATCCTCCCAAACCTGCTTCTTCTTATTCTTGTCTTCTAATATTGAAGGCCTCCATTTTAACCAGTATATCATTGGAAACTTGTGCAAATTATGTATGGAAGACAAGTCATTGCACATTTTCCAAATGACTGTAGCATGTGTTTGTGTGTATTTGCAGACTGCCGTTCCCCTGGCTCATGTGGTCCTTTATCAACGGCCTGCAACCAGTGGAAGTCAGCTCCAACGGCCTCTTCTGTGCAATCGTGCTCCTCTTCATCATGCTCCTCTTCGTCATCATCTCCATCGCCGCCTGCAAGTGGCGCATGAGCAAACTGCTCGGCTTCATCATGTTCATGCTGTATTTCGTCTTCCTGGTGGTCAGCGTCATGCTGGAAGACAAGGTCATCACCTGTCCCGTGTCCATTTGAGGACCTCGGAGGACCTGCTTCCTCCCCCCGCCCCCTCGTCACCACCACAACAACCACGACCACCACCAACAACACGACCATCCGTAATATCCGCCATCGCTTTTACCTGACCCTTGTGATCCTTTACCCCAGGAACAAAAGAAGAAAAAGGAGGTCCGGAGAAGGGAATAATGTAAAAGATGTATGAAATCTACTGATATTTTCAGCTAGCGAGGATGATGGGGAGGGGATGAACCAACGAGGGCACAAGACTTTGGCTTGGCTGGTTTAGCGTAGGCCTAACTCGAGTGAATTTATATTTATTATTATTATTATTGAATTGGAACGGCGAAGGGGGGGGGGGGGGGGGGGGTATGGGTGTCCTAACCAAATATTGAAGCATTATGCATGCCATTTAGTGTCACAGGATCCGCTGGAATCAAGGCCGCCCCTGCGAGGTTGAGGAGAATGACCTCCTGTGAACTTTGGGGTGAAGAACAAGGGATGCGCAGTGTGGAACTCCTCTTGTTGTGAATGCAGTGGCCGAGCTGGAATTGTGGGCATATTTGAACACACATTTTGCAACGGACTAAGAAGCTATCGCCAAGCGTGAACAGGAGATTGTGGATGAGTAAATTGCCGACTGTGTGGGTGAAAGGTGTTTCCTGTGTGACGGAGTTGAGCGAAAAGACTCCCGAGTGGGCTTTGCGCCCGAGCAGCGAGGGATGAAACACTCCCGCTGGGCAGACAAACTTCTCCGTTGTCATTTCTTATTTGCAAATTCATCATGTTCTCAGCCTGAATGACGAGTTTAAGCCCCCCTCCCCTCTTCCCCGCCCCCCTCCGCCGGATGTCATCCTTCGCCGCTGAATGTTTTTCCAGAGGATTCTTTTTTTTTTTCATTTTCATGAAATGTAAGAAGTAGCATTAGTACTGTAGCAGTATTAGGTAATGTAGAGGCATCTCCACGGTTCTTTCCTCCTTCGTTCTTCTGTCGCTGAACACACGTTCTGGTTGTGCAGAACTTCTCATGCTTCACACGCACCACCTGACAAAGGCAAGAAAAAAAAAGGCCTAATTTGAAGTTTAGCCTCATAATATATGCTAGCCTTCAATATCTTTCACTGGTTGAAAAAAAAAAAAAAAGGCATGAGTACTTTCGGCTCCTTAACGTTCCGTAACAAAGTCAATGTCAAAATAATACATTTGAAAAAAAAAAAGAACTTAACAGTGTTTAAGTGTAATGGTTGATTTAGATTAGTCAATGTGTAGTGCTTTGTTCACAGTAGAACTGGGCTCAACTCACCGGCTAGTCAAACTCCTGAGGTAGTAGTTTCAAGGAGTCAACTGCATGCAAAAATAGACACTCTGAGGTGAATAATACCAACCAACATTTAAGAAGTTGTATACCAAAATGTATACTTTTTTCAAACCTGTTTCATAACTCCTTAAAGCAAACCAGTGCTCAGTATCTATGTAGAAAGTGTCGACATGTATGGTCAATGATATCTCTCGAACTTGTGCAATTTATTTTCTAATCAAAGGTGCTTTTGTGTGCATGTGTGCAATCTGCATTTGAAGTCATCACACAATGACCATTCCCTATATGTATCTATGAATATAGATTATACCACCAGTATTTGCAAAAAAGAAGAAGAAAAAGAACACAATGTGTGTTTTGTACTGAAAATATAAATCATAATCACAATCTCTCCTTAAGCTACATAGAATGTGGAAATCACAAATTTAACAGCAATATACGGTGTGTCGTTGAGAACCGCAACACCTCCCCTCCCCACCCATGCGTCTGTCCCCCGCTGCCCTCCCTGTCCGACGTGCTCCAACTCCGCACGAGGAGAAGGCGGGCGACCGCTTCTCCCAAAACTCCCCCCATCCTGTTAGAGCTGGCCAGAAACACCCGCTTTACCTCAACACAGCCTCTGTACAGCAGCGTAGTAACTGTAAAATAAGGTATATAGACTCTCTGGACGTGTGAGGAAAAATGCATGCGAGGAATTTGGGCTGGTTACCCACTGACTGTACAGCTGAGCTTAGACCAACTATATATGTCCACTTGTATGCATCCACTCAGAAAGAAACACCAAGTACGTATTGGTTATACTTTGTAAATATGCATTTCTGTTTTTGCAAGAACAAAATGGTTCACACGTGTATTATATTTATTTTCTCTTTCTTTTTTGTAACAATGGATGGAAAAGGTCAAGGATATGCTGCTGGAGGCCCTAAAGTACCTTAGTATTATTGAGCAAAAATACAACTGGAAAGCATTTATTTATTTTTTGACTACTTAACATCTCATTAGCACGAGCACATTTTACACTAAACATTAAATTAAATGCCCTATTGCTTCCTCGAGTTCAACCACAGTTATTTACTGTCAAAGGACAATGCAACAGAAAACTAGATCCAAACTCACGTGAAACCGCTAAATATTTCAGGCCTTCTCCTGCGCACATCTGCCGTTAAACGTCTTGCCTCAGATCCCCCACGCTCACACATGGTCGCACCTCATCAGTGGCTCCTACTCGCCGCCGCTCGTGCCGAGAGTTAGATGGTAAGACGGACGGCAACTTAAGTGGTACCTTAAAGCCAAAGGTTTGTCTGTCGCTGCTTCATTTCAACTGGAGAGACTTAAGGGTGGTGCCATCTCGTCCGACTCGCAGTAAGAAAGCTCTTAACTCCACATTTGTTTTTGCTTCAACAGATCTGAGGTCATTTTTCTTACCACCACGGTCACATACTGTAAGTTTCTCTTCCAATGCGAAAACCACCGCTGTGAAGACACAACGTTTTTTTTTTTCTTTCTCCGGTGTTTCAGACCATGAAAGGAGGAAGGAAAAAACTAAAGGAAAAAACAAAAGGCAAATCAGTTTAGCGTGTTCGCTTGGCTTTGATTTTAATTTACCAGGGTAAGCGACAGTGAAAGTTGACCTCCCAATGAACATTCTTGCACTGTAAATGTTTTCATTTTCTTGGTGTTAATGTAAGATTTATTTAAGGTGTACATATATACAGATACAAATTAACCATATAATCTATATGTGTAAAAGAAATATGTCTCTTTATGTAAAAACACAAAGTATATAATAAAACAAATAAAGATTATTCAAATATGCAACTATGTTTTCACTGGATGTCCAGTCAGTAGTGCTTTATTTTAACCCCCCGACTTTATAATAATAAGTGGTGAACTGAACATGTCAAGAAAACATGGTTTACAGCACACAATCACACAATAGTGAGTCAGCAATATATATATATATATATATTAGATATTGGGCTGGGTTGGAATATTGGGTTATAATTGCATATGTATTAACATTTATTTTGCTAGCAATTGATATTTATACAGCGGACGGACATATTTAGCTTTTCTGGTTATAGATTCACTTTTCCCATTGGAGATATTAAAATACAAGACCCTCATTAGTCTTCTGAAGGTGCAGGTCAGAGAGGAACTCACGTGGTACAGATAAAGAAAGCAACTATAGGCAGTGTCTCCCCTTTCTGAACTGTCTCAACATAACATGTACATCTGGTTATATGGGAAAGAATTGGCATATGTGAGTTAAAGGTACAGACGGGGGCAGTCTGGCTGCGCTGTGACCCATCACAGTACATTATTATTTTTAGTTAAGTGCTTATATTATTTTGGATTTAGTAGTCAATTTAACAGAACCGTGGCAGTGGCTGGTCAGTGCATCACCGGCGCAGAAAAGTGGTGAAGTTGCTGTAGAGACAACATACACCAAGTGTTCCACTGCTGCAAAGTACAGATAGTTTGCCCCGATGACGATAAATAGGCTTAAGCAGGTGGGAACTTGTCTGCAAATTCCCAAACCATAGCTTATGGACAGCTTTTGTGCCTTCATCTTGCCATGCGGCACGTTTATTTTATTTAAATTCTGTGTCTTTTTTTCATTTTAAGAATACATGTGTTACAAACTTAAAACCCAGGTTTTGAAATAGGTGGGTATTAAGGAGGCAGTGGGGACCAATGATAGTTGGTACAGAGCCACATTACAGGGACAGGATTGTTGTGTTTTTGGGAGCTAGAACCAGATGACAGAATATAAATTCTGAAAATCATATCTCTGCCTTTGCTGCATTCGTGCATTCTTTTTAAAATCTTTATTGACTGAATCCCTTTGGTGTTAAATATTTGAAGAACTCCTTTTCACGCAGTGTTTAACAGTTGAGGGCATTGTTCTGCTTGCCAATAATGACCAAGAATACATGCACATTAACCGAAACGATTTATTCATAGTGAACATAGACATGCATACACATGAAGAGAATTTGTATTGTCCTTCAAAAGTCACGCAAAAAAAGTCTTGAGATGCACACATGGACCACGCGGTCATGCAAAGGCAGTGGCCTCAATGACGATGTCAAATAGCAATCAGCAGGTCTGAAAAAAATGACCTTTTTACAAGGACAATGATCTGCATTTCTTCTCATGTGGCGCCTTCCTGCTTGTGTGAAGACTAGTTGTGGAAAGGGGCGCCCTCCTGTGATCAAAATCCAGACTCTTCAATGTTTTAACACAAATGATGTAATCGCCACTTCCAGATTCCTTCCCGGTTGCCCACACACCTGAACGTTTGTTCTACTGAATTGCCTATCTTCCTTCTTTCCTTAGAATTGTGTCACTTGCTTGTTCAAGTTTGATATTCGCTGTTTTCGCCCAAAAGTTGCTTGGAAACATGAGTCATGCTTTTGTAACTCTTTTTAAAACAGACCGATTCAGAAGAACCCTTTTAACTTTAACTGCCAACACCTTATTTATTTTTAACAGAAGCAGCCTTGATGTATTCCAGTTGTAAAACTCCAACGTACAGTGGTATAATACACAAAGACCTCAACCCCGGGTCCGTAGACGTCCGGCAATCAAACCAGGGTTCATCTGTTATATTCAGTGACAAAGGGCCACTTTCACAATGTCGTTCTACAAACAAACAAAAATACGCTCTATATGCCCTTTCTGGGAGGCCAACTTTAGGCACAAGGTCACTCAAGGGAAGCCCTAATTAAAGCCCCCCAAGGGGCAAAATGAAAAGGGTACGTCCAAAGCTACAAGGGAAAGTGTCACGTGGTTGAGACTACGTGGAGTTTGAAGAGACACGCACGGGATTCCTGGAGGCACGGTTAATGAGAGGTTGAAGGTGGTGGCGTGTCATAGCAAGAGTGTGCTGTTTGCGGTAACAACTCAAGGGAAACCTGAAAATTGCTGTTGCTGTTGACTCAACAAGGACACGGCTTCGTAGCGTGACCTGTTTTGATTTTCATATGTGGATAAAACCATTTATACCAGTCATTCCCAACTTAACACTGCCAAGATTGTGTTTCACTCTGAGAGAAAATGCTAGTTAGCCTAGATTGCTAACAAATAAAGATGCTTTTTTAACACGTTCATTTGATTGCTTGATCCCGAGATGCTCCTTTAACACTCATCGGTGTCTTCATCCTACTGGCTGTCTTTCTTTATGCAAACTCTCCAACCATCTCTAATCTTTCCTGAGAGGTGTGTTTCATTCATACAGGCATTCCTGGATGTTTGCTTTTCCTCAGAAACCTGTTAAGGGACGAGCCAAATCAAGTCAGCCCTGAGGTAATTCACACACTATACAATTAAACCGCAAATTATCCCTATATTATCAACTCTTGCTGAGAGGCACGAAGAACTTCTCATGCAAGTCTAAAGAAGTCACGATTTTGTTAAGTGTTACTTCATGTTAATGTCCAATGGACCGTAGAAAACGTATGAATTACGTTTGTGATCAATAACCGTTGTAAATTAAACCATATTCCCTCATGAAAAATGTAATGACCGGTCAGATTATTATATTACCAATATAGTTGTTATTATTATTGTTATATAACTACAACAATAATTGTGTGTCTCCCTTAATGTGTTGTAATTTACTATTTGTTCTAATGCTGATTATCAATTTATTATTCAAATCTTATCCGCTTCTTGTCTTATTTAAACTCATATTTTCATAAATCGATCGTATAAACATTTGTGGGTTCCAGAGTAATATTTCCCCTTAAGACTTAAATATGGATCTTTGTTTACTTGTATTGTTTGAATGTCTCCGGTGTCACGGTAACAGTTTACTTTTCTTTCTCATTCCTCTACTTTTGGTTTCAGAAGGTGTTGCAAAACACATAAAATCCCAGACAATATTGTTTTGGCTATTTTTGGTTTAACTTTTAGTTACCAATGACCCAGTAATTTTATACTTCTCACAATCTGTTTACATGGCCCCCAGAATGCCACTAAACTGTGCAGTACCCACATAGTGGCTGTATTACTGTAAATACAAAATACATATCTTTGGTGGGATGAGTTGGGAACAGTTCAGGTGAAATTAGGAGGAAGGGATTCCATTTCAGAGAAACACATGAACTCAAGGAGGGACTTGATTTCACCACGATGTCCGTGTTGTTTTATGACATCATGCAGCTCCAACATTTGGGTACTGAAGAATAAGAATATAGTGTAATGCAATAGATGTTAAATTAAATTCCTTCTAATTTACGTATATGATGCATTAGGTTGAGAGCAAAAGATTCCTTTTACATTCGTAAGTCAACGGCAATGCTGGCAGAGTTTGTGAGGATTTCCCCTCCTCCAGCGCACATGTTAAAACACAGGCCAACTTGCTTTGTTAGTAATTCGCCAGCAGTTAATAAACTCCACATGCTCCACGTTGGCAAAGTAAGTAGCACCAGGGGCGGCTTGTTCGTCGACTCAGCTTTACTATCGGCCAGACTTTGCTCCGTGACTTCATCTGGTCCCTCTTGCATTGGACTCCTCTGAAAAGAAAACATGTCTCAGAAGAGTGAGGCTGCAGTCCACATCCTCACAGTCACTAAATCCTATCACAATCTTGTCAGAGGCAGACGGAGAGAATTGTTTCCAAATATTTCCAGACACCGGCGAGTCATCACCAAAAGTGCCCTGTTTGGCTGTTTTTAGGGGATTCATGTGGGAAATTATTTGTTCTGAATTAGAAAAAGCAGGGCGGTTTCTGGGACGATCTGAATTGTAAATGCCGCTCGTGATTCGGCTTGACGATTGTTCTAAGAGAGGATTTTGGTTTTGAAACATAGAGAAAATTGTAACTGACATTTATTTCCATACATTTTAAACTGAATCAGAAACAGTGAAATAAGGACAAATAAAGAGAAAGTAAAGCAGTCTCTCAAAAACTTTCCCAGGTGACTGAAAAACTGCTGTTTACATAGTCTCACCAAGTGTGTGTGTTTATCATTAAAAGTTGATCAGCTGTATGTCAAGTTGGATCGCTACTGTTATTCGACTTTGGGTGTCGTGCAAATTGCTCTTTTGGTACCATTTAAAATGAGATACATCACGTTAATGCCACTATCTGTTTCACCAGAGTGCCAATTAAAATTCTTATCGTCTAGAATTTCTTTTTACAGCTCAGTAACCATGAGAAACAAATGCTGACTGTACGCCATGCCTGGTTGTGTAATTAAAGGTATTTGCTCTGTGGGTGTTGACAGGTGTGGCCGTTGTCAACACCTTCGGAAGTGAGTCACCAATTGCAAAGTCAACTTAAGGATTGTCGAATTGTTTGAATAGGGAATTATTGTTTATCCGCTCATATTCGTGCACTCAAAGTCCACAGGGCAATTTAATATGTGGATTTAAAGATTAGATCAAACCGTCTAATCGGTGACCAGGAATGACTTTTCCCTCAGAGTTTCCTTGGTTTGCAATTTTGAGCACCCGAGGAAAAATAAGTTTACAGATCCTTTACTTCAGTAAAAGATATTTACAATATGAGGACATAAATAGAAGTCCTGCTCTCAAAATAGAATTTAAGGACAGAAGTGTAGCAGTAAAATGCACTTAATGTGGAGTTAGTTTTATCTAAATTCTAATCCCAGTTGTTCCCAAACTAAGGTTGGCAACATCCAAAGGGAACAAAAACTTTTGGCAAGAGGGTCACAAGCCAAAAAGGTTGAGATCCACGTTTGATTAACTAAACTTTTCATGACTGTAAAATCTGCCTCTAAGCTGCCTGTAAACATGCTGTAAACTGTTGGAAACGTCATTTCTGCAACATCAAAACTAATGTTGCTAAAGAAGTCTCTCACAAAATGATGATTCCTGTCGTAGATAGCCGTCCCTTTCTGGTCTAGACAGACTTTGAATGATTCAGTGTGATTCACTAATGAAAGGGATTCTGCAGTCATGATTTATTTTCTGTGTGGATAACCAGGTTTCTGGTATAATTTTTTTTTTTTAAAAACAAGGGTCTGTTTCTCAGCAGCAATAAACGTTCACATGCACACTCACAGCCATGTGGTTCAGTATTGGGACACTTCCACCGGGGCCAGGGAATGAATTCCATTAGTATTAGTTTTAAAGGATTGATGGACTTTAACATAGTCACAGGAAATGAAATCACTCTGCCGAACAAAGAGCTTAGAGCTGTCATTTTCAAGTAATTCCCTGGTTGGTGTCATAAAACCCCAAAACACTAAAAATGTTGCCATCCAGAAAAATAACTTACCACAGAACAAATATACTATTACATTATCTGTAAATTACAGGACAGGAAGCCCTATGGACTTCATCCATTTATTCTGTGCATAAATATGTGCAGTGTTAAAGGTATTTTTAAAAATAAAATACTACTTTATAATGTATATAGAGATTTAAACCGTAGTTCCTCCATGCAATCATTTAAATGAACGGTGGTAGCATTACGTGGCCGATAGTGACGTATACAGCAGCCTGTCGACTATTTCTATTTAAAGTTGCACACGTTTTACCGTGGAATTCCTTGGGGACTTTCGCAAGATCCATCAATGCCCCCCCCCCCCTCCTCTTTCCAAATGACGCCAAATAGGTGCACCGCCGAACTCTCCAAACACACCTACCGCACTGTGAAACTCCCACAGAGGACGGACTTCCACACACTACGAACACAAGAGGATCTCTTGCACCCTCGGCCCACTTTCACTCCGCTGACGCGCGATGGCGGCGCGAACGGGTCCGAGGAAGCGACCGTGTGTGACGCGCCGCATCAGGTAGGAAGGAGTGAACTCTGCAGGCTGCAGGGCAACTTGCCTTGATTAACAGCCTGAATCATGAGGGAGTTTGATTGATTGTGCACCGATCGCCGTTTACTTGGGAGTTATTCGGAGATGGTATGTGACATGCACAAACCTGTTGGATCCACGCGGCTCTCTTTGGTTCACTGCTCCCGTCTGCTTCCAAACCATGGGTCCAGGAAGGAAGGCAAGATGTTGGCATAGCTGTTAAATTGAAATCCCTGCTATATCAACATATTGCCATTTTTCTCTCCCCCTTTGCAGCTAATTGATGGAAATATCTCTACCTGGTCACATTGAGAAAATGTCTATTCATCTTCATCTACACTTGAATAGGGGCCACTTTGAATCCTGTTCACGTTGGATGCATGTAAAGGTCAGCAATTCTGTTGGTTACAACAATGTCTTTTAAGTAATCTCCCTCTATGTGAGGATGTAAGCATGGTTTTGTGTCGCTTTGGCTGTGGGCTGATGGGCAGGATTACAATACAGTTGGGCTCATTACAAAATGTTAACAGAAAGTAAGTAGATCCTCTTTCATGTGGTTTGGCACTAATTTAATATTAGAAAATGTCAATTGAATTTCAGTGCATGGGATTTATTTTCATTATAAATTGTTCCAAAGAAACTAACTGACAAAAGGATTATGTTTTCAGATGAAATGCAAAACAGTAAATGGAACTGTAATACAATCTTTTTGCAAGGATGAGAACGTTTAAAATACCAGAAGAAAATCAATGGTGGAAAATGGTGGTTACTATTTTTATGTCTTGCTATATTTCTCTACTGAGAAAAATGTATTTCCAAAAACATTTTACTTTTGTACATTTTAAACATATGATGTATTATTATGGCTTTAACATGCACATATCATTTATGTTAATCCAGTTACAATTGGATTAAAATAACGTAGCACCCTAAATTGATTTCATTTTTCGTGTCATTACTTTTAAATACATTTGGTCAAGAAACATATGGACTTGTATTGTTACATATACTTTTACCTAAAAAATGTATATTCCACCGCCGTACCTTGCACACTGCGACCTGTACCCTGCACTCTGTAAAGCCATATAATGGTGCATACTTATTGATTGCCATACTATCAACCATGTTAATGATGCAATGTTTTTCATAACCTACAAATATCTAAAACATTTGATTATATGGAAAAGGCATGCCTTTCTGAACGCATGGCAATATAAAGCGTTGTATATTTACGTGGTAGCAATTAAATACTATGTGAATTGATTAATAAAACATAACTGTCAAAATGTGAGCTGATTCATGAGTGAATTTCTGTTTTTGTCTTTCAGAAGACAATACGGAATAATGTAAAATACGTTTTATGCATGATTTTTATGATCTATCTCTTTACTAAAAAAAATTGATGATTTACTTTAAAATATTTCAAATTAATTGTAATCAAAACGGTAAATAAAACGAACTGACTGTCTCGTCCTGTATAGCATGATTATTATGAAAACATATAAGGTCACGTGAACAGCTTTTTTTTTTGTTTCCCAAAATTGTTTTCATGAATCATGGTGAACAGAATGAATCAGTGCTTGTAAATTATTAAAACCCCCTTGGAAGGACCATCACCCAGTCTCATGTAAAACAGACATGCATGCAGTGGTGACTAAAGTTGCACTGATTTACATCCTTCAAAGGTGAATCGCACCCCGGCAGGTGTTAAGGCGGAAGTGGACACGTCACGAGACGCGTCACCAAGCTGCTTGCTAGCTAGCTAGCTCCAGAAGATGGCGCTGACGCCCAAACGGTCGTAAAACCCTAAAGAAGAAGAAGAAGAAGCAACTTCTTCCTCCCGTCGCTACACACGCCTTGTTGACGTTGTGTTACTGGGAGAGTCTCACAGGAAAGCTGTGAGGTAAGACGCGTTAACGTGCACGGTCCGCTACCAGAGATGCGCCAATGAATGCGCTCCTCGCGCCTAACTGCTAGCTTAGCATTTGCTAGCAGCTTGGCGTGCATTGCTAAGAGGTGGCCTAAGAGGTAGCCTGATGGACCTGGGGGCAAAGTGTCACCATGCTAACAGCCAATGTTGTTTTAGTTTTTTTTACAACTCGTGTTACTTAATACGCTACACAAATATACTGGTGGGTATTTGATTTCTGTTGAAGGTCTACAGAGAAACCTGGGGTTAGTAAGCGAGGGTGACTTTAAGGAAACATGCGGCGTGATGACGTAACTTCACGTCTCCATGACTGTGTAAAAGTCTCTTTTATATGACCTGCAATTGATTGGTTACACATGTTCCCTAAGCGCCGTAGGAGACATTGTACAACTGTTTTTCATTGGCTAATTCCTGTGACCAGATCTAGTTTCCCCTTTATCATAAATCTGGGGGTCGTCGTGGCGCAGGGGTTAGAGAAGGTGTGCTGGGAACACAAGGTTGTTGGTTCGATTCCCGGCTGCCCCATGTTCCATGTCGAAGTGTCCCTGAGCAAGACACCTAACCCCTAATTGCTCCCCGGGCAAAAATGTGAAAAGCCGTGGGTTTAAAGTGTAATGTAAGTCGCTTTGGATAAAAGCGTCTGCTAAATGACATGTAATGTAATGTAATGTAATGTAAATCTAGTGAGTTGGTCTTTCTGTGACTAATAAAATCACATTGTCCACAATACGACTCATTTTTTTCAGTTTTGCTCTTTGGATCAGAAAACTAGATCCTCGAGGTTGATCAAAAAGTGTTGGAGACAAAAACTGTATTGGAGACTATATACTTTATACTTATACAAACAACGTAAGCATTCTCATGAGGGTATTTTAAATTTGTTGAAGAATTATCAACACAGTAAACCCTCATTTGGAAATGTAATGCTTACAAGTAAACCTGCTGTCAGGCATTTTGGCGTGACAATTTTCTTCTTATATGCCAAAAGCATAATGTAAAACTTTACCAAATGGAGAAATGTATATATTAGAGATTTTATTATATTATCCTGTGTTTCTCCTGCATATTACAGTTCCACATTTAAGTACAACTAATATTGTGCCTGGCAGTAGACCGTTAATGTTGACGTGAAGCTGTTTCTTTCACAGAGATGAACAGCGAAAACTTCAGCCTGGGTGAGAAGATCGTGTCCACCTCGTACATTCGACAGGGCAGCCAGGCGCGCCGCGGCCATGAGCAGCTCATCAGACATCTACTGGAGCAGGTGCGGTCTACAGCTGCGCTCGTGTTTCCTCGAGTCACTGCGGATTCATCCAATTTGCGTGTTGCGTGTGTTTGCAGGGGAAGTGTCCAGAGGACGGCTGGACTGAGAGCACCATCGAGCTCTTCCTGAATGAGCTGGCCGTGATGGACAGCAATAACTTCCTTGGCAACTGCGGCGTGGGAGAGCGGGAGGGCCGGGTGGCGTCCAGCCTCGTGGCGAGACGACATTACAGGTTCAAGTTTGACAATCAGTCCCTCAACGTCTGACTCTTTGTGTAGGAGTTTACATTTTATCGAAGGAACCCATGGATGCGGCCAATGAGGAATTGTGAATAATGAATGAAAATAAGAAATCTTAAATCGAGGCCAAATCAAGGCATCTCACTAGCTTACCAGCCAATGTAAACACTGGTACTGATTTACCTAAAAAAGTAAACAAGCCAACTGGTGACCAGTGAAGTGCCGTATTTGGATGCCTCAATTTAAGAACGTTGTTTCGAGTCTTCGGTTGTTACAGCTGGCTGTTTTATGCAGGTTGATCCATGGCATAGGTCGGTCAGGTGACATCGCTGCTATTCAGCCCAAAGCTGCAGGATCCAGTCTGCTAAACAAGCTGACCAATTCCGTGGTGTTGGACATCTTAAAGCTCACCGGTGTGTACATTTTGACATTCTAACTGAAGGAAATTTCATATTTGTTTTTGTTTTTCAGCCACCAAACCATTTAAATGTGTTTTTTAATCAGGCGCTTCCATTAAAAAGAATAGAGGGTAAATAGAAAACTATAAAAACATGCTTTGTTTCTTCCGCCCGCAGGTGTCCGGAGTGCGGCGAGCTGCTTTGTAGTTCCCATGGCAACAGGAATGAGCTTGACTCTGTGCTTCCTGACTCTGCGCCATCGAAGGCCCAAAGCCCGTTACATCATTTGGCCTCGCATCGACCAGAAGTCCTGCTTCAAAGCCATGATCACAGCAGGTGACGCTGACGTCAATATCCGATGTCCCTTCACTCCTCCACCCGCTTCAGACTGCATTAGTGTTGGAAACATGGCAGCGGATGGCCATTGTGCAGAGTTATTTCTGAATGCCACGTAAAGTGATATGTGCTAATTATCCCCCCCGTATGCCAGGCAAAATTGGGCTTCTTGCTCTTAGAAACACACACACACACACACACACACACGCAGTAACACCTTAGGTGGGGGTCTCTGGCTTATTTCTGACTGTTTCAACAGGCTTTGAACCGGTGGTGGTGGAGAACGTTCTTGAGGGCGATGAGTTGCGGACGGACGTGGAAGCGGTTGAACGCACGATCGAAGAACTCGGAGCCGATAACGTCTTGTGTATTCATTCGACAACATCCTGCTTTGCCCCGCGTGTCCCCGACAGGTAATGCTCGCTTTAACTGACCCTTTTATTACGTTGTAGACGTCACAGTAGTCGATTTATAAATACAAGTCATTCATTATCTTGTCTTCTAGGCTTGAGGAACTGGCTGCTCTGTGTGCCAAACATAATATTCCCCACATAGTTAACAATGCATACGGAGTCCAGTCGTCCAAATGCATGCACCTTATACAGCAGGTTAGTATCCTCAATACATCTCTCATTTGTGTATTTCATCATGTACTTTAGTCATTTCTGGCACATACGGTGGTTGCTTAGTATTTTCCCTGGTGGTCTTTGAACAGGGGTCTCGTGTGGGAAGAATCGACGCCTTTGTGCAAAGCTTGGACAAGAACTTCATGGTTCCAGTAGGTGGCGCCATTATCGCGGGTTTTGATGAGTCCTTCGTACAGGAGATAAGCAAGATGTACCCAGGTGAGTAGCAGCAGTACTATGGCCGAGCTATACAAGTGACAATGTGGAGGTTATTGATTCGAATACTAGATAAGTGGCTCTGTATTTAATACTTTTAGAAGAATGTTAGTGACGGAACCCAGTGCAGCAGCGTTTTCACAGGTCAATGGAGCTCTATGACACAAAGCAATATGTCATATTAGGCTCAGGTTAAGCTGACCACAGGATAAATATAGAGTGACACCAGAACTATATTTCAAAGAACGTGTCAACTCAACTGAAAAGCTCAGCACCTCCTCTTTGGCGGCTTTTGACATTCAGTGAAACAAATGGGATCGATAACCACCCCTCGGCGTGCGTATTCAGTTTCATTTTAGATGTTCAGAGAAGGACTCAGTGAGACAAAGCTGTCACCTGGTGTTGCCACAGAGACATGCATGTGACGCTTCACCTTGACGGCGCCTGGTGCTTCTTTTCTTGGTGAATGTCAGGACCGAATGTGTGTGCTTCTAGTTATGTTTGTTTGTGCACACATTGCGGCGTAACCAAGCCACTCGTCGGGCTCTTGTGTCCAGGTCGAGCGTCCGCTTCGCCTTCTCTGGACGTCCTCATTACCCTTCTCACTCTGGGAGCCAACGGCTACAAGAAACTCCTCTCGGAGCGAAAGGTGAGCAGATGAACAGGTCACCTTATCGTGCAATATATAGTTTGTGCCTCAGGTGGGGTGTGAAGGCTGCAGGATGCTTCCAGGTGATAGAAACACCATGGATGGGTATAAAAGCACTGCGGCAATGTCAGTCCTGGTATTTTTATATGCATGCTGTGTCAACAGCTTTCCCCTGAAGACCGAATAGGACAGCTTACATAAGTTGTATTAAATTGCAGTGGATCACATGCTCTGACTGGCCGCATGCAGGTGTGGGTGGCCCGTGTGTGAGTCTGTGTGGAGCCCTCTCCCTCCATTCTGACCGAGGACTGAGACTTCCAACTGCTCAGCGAGCAATGAGCGCTGGGTAGGGAGGATCATGCTATAGGATGATGAAAGGGATCCAGAAGCTTCAGAAAACATCCACCTCCTTGGTTCAAAGCAGACTCGCTCACATGCAGCAGCTCCCTCTTCAAATGGAAAGCACTGCAGCACTGTCACGCCTCGACAGCGGCTGTGTCATAAATCCACAGTATGGACTGTGAACCGGACTGAGTTTGTTTCTGCCAACGCTCTGATTTCTGGAAGATACAGAAACACATTATTTGTCTTTAATGTTCAAAAAGTGGAAGGGGAGATTTTTCAGATAGAATCCCAGATGGATTCTATCATGTTTTTTGACACGCACCCTAGTGCAACCCCTCAAGAGTACATTAGGTAATTACAAACCTCTGCTAAACTTGGCATACTTAAAGGGGCGGCATTAAATACCCAAATATGATCTGCATGAAACCACATCTGTTGCAAAAGTATACATCTAGGACATACCTCCGGCCTCTCGCAGGATCCGGACCTATCAGGGCTCTATTGATTTCTCTGGGTCCACATGATGCATTATTGATGTACAGGACCAGTTTTCCATGGTGTCTGCAGAACTGAGTGATTTCCTCACATCGCCGACACAGGGTCAAAAGCTTTAAATAATTCAGACATCGCATCTGTTGGGATTCATTTACAGCCTCATGTAACCATTTATTAAAAAAAAAAAAATCTTTTAAGAGCTGGCAGACGATGTGTGTCTTCTTAGTCAAAAACACACACAAACACACACACACACACACACTTATTGTGTGCAGAGTCGTGGCGGTGCACTATCTCTGCCACTTGCACCCCTCCTCTCCAAAGATGGTCAAGTCCCCCTTTGTTACAAGAGAACAAGAGACACTTGGAGACACTTTACAACACTGAAAGGCGGCTTGTGTTCGAGTCTTGTGAAAATATTTTCCTCCTTGGTGTTTTCAAATATGGACGGTATGAGTCAGCAGAGAAGGCAGGAGACGCAGACACACACAAACACGCACACTGTTCCAGAGAGCCGATCTTAGAGTGGTCAGCGCCTCGCTATACGGAACCCGGGCCAGCAACAAAAACCCAGCTGTTTTATTTGTGGAGCACATTTCTGGCCTGTGCTGATGGCATCTGTGTCCATTTCCCGTTTTCATTCTGCGTCATCCTATTTTAATCGACGTTTAAGTCTCAGGATTAAATCATGCGTTGCTCTTCCCAGAGGTGGATGTGTGATGTGGTTGAAGGTCCTGGCCACACCGGGTGATGAAGAGGAAGTGGAAACATTGCTTATGTTGGAGCTTGGAGGGAAACGCACACAGTCAGGCAAATGCAGAGATGGGAACGGGGGGGGGGTTGGATGTGGACCGGTCTGCTTGTGGGTAGAAATGCTTTGATTAGCAGAAAAGAAAGGTTGCTTCTGCTGCTAAAATAAGCGTGTGAAAGGATCACTGTGCTACTATTTATAGTTGTTTCTCGTGGTCTCCGGCTCCCCCTGGTTCTGGTCTTAAGTTAGCTTCTCTGTGTCTGCATGTCCTGCAGGAGATTTATTTGTTCCTGTCCCAGGAGCTGAAGAGTCTAGCCTCGGCACACGGGGAGAGATTGCTTCACACCCCACATAACCCCATTTCTCTGGGTAAGCTCAGTTCACTGGCTTCAGACCAGCAGCTCTTCAGACTGTTCTGTCCATGCACATTGACTTTTGTCGTGTGTGTGTGTGTGTGTGTGTGTGATTCATTCATTGGGTGTGGCTCCTCTCTCTTCCAGCCATGTCTCTGGACGGTCTGCAGGCCGAGAGCGACAAGGCGGTGACTCAGCTGGGCTCCATGTTGTTCACCCGCCAAGTGTCAGGAGCCAGGTATGAAAACTTTTAAAAGGGCTTCGCCACACCCAGAGATGGGGTTTGTCTGCGTCGTCGGAAAATGCGTATATGAGCTATGCGTTGCCAAGCAAGATGGCCAGTGGGCGTGAGCAATCAGCCAGATGGATCTGCTGTATCTGGCAGGGTGGTGGTGGTGGGGGGGAAGCTACTTTAGACGATTACACTGCCCCATCCTATCAGGACCGCCTCGCAATTTAACAGCTTATTTCCGCCTCGAGCCACAGAGCGGTGTTGTCTCCACGGGGACGGCGGCACAGACGGTCCCAGCCGTGTTCTCACTCCCTCTGGTAGTGCTTCTCCCAAGCAGGAGGGACAGGGGTCTTTTCTTTTTGTCCTTCTCTTTTTTTTTTTTCTGCTTCGTGGCTGATGAAACGAACCAATGTGCCTTTCTTTCTTTTTCCATTTTCCCCTTCAACGGGTTTATGAACAAGCAAGGGAGCCCATCTAAATATTTTAAATATCCCAAATGAATCATTTATTTGGGTCAATATGCCGTAGTTGTTTTGTGTTCAGTTTCTGTTTTAATGCACATTCATTTTCTGGTATCTTTTGCTGTGAGTGAGAGGCAGTTATTCAACATAACCTTTCGACATTTAATTGCAATGCTTCTCTCTACCATGAAGGTCGCTGATATCAGCGGTCTCTAACAGCCCGACAGAAATTCTTTTCTCATTTAAGTGATTTTAAACTGCCGACTGTGGCGCCGGGCCTACAAACCAAAGCGTCGTACGTCTTGCTTGAAATATCTGCTTATGAAACACTTTACGGTTGCAGTTGGTTGAGAATTTAATAATCGTTTATGGTTTTGTTAAAAAAAATAGTTTCATAGATCTTGGCTAATTAGACAAGTTTGTTTGCTAATGTTTTGTAAATCTCTTATTAGATATCTTCATTGCTATTCTGGAATAATCAGTATTTTACCCTGTTGTCCCTGTTTTTCCCCATTGTTTTTTTTTTTTTTTTTTTTCAAGGGTAATACCGCTGGGTAAAGAGCAGACCATAAATGGACACCGGTTCCTGGGCTTTATGTCCCACTCTGAGGCTTACCCCTGTCCCTACCTTAACGCTGCCTCCGCTGTCGGCATCACCCGGGAGGACGTGACGCTGTGCATCAAGAGGCTCGACAAGTGCCTCAAGGCCCTGAAGAAAGAGGGAAATGCCACGAAAGGCAGTTCCCCGGGAGACCCCTCGAGCCAGGGGGACGCAACCGGGGAGTGACTGACGCATCTGAAATGAGAACCCTTATGTATTTCTTCTTCTGGGCCCTCTGCTGCCTCTTCTTCCATTGGTGCCCTGGTTTGAGCCGCGTGCGTCTGCTAATGGCTCTCGCTGATGGATCATCAATCCGGACATTGTAATAAGGTCAAAGCCTCCAGCTCAGCGTGCAACAGCTGGCGCCGGTGTTTATTACAAACCCAAATGACAAACGCTGATGTCACTGATTAATTCTCTGCTCAGTAAAGGTGCGTCAGTAGATAATGGAAGGACAAGCGCTGTATTACGAGCGCTTGGTGGGAACATGTAGTTCACCGCTGATCCAAAGTGTCTGCAAAGACTTGCTGCTCAACTAAATTGTGTATTTTGGACTCAAAATAGAATATGGATAAACTATGTGAAAATGGCCTCTACTTCGGGTGTGTGTTTGTTTCTTAGTTAAACCTTTTTTTTGTCTGCACAGTGCAGTAAAACGCTCAAATATACTAGAAAGTAGCCAGTTTAAAAAAACAATGCTGGAATGTAAGTATGATTCCCTCGCCCGTGTTGGGCAGAGAGTTCACGTGATGTTCTGTTTTGAGAACACATCAGGCTGCTCTTCCACCCACTAATATGTGAAACCATATCGCCTTATGATGTATGTTGTGCCATGTCCTCGGCAGTGTGGTGTAATGAGATACCCAAGCCGTTGAGCCATTATCTCCATTTGAAGCCAGTGCATTGGATCAGCTCATTTACTTTCAGGCTGCGGAAGCGATGGCAAAGGATCACATAATCAATGAAGTACACCAAATCAACCCTGTGTTTGATAATATAAATGTCTACCGAACCAGTACTGTAGACACAGTATGAACCATTTAAGAGATATGCGATTAAATGTAATACGGTAGTATTTTAATGTAAACTGAGTAGGATGGATTTCGATTTCAGTCAGAACTTCCCCAGCGGAATGAATCAATCTTTAATCATGCTGTTTGTTTTTTTTGTCATAGTACTGCACTCCAATCCTACTCATTTGTAAGCGGCGCAGGTAGTGCGCACAAGAAATCCACTCCTACTGAAGTCTCACTAACTGAAGAACAATCTCTATTTCTATTCTGCGCCGGCTCCTTATCAAGGTTGATTGTTGTTTGAAAGCTCAGGACATGCAAAGTCGATGACCTTTGACATGCTCTGGTAGTTCATACTTCCAGCTGCTGTTGTTGCCGCGAGGTCTGTGCAGGTCGTCCTGCATGTGTGTAGCAGCGAAAGAAGCAGCAGAACCAATCCCCCCCCCCCCCTCTCCCTCCCTCCCTCTGAAGTCTTTAAGGTGGACTGGTAGATAAGAGTGCTGCATCAGCACCTTCTGACAGCTCCCAGGCTGTACTGAACCATATACAGAGTACAGTGGAAAAACACTGTGACTGCTCTGCTACAGTGCAGCACTCTGAAACAGAACGCAGCCGTGGCATTCACAAAACGTATAAATGCTCAATGTTGCTGTCTCTGTCTTCTACGTCGGGGGGGGATGTTGCATCAGGGCGAAGAAATACTCAGCTGTTGAATATTTGACAGAGCTGCTGTGCAAGTGTTTTCTTACTCTCCAGGTCCTGATGCCCGTGGGGATTGAGAGAGTCGGACCCAATCTTTTTTTTGTGCTGGCTAATTTGAATGGAGCTCCCCTCTATCGATCCCGTCTGTTGCAACGTGTACATTTGGAAAGAGCTGCTGCTGAGAAACGTGCTCACGGCATCAGTCTTTTTTTTTTAATTTCAGTGTTGTCGGTGTCCAGCATTCCAATGCGGAAACCGCTCAGGAAAATCAAACCGCAGGAGTTAGGCCAGCTGGTTTATCATTAACATTTAAGTCTCTTAATCCTAAAATTGCAGGGAAAAAAAATAGATCTCGTTAATGTGCGCTCCACACAATCGATCATAACTCCAAAGTAGCACAGGGATGCTGCAGGGTGACTAACGGCCCTCCAACAGCTGCCGGGTACCGTTCAGTGATGATGGAGGGCCAGAATGGTCCCAACGGGGCTGCAGAACAACGGGCCACAGTTTACCAAACTACCAATAGGGTCATTGATCACCTGTCTGTGATTGAGGCGTTTGTCATTGATTTAAATATGAATCCGCATATATTGTTTAAATAAAATAGCTTAAGAGGCATAAATCAGCACCGGGTGCAAAACCTAGAAGAACGCGCACTGCTTTTAAGAACCAGCATTCGCACCGAACCGTGGCGGTCTGCGACTACAGGAAGAATCGACTGGACCAACACCTTTCCGAGGGACATCCTGAACTGAGTGCCGGCGACTTGGGGAGACAGTCATCGCAGCTGTAGAGCGATATGCCTCCATGCCGGCCGTAGCCACGGTTTCGCTGCTTGACGTTGTGCCGCCTTCCTCGTGGGTGGTCCAGGCGAGCGAAAGTCATCCTTTGGCTGCTGTTGTCATCTAGGATGACTTTGAGAAATGCTGAGGCGTTCATTTTTCTACGTCTCAGTCTGTGAAGAGAAGAAAGGTGACTGGTTATTGTTCAGCCAAAGTATGGAGAGAAAATAGATGTGACGATACCCTTCACGTTACCAAACCCGTGTGTACAAAACAGCAATTACATAGGGCTGAAAATACAGCTTGTGATTAATTGTTCAGCCCTACTATTAATCGCCCTATTTGGTGGCTAACCAACCTTTTATGATGATGTGCCTTTTGAAGGTCACCGTACGATTTGATCCAACTGTGTAACAGGCCAGTGGATGGGAGTCTGTGAGTTCAGAGGGCCACAAGTTTGACTTGTCCGGATGGTGACCGGCTTAGCTCAAAGGCTCTGCAGTGTTCAGTGTACCACCCTCACAATCAGGTGTGCTAGGGCATTGTAGCTTCATAGCCTTAGCTTCTTCCGCCTTCAGTACACCAACTGGAACTGTGGAGATACCTCACGGCTAACTGTACCATAAGACGGCGAGTTGATGTGGAATGCGATCATCATTTGATGTTTTGAAGCCAGAGTCAGTGGTACATTCTTAAAGCAGCGTGCGTGTTTAACAATGTTCTTAAACTGTTTGGCTTCGAATCTGATTGTCCAACCGGTGAGGGCCAAAACACCTTATCATCTGCGGGAAGTGTTCAAGATGGTGGTGTTAGAACTCTGTCACCAGGGAACAGCTCTTGATACCTCTGTTGTGCTCGACAATGTTGCTTTCGAAGTATGAGATGGTTTCATCTGTATGCAGAAGCAACAACATAATGCACAATGTCTTTTAAATCCATCAACACAAGCCATTCTGGGTCATTTTCTGGAGAGGTCCTACCACTAATGGGAGTATAACCGGCTCGTTTTCATCAGCCTTACCACCAATTTCCAACCCAAGAAGCTCTGAGGTACAATATGTGCTTGTTGTACCAAATTGTAAATCCAATTTGTTTACTCGACAGTGTAAAGCAGTAATTCAACTTGTGTTTTTAAATTGAACCCCCTTGATTTTTTTTTTTGTGTAAAACTGGCAAAGCAAAGTATTTTTGCAATAATGTATTTTCTCCCCTCCTGTAAAATACATTTCACTGATATAATTTTGGTTGCATTGTAGAAATTAGATGTGAATGTGGCAATTACTGAGTTTTTTGTTTTTCAAGGTGTATTGTGCGTGTGCGCGCGGCCCGTCATTGGCGCTGTCCATGGTGCCGCAGTTCCGCGCTCCTGCATGAAGGGGGGGTAGAATACAGTACACCTTACTGTAAAGTGTCCCCCATAAACACTCCCGCTCCCTGGCGTCAAGTCCGTGCTGCAAAACGCATCCAGAAATTACAATTGGCCCCCAAAAATGTACATGTGTGACTAACTGACGTCATTCAGAATTGATTCTGGAAGTCTATAAAGTCTGTCGCGGTGTATCATGATATAATGGAGCGGTGTCTATAAATGTACACTATATATTTAAGCAAAAAAAACATGTTTAAAACGCGTCTGTCGATGCAACATTGGTTCCCAGCTCTCCAGTGGCATTCATAGTAATAACGTTTATTTTGTGTCATTTGTTCTTGGCGCACGGATGTTTAACCAACAGTTATCCGAATGGGGCTCCTACTTAATAAATAATGAAAGTGGACGGAGGGGAGCTGCAGCTGATTTGCTGATGTCAGGGAGCCAGTGCAGCATTTCATGGTGCAGGGTGGAAGCGCGCGGTGCCATCTGCCTCCATCGGTGTTCTCAGCAAAACCCCAATTCCGCGCATGCAAAAGCCCGGAGAGGAAAGATGCCGCCGACTCTCAAGATCTGGACACTGTTCTCTCTGTCGCTCTGCTTCCTGTCCCAACCCTGCCATTTGAAGAAGGCTTTCCGATGTCCTTCGACATGCAGCTGCTCCAGGGAGTCCATCATTTGCGTCGGGTCCTCCTACGTTCCGAGGATCAGCCCCAACGACGTCAGTTCTTTGTGAGTAGCTCCGCGGAGGATCTCCTCACCGTGCGCGCGTGTTTAATGCATAATAACGCAACGTGGGCTTATTACTGCACTTCGTTAAAACACAGCCACCGTGCAAAGAGAATGCATTCCGTTGATCGATACGCTTTTTTGGGGGGTGGCTTGTTGTTCATCGGGTGCTGCTTCTTCCTTTCAGGAGTCTCGTCAATGGGACTTTCTCCGAGGTGAAGGAGGCGATGTTTGCTCACATGCCGTCCCTGCAGCTGCTGTAAGAGTTCTTCAGCAGCATGTGTCTTCACTGCGTCGTGAGGTGTTCGTGCGAGTTGTTCTCGCATCCGAACAAGGGGGGAATTTAGGAAATGCTATAAGCAGTTTTGATTTCAGTGGAAATTGGTGAATTTCACAGCACCGTGAAATGTCTTTAATGCGGGGGATGGACATTACAAACGCACCAGCATATTAATGGCACGGAACTAAACAAGCGCTCATCGCACATGATAAACTATCATCTTTGCATGCGATAGCGTTGACTTAATTCAGGATGTTATGCTGTGCAGCAAGTTGCCCGGTGGGCATCAGATACAGTGAAGCAACGTCTGTTGGGTGCACGTTAAAGTAGTCAGCAGTGGAGGGTGTCAAAGGACACCTGTGAATAAATGAATAATGGAAATCTAGTCAGGAGCTTTTAGTGCAGTCCCGTGCAATATTGTACTTACCAGAAGCCATCAATGTACTTAGTTGCTCCTCTGTAGAAGTAGCTGTGATGCCAGCAGAAACAAAGGCGTGGCTCAGATATAGAGCATTAAACCAGTCACGACACGCCATGATTTAATGTCAACTTCTTAAAAAAAAATACTATTACCCTTTTCTCTGTTTGCCTGAACGTGAATTGCCAAACTGAGAAATTGGGTCTGTTTTAGAGACCGAATCACAGCCTTGGTTAATACGTTTTTTGTTTTTGTTTTTTACAGGCTTTTGAATTCCAATTCTCTTACAACTGTAAGGGATGATGCATTCTCAGGCCTTGCTCATCTGGAGTATCTGTAAGTTCCTCATTTAATTGATTTTTACTTCTGTTCAAAGTAACGCAAAGACGTTTAGTGAATTAGTGTAGTTACCAAAGAATGTGGTGTACGCCCTCTAGTGGTTACATTTATTTTAGAAAAGCTAAACCATTTTCGAAAAGATTATTACAATCATTATAGATGTTGGCACCAAAGGCATTTTTGAAAATGTATGTATTTATGAGCAATTAATTGAAACAACATTTTCAATAAATTCACATTTTCTTACCAGTAAATCATCAATTCATTGTTATCTTCCACAGGTTTATTGAAAGTAACAAGATGGAGACTGCAGCCAAATACGCCTTCAGAGGACTCAGGGACTTGACTCACTTGTGTGGTTCAACATTTAAAATGATTACCAAACACATTTAAAATGTTTAATTTGTAGTATTTGTTTGCTGATTTCTGAAGTAAGGCAACTAAACTATTTTAAGTGATGCTTAATAGTTCACTGCTTTATTAGGATTACGTTTTCTGCATTGTTGTTATTTCTAGGTCTTTGGCGAACAACAACATCGAAGCCTTGCCCAGGGACGTCTTCATTGACTTGGACTCGCTGATAGAGCTGTGAGTTAGTCTTTGGAGAATAGTGAAATGTCCTCTGTTCTACTACTTTACGCTCTGCCCAAACTACATGTATCTGTATATCTTCCTCCTCTCACTTTTTAATCTTCAAAGGCGCCTTCCAGCTTGCCCACTTCTCTGCAATGACAAACAGTACTCCTCATTTCGCAGGGACCTGCGAGGCAATGCCTTTGAATGTGACTGCCGGGCCAAGTGGCTCATGACTTGGCTGAAGAACACCAACGCCACAGTGTCGGATGTTGTGTGCGCCGGGCCGGAGGACATGAAGGACAAGCGCCTCAATGATATGACCAGCCTGCACGATGAATGCGTCTCAACGGGTGAGGAAACCCTTGAGCCTTGAACATTTTAGTTCTCTTACAGTACAAAAAATATATATGTTATTCAGTTTTTGGAGAATTTTTAAATTCAGAATGTGCCTTTCCCCAGATTTTGTCCTCCATCAGTCGGTGGCATCTGAGTCTCTGTCTGTCGACACGTTCAGCTATAAGAATGACGTCTACGTCACCATTGCTGCTCCCAGCGCTGAGAGCTGTATGGTTTTGCAATGGGACCACATAGAAATGAACTTCAGGACTTACGATAACATCACAGGTACGGCAACGGACTGTCTCATAACACCGGGGTGTTGAGAGTGTTTACCCTTTTGTGTAAAATTGGCCTGTCTATTGTCTTTCCCCCTAACTTCCAGGTCAGTCCATTGTGGGTTGCAAGTCAGTCGTCATTCAGGACCAGGTGTTTGTCATCGTGGCTCAGCTCTTTGGTGGTTCCCACATCTACAAGTTTGACGAGGACCAAAGTAGGTTCAGCAAGTTCCAGGACATTGAGGTGTCCAAGATCTCCAAGCCCAATGACATCGAGGCATTCCAGATTGGATCCGACTGGTTCTTTTTGATCGCGGACAGCTCGAAAGCCGGCCTGTCGACCCTCTACAAGTGGAACGATAAGGGCTTTTATTCATACCAGTCCCTGCATGAGTGGTACAGAGACACAGACGCAGAGTTTTTGGACTTGGATGGGAAGGCCCACCTTATTTTGGCGAGCCGCTCACAGGTGCCTGTGATCTACCAGTGGAGCCGCAGCAACCAGAAGTTCGTCCTGCAGGGCGAGATCCCCAACATGGAAGATGTTGTGGCTGTGAAGCACTTCCGTGTCAAGGAGGAACTCTACCTGGCTATGACGCGCTACATCGGTGACTCCAAAATCCTGCGTTGGGGCGCCAAACAGTTTGTGGAGATCCAGGCCTTGCCCTCACGGGGCTCCATGGTTCTCCAGCCGTTCTCATTCAAGGATCGCTACTACCTGGCCCTGGGAAGTGATTACACCTTCTCGCAGATCTACCTGTGGGATGATGAGATCAAGCTCTTTGACCGCTTCAAAGAGGTGTACATCCAGGCGCCGCGCTCCTTTACCGTGGTCGCCACTGACCGCAGGGACTTCATCTTTACATCTAGCTTCAAGGGAAACACACAGATCTTTGAGCACGTCATCATTGACTTGAGCCTGTGAGGGGCTGTGCTTTATTGCTCCTCCAGCCCTCGAACGTCTTCCACTAAAAAATGTATTTGTGAAAGGAAGTAAAAAGGACCAGGACAGACTTAATGTACTGTCAAATATCAATTCTTCCACTTGTGGCTGTTGCAAATAAGAGCAGGGTCGAGTGGCGCGTGGAATCCTTCTTGTTTTTGACGTTTCCTGACTATTTCTTGATGGCCTTGTTCTGATATCTGTTCTCATGGTCTCTCCGACCATAGGAGACCCTCCCGTTTCACAGAGACTGAGAGGAGGCTGGTACTCTCCTAAAAATCCAGCTGACATTCCTGGGGGTGTATTTGAAATATATTTTGATCAATTTGGATGTAAATTTCAGTTTAGTATCCCCTGTGCTATATGTTTTATACCCCCCCCCATCCCCAAAAATATATATACACCAGTACCCGACAAAAAAAAATGTTACAGAAATTTAGTTTGATTGTTCCTTGGGGCATGTAACGGGTGTGTTTGCTCATCTATGTGCAACTTGCCTCACGTCCTCATACCGTGTGGTAATGTGCAGTTTGTTGCCTTATCAGCACTGGGGTTCTGGGTCTGATGGGCCCACAGTGCCTCCTTCCGGCCGTGATCAAGCATCACACCCCTTTGCGATTTCCATACAGGGAATGAATCTCGAAAGCACAAACTTTTAATAACTATAGCCGATACCCCAGCCCTTAGAGTGTAGTTGTTACATGAAAAATGTTACTGTAGATGCTATGGATTATATTGCTTACAGTAAAACAAATGAGACGTATTTTGTTGTTTTGGGAGGTTAAATTGATTTGGAAAATGATATAGCTTTAGCATTTTTGGACAAACGGGAGAATGGAACAACCTTTTAGTCCACAGGACCTATAGGTGATAGAGCAGATGGAAGCCCTTTTATCCGCTCAGTGTTGATGATCAGTGAAACCAACAGACAGACATAGCTTAGTTTTAGGATAGAACAAAAAATAGGCTACACCCCGCAGAAGCCAGTGGACCTATATAAATAACATTGAAAAAAGGACATTTGTTTGTCCAATAATGAAGGAAAGAAAACGTTTATGTAAATATATTCACTCAAGTTGAGAGGCTTTTTTTCTCTACGTCATTCTGTTCTTACTAATATTGAATGTTGACTTGACAAAATGTACATAAAACATGGACTGCAATGCTACTACCTGTTCCTCACACTACAACCTGAACAGATTTTTGGAGTTACTGTATAAAGAAAAGAATAACAGTTTGCAGGAGCATGACATTCAAAAAACGGTGTTTGCCAAATTCTTTTAGATTTTTCTGAAGTCTAAAAATGATGAAGTCTTAAAGTAGTACTCCTCATTGTATGGCAAATAATGAAGAACATAGCGGAATATGCAAGCTTTACGACATGAAGATTCTTTTGTATAATCTAGTTTCAACCGTATTGAATGTTACTCTCGATATCCTGTAAATCCAATTATTTGAGTATCAAAATGTGTAAAAGTATGATTGTACGAAGTGTTGTATTATTCCTTGCTTTAAAAAAGGTCATCATAACCACAAAAACAGTCAGTGTTAATATGGACATCATTGACTAAAAAGAGTTTAAATAAAATTCTCCGCGACTATTTGTCACCGATGTCTTAAAGTCATAAAGCCACAACTCCTCTTCCTACATGTCACACGAACATACCTTCAAGTCAGGTTAACTTTTCTGCGATGCAAATGTAATTTATGACATCATAAAAAACGTTTCATTAATGGCCAAATGTTCTGTTAATTCTAAAGGTGGCAGGAATGCTAATTTATTGTATCATCTCTGGAGGGTACGATCCTTTTGGCGATTAACCTCACGAATGTGTGTAAAATCCAAATAGGGATGTTGGAAATGGAGATTGAAATTCAGAAATGCAACTGTTATTCTCTCTGAACATTTGGTGGCCCTGTACTAATATCCTTGACTCACAGATGATGAAAGATCTCATTGTTCTGTGTCCGAAGAACTGTGTCCACACAGTGGATTTTAGTCTGCGTTTTTTCAAGGAGAAATATTTTCAAAACTTTTCGCAACAGGGAAGCTCTGGCGAACTGCCAAAAGGCTGACTAATATGTGCTTTGTTTTTGGGGGAAAAGAAGCGCCAGGGCGCATTGCTTCATACGTAACCTGCATGCACACTAGAAACTGAAAGTGACGCTGAAACATTAGTTTAAAATATTTTCTTTTATGGTTTAGTTTTAGGCTGATTGAATATAACTTCATGCTTTATCCTACATTACACTATGGCGTTATTTTGAACTTTGCTTATGGATGGCAGGCATTGGACAGCAACCTAAACATGCCACAGGCGGAGCAAGGGCACAACAAAAGAGGAAAAATGACAAGACATCACATCGAGGAAATAACCGGAAGAACAGGAAGTCAATGTGGACGCGAACACAAATCTTTTGTGGAGGATTTGGATAGATCATACTCGAAGACGACATTGCTCTTCAAAATTGTAAGTGTTATGAACTTATGAATTTACGTCATGTAGAACAAAATCAGGAGAAAGTTGAGCTAGAAATTAGATTCAATGAGGTTTGAAAACCTCATTTTGTGTGTGAGTACGTGGCCACAACTGGTTGACAAAATGGCGCGGGTGTCTTTCGATGGGAGTCGGAAGACCGCGATGTTAGATTTAATAGTTGATTTTAAACTGTATTCATTTATGATGCCAATAGTATATCAGCGCAATGTGTTTTCTGTTTGAACTGTACTGTTATGCCATTTGGTGAGTAATAGGTAAATCTATAAAGAACCAAAACTAGAACAAAATTTATAAAATACATGCTTATTTATAAGGTTCGAAGTTAGCGGTTGTTATATTGGTATTGAGGAAGTTACGGAGTGAGTTAAAAAAAGCAGTGGGCATTAATTTCCTCTCCCTGTCTCTGTCTTCGAGGCGGAGTTGTGCTTCACTATAGACACACAACTCAGTACACTGTGAAACGTACATCAAGACAAGGAGAGAAAAAAAATCAAAAGTTTGTCTACATTTGACTTGAATAAAGGCTGAGAACTGAAATCAAAATATTTGGCGAACAGACAAATCTGCAGACGTCCTGCTTATCCAATGCACTCAATGGTGTAGTTTACGTGATTTGCAGGGATACGCCGTATGGTGGCACATGGAGTAGAGAGGGTGCGCCGAGAACTGCAAGGTTGGTGGTTCAAGCCCCGGCTTCTCCATGTCTCATGTCAAAGTGTCCCTGAGCAAGACACCTGTAAAAGCCATGAGTTATAAATGCAATGTAAGTCGCTTTGGATAAAAGCGTCAGCTAAATGACATGTAATACCCATGAGGAAAAGTCAAGGATTCCATATACCCACTAACAAATGCGCGATGATACGTAACAACATTGTTATGACAGGAAGTTCTAGCTTTAATTCATAAATTCACCCCGTCTGTGTTGTGAAGCACTGACATTTGGATCTTTGGGGCTTCCGTGCCCTCGATCTGACCCAACATCGTTACTAAGCAACAAAACGTGGTTTGGCGGTCATTGTTTGCGCGGTATTTCCTTTCTCGCAACTAAGGGAATGACGCTGACTCTACCATCACTCTGGGTAGAGTTTGAACAAAGTTCAAGGGTAGTGCGGCAGTGTAAAAGTGTCGATTAAATGGTCCATTTGTGTGCTATCCCGTGTGATGTTCAGATTCAGTTCCATTTCTAAAAGTTAAATCTGTCTGATCTTAGTATGAGGCTGGGGGGGAATCACAGAATGCAAGTAGCATTAGCTATGTTTGCTAATGAGAATAGAATAAAGCAAATCTCAGTGATAAGAGTTAATATATTACAACCAAACTCAACAACACTGGCCATAATGACAGAACTGTTTCACAATAATGTTTGGTGCTTTGAACTTTAACCTCATGCTTTTGTCTTTTCACAGAAAATCTAAAAGAAATACAAACCACAATGGAAGGGAACCAAAACAAGACAAATTGTAATATCGTGCAATATATAATTGATAACAACCTACAGGAGCTCAAAAATGTACTAAATAGGGGAAACATTAATGACCTTTACTCATACAGCGAGTGGAATGACTGCGTAACCCCACTGATAGTTGCTATTGTCAATCATAGGGAGGATATTTTGTCTTTCTTACTGCAAGAGGGTGCAGACCCAAACAAGGTGTCGCAAAAGGGCTTAACACCTTTACATTATGCATCTAAGTCCAAAGCACCCCTTGCTTTTGTGACAAAACTGCTGAGACATAATGCGAATCCAAACGCATGTGATCTCAAGGAGGAAAAGTCTGTGACACCTCTGCAAATAGCAGTCATTGAAAGAAGGAGCGATATCATTAAGGAGCTCATATCTGCCGGTGCACAAGTGACCAAGTTCCCTGCATCTTTTCCTAGACACATTTCTCACAACAAATTTTTATCGCAGATGATGGATCACCCTACATTAGAAGGAGATGAATCCATAATTGGAAAAATGCGTAGGTACGTCAGGTACGTCATTCCGTGCTACGGTGCTGTAGATCAAGTGCCCGGCACACTCTTCAGCAAACAAACCTCGGAAGGTGACGATGGGGCGGACTCAACCAGATGTGATCATAGGACCGACCAGCAAGAAAGTCCAAAGGATCCAGCATTAGCTCCTCAAACTTCCAATGGTTTACCTGTCCAACCTGGTACATCAAAAACAATGCAGGAATGTCCAATCAGCAAGAGATGGAGAGAGAAGTTAGACAAGATTCCTCACTTCATTGAAACAGAGAAAATCAAGATAAAAAAGATCGGAAGCCTGACGTATGTGAATGATGACGAATTCCACATATCTACAGGTAGTGATGGCACCGAGGTCTTTCTGGGGTACAGAGATGATGGCACTGAAGTTGCTATCAAGAAAATGTTGAAACGCAACTATGAAGAGCTGAAGAATGAGGAAAAGATTCTAAGGCTTCCAGAGCTTGATCATCAACTCATTGTGCGATATGTTGACACGGCGAACGATGATGAATTTGGATATATTGCTCTTCAACTTTGTGAATACACCCTGGAAGAATACATTATCATTAAAAAAGGTGACCGTCTGCTGATGGAGAAACTTGTCAAACAACTCCTCGAGAGTTTAAAGGTGCTTCATTGTCCTTGTGATTCGAGTCCTCCAATCCTCCACCGGGATCTCAAACCACAGAATGTTTTGATCGGTGAGACAAATAAAAAATATTCATAAAATGTAATTTGCGACAAAGTAAGTAAGTACAAAAAATATTTGTATTATTCTCAGAAATGATTTGGTTCAATGAATACATTTACACCATTTGTCCTGCAGATGTTTTGGACAGGGTCAAATTAGCGGATTTTGGCATCAGTAGACGGTTACCCAAAGGCGCCAGCACGCATCGCTCCGGCAGAGCAGGAACACAATGCTGGATGGCCACAGAGACTTTAAATGGAGGAAATGACACGCCCTACAAGCGGAGCACCGACATCCAGGTTAGTGCTGAATATTTCTTAAAATGTTAAATGTGAAAAATATTTCAGTAACATAACCATTATGTTTACTTCCAAGGTGGCAGGCATGCTGATATATTATATCCTCTCTGAAGGACACCATCCTTTTGGTCATGTTGTGTTAAACGAAGAAACGCCGGACGGACAGAGGTCATCGCTGATCAAAAGGTTAAAATCAAATGTATTTGATAAAGGTGATGGTGTTGTGGTAAAAAGAACATCTCAGCTGAGGAGCCGCTGGTCTCAGCAATCAACAGGCCCCAGGTCAGTCCTTTGACCATCCCTAGTGCCCGTCTGTTGCCTCCATCAGCAAACTCGAGAACAATGGTTCCTACAGGTATTTATAACAATGCTTAAAGGTGTGAAAGTTAGTGTCCACACCTCTGGGAGTGGTCTTCTGGTGAGTTCAATGTAACTCAGATTTCGAATGACCCATAGTCAATATCAGTTGTTGTTCAAGTATTACATGCATGCATTCCAGTTGATTCCATTAAATACAATCATAACTGTACATTGATGTTATTCTATTACAGTTGCAGAATTACAGTGGTTTTACAATATTGTCATTACTTTATTGATTACAGTTTCAGAATCATGGCTGTATATTGGTGTACACTATATGCATTTTTATTAATTTTATGAACCGGGTCGTATATTTGTTTCTAATATCCTACAGTCACCTTCACTTTAAATGTGAGGACAACATTTTCGAAGGGAACTACTCTCTAAACCTTGTTCAAGATGTGCTGGCAAAGGATCTCATTGAGATGATGATCAATAAAGAACCAGAGAAAAGACCTCGAGTGGAAGAATGCTTGAGTCACCCTTTCTTCTGGACCCAAGCCAGGTGGTTATTTTTAATTTTCCCAATTCATTCAGATCCATTCAACTTTCTATGTTTTTAGCTGCATTAACAAAACCTACAGCCACCCAAAGGACTGTGAGGCTTGTAATGGTCAAATATGTTATAACATTGTTTTGTGCTAAAGCAGTGTCTCAAGTGTCCTGTATTTGACTGATGTTCAAAGAGCAGCATGATACAAAATGTTAGTTTGCAGCTGTGTCCTGAGAAGGGAGGGCGGTCGACTCAATCTCATAGAAGCTTCAAAACAAAGGACTTCTGTTCATGGCCTTAGTTCATATTCTTATTCGGTACCAAAGTTCCGGATCCACGTTTTACTTTATGTCAATTAATTTTGATTTGCACCGGCCACTGAGGAGGATCTTGTGTGTGTGTGTGTGTGTGTGTGTGTGTGTGTGTGCTACCCTCAGCTTCCCCTGGGTTCTTATCTCAACCTGCTTTGCAGCTTCTCGTAACTGGCACGGAGAATGTCTGTGATATCACGAGCACCGTGATACGTGCCTGTGTATTTGACCTCCTGCTTGCAAGCAATAAATAGACTTTTTGCAACTTTGATCATTCATCAAGACTCTGTTTTATCGGACAAATCATTCTCTTCTACCAAGCTTTTATTGAAATATTCCATAACAGGCTGCCATTAAAAGCTCAGCGGTGCTTTCATCTAAAGGCTAACATCAGCATGCTAATATGCGAACGCTAGGAAATTCTAATTACCATTGCCACTATCTTAGTTTGGTACCTTACTAGCTAATACTTTGTAAGTATTTCCAAATAAAAAAAAAACAAATGTATTTACATTTAAGGATGATGTTGTTAGGCCAAACTGAAAATACTTGCTGAAGGCGCGGGAGAGAAAAAGTGGGCGTCATTACGACTCATCCTTTGGGGGGGATGAATGCTCGTACGAACTGTCCTAGCGATCCATCCAATAGTTTAGAAGAAATGATGTGGTGGACTGGCCGACTGATTATTTTAGTCGCGCTTATCTTTTTTTTTTTTTTTTCTTTAATTGCTCTTATTTTCCTCAATACATTTCAAAAGTAAAAGCCTGTCTGTATAAAAAACAATGCAATGTGATATAACAAAAAGTTGTTTACACCGTGTCAAACACCCACCCTTAACGTAGGCTGTATTTTATTTTGCAGTAAATTAGCCTACATTCAAAAAGCTGGAGACGTGCCTGAGGTGAAAAACTATGGAAATCCTGAAGCGGGATTGAAATCTTCGCTGGAGAAACATGCTGGCACTGGAGCCTTCAAACAGTGGAAAGAAAAGGTGATTTTAACAAAACAACTTTAGACCAACTAGCCTTCTTTTTCTTCTTTTTTTAAGTATAACTATGATGTTTTTCTTTATAGTTTCCACAAGACTTGGTCAAGAGGATGGAAGGCAAAAAGTCACCCTACCCTGACACTATGTTGGCATTATTGCGCTTCATACGTAACGGCTTTACGCACTAGTAAGTTAAATTTGATATTAAGTTTTTCCATTCCATCGAGGTAAACAAACACAATTCATCTTTACTGAAGCTAAAAGCTGCCAAGACAGAAAAACAATGCTCATCTTGACTAGTCCAATTCTTTGGAACATTAAGGATTACGAAAGTATACGTATGTGTTTAACATATTTATTGAATTATTTCCCGGTTTTACTGGCTTCTTGGTATTAGTTTTAACGCCATATCCATTAACTTTAACACTAATAACATCCACCTTCACGGCCACATCAGTTTTTTTTACAATATCTGCTTCATTACTTTAGAAATTACTTCGTTTTTGTTTCCAAATATCTGCTTTTCTAAGAGCTATTACTGGCCTACATTTTTAGGCCTTTAAAAAATCTATTCAAGGGGTTGCAAGTTGAAATGTTGGCAAGTTGGCAAATGTTGTCTGTATTTCTGTTTGCAGTGAGAAGGACATGGACAAAATTAATGTGATGTCGATGTTTCCTGGTCTCTTTGGAGTAGTTTATACATTTGCCAAAAGCCAAAACTGGAATTCCGAGGCGCCCCTGAAGGACATGTTTAATACAGAGGTGATTCCAGGAGACGACCTCACCACTGGAGTTGTAACGACTCCTAATAATTCTGGAGAGCCTCTTGCCCTGCCAGTTCAAGAATCTGGAGACCTTTCCACTGAGCCAACTGATAAATAACACCAGGCTTGCCGTGCGGTCCTTCAGTTTAGTTGCATCTTTACTTGGAGATAAGTGAGGCCTGACATCAGTGAGTTGATTTGAATAAAGGGCGGTTAAATTCACTGACACATGGTAGTGTGAAATTAAGTGCCGTAAATTCCCTTGTTTATTTTGTTATTGATCTTTCATGTGTATGTCATCTAAAACTGTAAAACACAAAATATATATGTCGGTGTTGAGATATGTTTGTGTTATGTAATGCACAGAAGTGACAGCAGATATGCAGGAGATGTGAGGCCCCTGGTATTATCAAAGGGGCCTCATTTTTGGGGGGGGGGGGGCTTTGGGTTGTTGGTTTGTGGGGTGGTTCATGCTTTTTGCTGGACGGTGATGGAGAAGCTGTAGTCTATTGTAGGTAGACATTTTATTATGCCTTTTTCTCTGTTACTTGTTATAATCTGAATTTTTGTTCTGAAGTAAATAAAACCGAGTTCGCTCTGAGTCTATGAAGTTTTTGAAAAATGTCTTCATTGAGACCCAGCGGCGGAGGGACAGAGACGTCCACGGACCTGTCTTCAGGAGCTCGTTTTCTAAGCAACGCTCCTCCCGTACCTGCTTTCCTCTTTTACTCGCGGTGCTGTGACTTCTCAGGATTCCCGCTAGGAGATCTCGCGAGAAGTGTGCGGGAATTAAAGGGGAAACAATTATAAATATGATTTAATAAACACAAAACGAGCAGCAACGTGTTTAATTAGAAGACGTTAAAAGAACAGAACACACGCATATAAATCTATATTCACTAATAGATGAGTAAATCAAACAGGTCTTTGAACTACAAATGGCCTACATATCGGATCTAATATGACGTAACTGTTTTTTGACGCCCCCTGCGTTAGAGTGCGTGCTTTTATTGTGAAGGAAATCTTGTTAAATGTATCGATTTACGTTTTACTATCTTTAAATCCTTTCCGGGATTGCAAATGATACAGCTGTGTATCTTACTGTGATGTTTACTGTCACACCAATAAGAATCGCCCAAAACTAAATTTCTTCGACGGGGATTTTATTTTGGATATAAAACGCGTATCTTGTTCCCGCCCGCTTGACGTGACAACGGCACTAAAAAAAAAAAAAAGTGACGTTGCAAGATAAACAAACGGAGCCTGGGTACAGACGGAGAAGACACCCCTTTTCTGACATTTTGTGAGAGTATTTGAGACGATGCAGCCTTCCAAGAGGAGCGAGGGCGACTGGCAGGGGCTCGTCAGCGAGGTGAGTGAACGGCGGTCACCGTGAACAGCTGTTGCAGAGACGGACTGGTGTTTACAGACGCCCCCCTGCGCCCAAACATACGGAGCGATCTTCCGTGTCTCGGCTTAGAAACCCCGCTTGTCCCTGTTTTGCCTGATATGCGAGAGTAATCATTTGAAGGTGGTAAACTAGTGTGCCGTTGTGTCAGGCTGCCTGCATCCCAACCCCCCCATGCATGCAGGATGCAGGATGCAGCGTGCAGCGTGCAGCATGCAGGATGCAGGATGCAGCGACGCTCCTGACGCCTCTTTCACACCTACTGCATTGTGACATATGCCTTTGGGGCTGCACAGAACTTTTCCTCACCCAATATTTAAAAATCAATGATTAGTGACATGCATAAAATATATTGTTAACCCATAGCTGGCTGTTATTGGCACAGAATGTACAGAAATGACCAAAGCAGCAACAACAACAATCAACTTTGGAAACTTCAAGGTAATACCAAACAGTAATTTAATCACTCCAACCACAAACCCCAAAGGATTTGCTTATTTTCCTTTCATAAATATCTATCCAGTGAACGCTATCCAGTGAGGGAATAACTGCCCGCTTCATGAATCATTGGTTGCAGTTTTACATCCTGAATGAGCAAGGTCGAGCCACGCGACACACTCACTGCCTTACGCACATTCAGCTCTGCGGGCTGCTATTTCATTTGGTTAACGGCGGCTTTGACCCCTATCAAGGTTTACTCTGTTCTCTCCGCTGTGTCTTATCTACACGTTGAACACTAGTGTGTGTTTTTCCACCTCCCGCTTGACCAATTCCATCCGGGCCTGTTTTAAAATGACAAAGCCAAGAACCAACTGAATGATGCGCTCGTTGTTATAATCGGGGTCCCCCCCCCCTGGGATTAACACTTACACAAGAACTGTGTCCTGTATCTTAGTTCCTGGTGTGTAAGCGCAAGCTGGAGAGTAAGAAGGAGGCCCTGCTCATTCTGTCCAAGGAGCTGGATTCCTGTCAGCAGGAACGAGACCAGTACGAGCTGATGGCCAACCAGCTGAGGGAGCGCCACCAGGGACTCAAGAAAAAGTACCGGGAACTCATTGTGAGTGGCTCTGGCTTTCCAGGTGTTGATTTGGGTGTGCACGGTCGAGTGCGCAAGTCGTTAGTGTATTAGGACTCTGTGACCAAGCGGTCCGGGTAATGATCGACAGTGTGACGGACCAAGAACATTTTGATTATTTAACTCTTTTCATATTTTAGGATGGTGACCCGTCTTTGCCACCAGAAAAGCGAAATCAAGTGAGTCTGCTGCTTTTCAAGTGTAACAACCACAATTTAAGAGTTGCCCGCTGAACTGCATTAAAAGAATGAGTAAACAGTATTGTGAAAAGGATAACGCCGACATGCACGCTAGCTCACATTTCACACAGAGTAAATAATGTGATTCTTTGCTGCTGCTTCATTCTTCTTTCTCCTCATCCTCCTCAGGTGAACCTGGCTCAGCTGTTGAGAGACGCGAGGGAGCGAGCCAAGCAGCTGGCGGAGGAGGTGAAGGAGCTGACCCAGAGGCTTACGGAGGCCCAGGGAGACAACAAGGTGAGGTCACCACGAGCCTCCTCGCTCAGTCCAGTTAACCAGTAGACGTGTTCGAGAGAAACGGCAAATTTTCATTTTAACTCTTTTTTTTCCTGCAGCTCCTGAGGATGACCATTACGCGACAGAGGCTGGGGGACGAGGAGGTGGGGGCACGCCATTTCCCCGCCCATGAACGGGAGGAACTGGTTCGCCAGCTTGAGCGAGCGGGGCTACAGGTCGAGACGTTCACTGCTTTCCAATCAAAAACACAAGTAGTCAGAAACATACGGTGTATTTGACGACGGCTGCTTTCTTGTAGATGGAGGAGATGGAGCACAACCTGAAGGCCGTGACGGACGAGCTCCAGGACGTGAAGTCGGAGCGCAGTGTGTTCAGGGAGAAAGCGCACCGACTCAACGTGGAGCTCAACCACGTGTTGGGTAACCGCGAGGCGCGCATCATCGACGTGGACGCCCTCTGCATGGAGAACAGGCAAGTGGGACGGAGAAGCAGATCCGCGGTACACAGAGCGGCCGCCAATGTCCGCTCCACTTCTTCTTATTCGTCTTTCTGATGCTTCACTGGTTGTAAACACATCTTTGTTGAAAAATCGTACGTTTTCGGGGGAATATATATATATATTACACAAGTTTAATATAAGTATAAAAGCTCTTAAAGAAAAGACATTTTCACTTTATTGTGATTCTTCTTCGATTGATTGCTTTTTGTTTTTCAATTAATCCTTATATTAATTTATTCATACATTAATTTATCTTTGTTAAGATTAAACCAATTACCCCAAACAGGTGGATTGACTATTATTTAAAACGATCATGGGGACGGTCACACTAATAGTATAATAGATGGGCTTTGTGTTTTGGGCCACACAGACTACAGCTCTAATACCAACCTTCATACACATGTTTAACTATAAACTTTAAAAGCGTCTGGTGTGTCTCGCGTGTGAATCTCATTGCATGTGTTTCGGCTCCCGTGATTTGTGATTTTAATTGTTTTTAACTCTTAGGTATTTGCACGAGCGTTTCAGCCAACTACAAGAGGAGGTGAACTTGCTGAAATCCAACATCATGAAGTACAAGGTACAGATGGAATGTCTCGAATTGTGTGGCCTTTTAAATCCTTAACAATTCATTTGACTTTGCTAAATAAAAAGAAAAGAAAAGGATGGCATGGTGCGCTTTATTCTGCCGTTTATTTTCCCCTCCCCACAGACGGCTCTTGAGAGGAGGAAAAACTCCACCGCATATGGGAAGTCAAACAGCAATCCCCTCACTGGCGTCCTCTCCGCCAAGCAAGGTGAAAACCGTTCAGCTCACTTTGAACCTCTGATGTAAATAGATCGATACCAGCCGCGGTCCGAGTGCTGTAGGCCAGTAAAACGTTGTCCGTCGCCTCCGTGTTGTAGCGTGTAAAGCCGCTTTTCATACAAACTCTTCGGCTAATCCTACCGTATAACAAATCGCTTCCTTAAAAAAGGCATCTGGTTTTTTGCCGCGTTTCAGTGCATTAATTAATAACCAGTTTTTTTTTTTTCTGGGCCAATCCTTCAAGCCACCGCCCCGAACTCCAGCTGGGCTACTAATTGTATTCTGCGTGTTAGAGAGCACCACTGGCAGGGAAATGAGCCTGCCAAGGTGACTGACACTTCCTGACAGAAGCAGCACAGTGGGCTCCGGAGTGAAAGATCCTAGAGAGTCACTAGCAGACGACTGTTTCCAGCTCTCCATCTCTGCCATGCTCTTGTCAAGCGGTTTCCCCCCGTGTCTTATCTTAAATCACCCTCTCTTATACTTCTTTTTAAGTTTTGGGAAAGTTTTATTGGTGGTAATATTATTATTGATGGCCTCGTTAGCACATTTGTCTTCATATAAAAAAAAAAAAAAAGTTTTGTCGCTCCCTTTTATTCTCTCCTCATCCTTTCATACATTTGTATTTCTGGTCTCCCTCTCCCTTTTAGTCCAGGAGTTGCTCCTGGAGGAGCGGGGCTGCAGTCTGCCGGCCACGCCTCAGTCCATATCGGACCTCAAGTCGCTGGCCACGGCTCTGCTGGAGACCATCCATGAGAAGAACCTGGTCATCCAGCACCAGAGGCACACCAACAGGTATTGTGAAATGCGACATTACCGTGATGTCGGAGTAACCTTTGCCTGTTTTTCCACTGACTGCCAAGACTTCTTTGTATGGCCCACTTTTCTTTTCTTTCTTTCTTTCTTTTTTGCACACAGGCAGAATGTTTGCATGCCTGTTCTGTAAATCCTCCTCCACCTCCAAGGCAAACACTGAACTGTGTCACATACAAATACACACGCGCAAACACCGTTCATCAGCCATTGTGTCCGTTCTGCAGGATCCTTGGAAACAGAGTAGCAGATTTGGAAAGGAAGCTGAAGACGTTGGAGGTTTCTGGACTGTGGAGTCTTCCAGGTGGGTCTCGGGAGGGAACAGAAAGCACTTAAGCGGCACCACATTGAGCGCTTGTTTGCGCAAGTTCTGAAATCATTTTAATCTGACATCAAACAAGATCCACTAATAAAACAAATACGGAGTAGATACAGTCATTTTGTTAATAGAGAATATGAAAACGTATATCTGGCAACACATTATGTCTACTTTAAAATTAATTCTGTCATGGCACAGTCATTGGTCATGGATAGAAGTATTTGATCTGAACTTCTCTATACCTTAACTGTGAGGAAAGGGCATCGGCCTCTGCCCCTGTATGAATCCACTCCTTAGAAGCATATTTGCACATGGTTTGACCTGGCTGCAAATCTAAACTGTACCAGACCTTTAGCAAGCATCAGCGTGTGACTATGGGGTGTATTGACAAAGTCAACTTGTGATAAACTTGTCTGTTTTTGTGAATTGGATTTAGCTGCAGAAATTTACATTTTTAACAGTGCAAACATTTTGTGGAATTGTTTTAACGGGATAACTGGCTTGAACTCATTCCTCAGCGGTTTTCTTTATTTAAATATGTTAATACGGTTTTATGTCGATAACCGTTTGTCTGTCTCTCTCTCTCTCTCTCTCTCCTCTGGCCGCGTCGCAGGCTTGACCTACCGCGTATCTGTGGGAATTGGGAGTATGTATTCCTTCTGCCCCACTTAGCCCATCCATGCCCTCCTCTATGTCACGCCAGAACAAATCTGGGCAAACACCCAGAAAGTGTGTCACCTCATGCCCACCGTTTACAATGTGTTTACTCCATTGACCACCCGCTCATGTGTCTGTTCATGATAACATTGACTGGAGCAGGCTGTACCAGCATCAAACACTCATCCTTTTGGTCTAGTGGATCCGTCTGAAATTTTACATTCGGGGGGGTGATTTTTCAATGTTTGGGGTTGTGAATGTTTTACGGGTATGAGAGACCTTGTTTAATGCAGCACACTGCTTCCTCCTGGATTCATGCTGCCATTCTCTGTGCCGAGATTCTTCAGTCATCAATCATTTGAGACCACGACTGAAGCCTGTCATTGTATGATAATAAGAGAACTTGGAGGGAACATTTTTTTTTTCCTCAAGGAATTGGGGTCAAATACACTGTTTTTAGGAGAGTGGAGGGAAAATGAATAGTGATATGCTATTAATACTGCCATTTAAATTAAGGAGGAAAAAGTAATTTCAATTCAAAGGCTCGCACACCTCAATCACTGCATTACGAAGTTAATCCAGGCTTATTTATTTAATATTTGGGAAATGCACTTTATTCATATCAGCCCTTTTCTGCATTTTGCTATGACGTCTGTCAGTCTCACATAAAAAAACAAACCAAAATGTCATCTACCAAGTGTTAACTTATTCCAAAAATAAGTCTATCCAAAAACAAATATTCTATCCCGGACTATATTTTTCCAAAAGCAACCAGGAGGTTAGACGGTCCCTGCTTTTCCCACTGGAGGGAGATGTTGTGCCGTGTAGCAACCAAATTGAGAGGTGGAGAGACTGCGGCTGAATGGAGGTGCCCTGTCATGAGACCGTCATTCTCACCGCCATAAAACTGACAAGCATCCATTACTGAAAATGATTGCCCACATTACAAACACATTTAGGGGAATGTGCCGTTATTAGGGAATTTGTAGGCGAGGGCCCAGAGTGCCTGACGACCGCGCTGTCCACCACTGTTAGGGAGAGAGAAATATAGAGAGATGTGAGCGTCTGTGGCCTTGATGTGGTATGAAGTTGGGCTGATGGATATTAAAGGCAAACGAGATAGGATGGAGGGCCTTGGCTGCGTACCCGGCGCCCGGAGAACACTGGAGGTGACTACGTCGTCTCCGGATGAGAGAGGGAGAGACAAAAACAATAACAATGACATCGATGCAGTGAGTCAGATAGAGTTGTGATTGATGGATCCCCATCAGTCCTCCATGCCCCCTCCCCACCTTCCCAACCAAGGTGATTGAGCGCAAGTTGAAATATAACACGGCGAGTGAAAGCCTGTCAGTGTGCATCAGCTAGTGAAAAAATAAAAAAACAGAGGTGGCTACAAAATGCATCCATATAGCGCTGTCTGGGTCCAAGGTCTTCAGTTAATAAGAAGGCATTTCCTTGCCACTCGAGAGCTAGACAGCACTGCATCTCAGTGGAGGGTTTCACCATGGGACTGTTGGACAGACCACTTATCTCTTTTTCTTTTTTTCCTCCTTTTTTGTGGTATAGCAAATATGATCTGGTATATTCGAGTACCAGGTCAGTGGCAGTTGGGATATTGGGACAGAATTTATCATACAATTAAATGAGGAAGTGTGTTCAAACCTTTGCTCCAGTGATTGCTGCTGAGGCTGGTGGGAATGTCATTAGCTTTGCAGGTAATGTGGTCATCAAGGTTATTATAATTCACCCTCAAGACGCATTAATGTCTATACCAAGCTGCATGGGAGAGCATCCAACATCTGACATAATGATGAAGGAAGTTTTTAGACAATCGGCGACTTTGCAGCTTCTCTTTACGCCCCCCACTTGTAATGTAGAGGCCTCAGAATCCCAACAGCCGCCACCCAATGCTATCACTCACTGTTCTTACATCAGTGTCAGCGCTGAGCAGCAACAACAATATGGCCGGCATTCATAACAATATGGTCTCCGTTCGCCATTCATGGTTCTCACGCATCGTGTCACCCAGTCATCCATTTTCTCATTCTTCTGTTTGTTTTTGTGCCTCACACTTGAATGGTCAGAGAAACAGGCCTATTCAGGGTGCTTCTGTGAAGGCACAGGCCGATGTGCACAATGACAAACTTGTGTGTATTCACATGTCTACGTGAAGACCATTTTGTGTATTTGTGATGTCTGGTTTATGGTGCACAGTCTCCTATAAGTAGCATATGGTGTCAGCCTAAGAGGCGTGCAGCCATCACTAATGAAGACAGATGACAGGGAACGGAAACCACTTCCTGTGAGCACCGCGATGCATACGTGCGTGTGTGTTTTGTACACGCGGCACGGCACCACATACATGTGCTCGGAGCAGCTCCAGCCGATCCTTACATGCCATGCTTGTTTATTCTTGTGGTGATTTGGACGTGGCAGTAATGCGGCGGGTTTGTCTTGCAGGGAATCGAGACAATGTCACACCGAGTGAAGATCTTCAGCTGGAGCTTCATCCAACACGCTCCACCTCTCAGCCATACGTGCAGCCACACAAGGGTGAGTGCAATTGTGCGTAACCCGTTTCTCCAGCCATTGTTGAGAGAACCCGCGGCTAACTGCATAAACACTGCAATTAGCCACCTCGTGCAGAAAACTCCTTGCCATCTCCTACGTTTAACCCAAGTCCTTTCCCGTCTCGCCGCCACTCCTCTCCGCATCTCATTGGTGCAAGCTGCCCAAATGCCATGGCATTTTGGAAATGTGAAGCAAATTCTCGCCCGCTGACATTCAGAAACTTCTGCCGTGTTCCCTTTTGAAAGGGGATGGGGGACGGGGGGCCATAAATATGGATGCCAGTTCAAGTAATGTTGCTTTCTTCCTGGGTGTTTAGTGTGTATCTGTGTGTGTGTGTGTGTGCGTGTGAGTATGTGAAAAGGTGGCTGAGACTCTATGTGCAGTCTTTAACCTTTTTGCCTGCGCATCCACAAATATGGGTCAGTAATCCCCAAAGTGAGAACATATTTGGGTGAAGAAGCAGAACTAAGCTGTTGCTATTGCCGGGATGCGGGGCGTCACACTTGTCTTGCGTCCCCTTGTCTGGGGGCACTGCTGCTATATTTAGCCTGTTGCCATGGAAGCACTTGAGTCGCACAAGTAATTGAAATAACTTTCTACATTCACACAGTGGTCCGAAAGAGGAAAGCTTTCATTGTGTTTTCTTGAGGAAGCATAAACCACCATTTTACAATTGTCTCACAAAATAAAAGCTATTCTAGAAAGATTTAAAGGATCAACATGACTTTATGAGGACCGGCCCCCAGAATTCTTAGTTCATATTGGCTGAAATTACTTAATTTAATTACAGTTCAGTTGTTTAAACTTATTAATGTGTCTTTTGTTACTGTAACTTCGGTCTGAAATTCCAGCCAGACTTACTAATGTTATAGTTACATGCATAATTATTACATTTTCACAATCACATTTGAAGTGCCAAATATTTCCTTTTACCACCTTCTTAACATGTAATTCAAATCCAATTAAGTTGTACTTTCACAGGTTGGTCAAACAAAATACCTAATAAATTAGTTTGGCACTGGGTAATTGTGACGGGCAATGATTTTACTATTTTCTGAAATTTCATAGAATGTTTGTCTCAGTGAAAGAGTTGAGGTAGATGTAGCAGAAGGTATACATTTTTGGTTATTGGCAGCTCTATTTTTGGTAGCTGATTATGCTGATGTTGCCAGGTAACACATATCAGAAGCCATAAACTTCACATCTCCCTCAGAGGGGCAGAACAGGGCCCAAAAGTACTAGTTGTCGGATGCTTGATCACTGTGGCCTGTGATCAAGTTCGTAATTAAAATGACCGGTTGTCTCATCTTCCCCTGCTCCCAGTTGTTTCAGGCGACAGAAGTTCACATGGATCACCGCGGGGAAACCACTCCGCTGGCAGCGACCTTGGCACAGATGGCGTCAGCGGGGAAGACGCACCTGCACTGCTCGGTAGCCTGGGGCCTCTGCTGGGGGCGGAGACGAATGGGATTGACAAGAGAGGGGGAGGCATCGTGACCCTGGCGGAAGTCGGAGCCACCTTCGAGCCGGAGGAGGGGCGGAGTCCAGTGGAGGAGGCGGGGCATGAGCTGGAGGGGTTTGAGGATGAAGAACTGGGCTCCGCGGTGGAGGAGGGAGAAGAGGCAGCTCTGGCACTGGGTGTCACGTCCGCCGAAGCAGAACTTCCCAGGCTTCCAAGAGAGCAAGCCTCTTCGGGCGATTCAGAGGTGGGCCGTCAGCCCCGCAAATCCCAGGACGGTGGGTCGAATCCCACGCCTGAACGCGCCGATGCCTCGCTATCCGTTCCACAGAGCAGGCCCACTGACGTGAGGAGTACAGGAGGGTGGGACATCGTAGAGAGTGACACGTGTCGTGGGGACAACCTTGGCATGGTCTGACGTCACAGAAAGCCTTTGAATCGTCGCCCTCGTCATTCTTGCTGATAATTGCATCAATCGTCCCTAGTTACATTCCCACAGCGTGGCCACCGCTCACAAGCTCCCCCGTTCCACCTCGCAGCTCTGTTTCAGTCAATAAAATGGTGGGGGAAAACACTTCTTCAGCCGCCATTGAAGGAGCCGTAGGGTCACTTTGTATCCAGACAGGCTTGTTGCTGCGCAGGAACAGGCAATCTTGAAATCAATGGAGTTGCAAACGCAATGCCCTGCAGGAAGAGTTTAGCTAGGAAAATAACAGATATGGCAGCTTCAACTGCTGTGCCCCATATTCCCTTCTTCCTTTCCCCTGCGATAAGATAATCCCAATTGTTTGCTTTCTGCTTCTTCCTACGGGAATGCAATGAATAGAGTGCTGCATTTTGTCATAGGTGGTCCAAAGAATTATAATAATCGTGTTGTAAATATGTGTAAATGAATAATATTGATATTCAAGATTGTATTTATTTATATTCCTCTGCATGGGTAAATACTACTGATCAGTCAATTTTTATTTTTTATTTATTTTTATTAATTATGATCTTTGGATGAGACTATATGTGCCTTATACGCGAAAATACTGTACTGCTATTTATTAAAATAAATGCCTAACTTTGCAATATGGCCTTTCCAAAAATTGGTCTTTTCTGACCCATGTACACAAATACAGGTATATCTATTTTTCTATTGCAGTGATTCCCAACTAGGTGTTTGTACCACAAGATGTACTTGAAATTTGATAACGGAAAAGAGTTTGATTATGTATAGATGATGTATTTTGGTAATTACTTTAAAATTGAAAGATGAAATAGTGTGCTATTGATGTATATGGTTGAAATACATTAGCCTAGCAAATACATTGTTAACAATTATTTAATTAATAAAAAACATATTTTATTTTGAAATTCAAACTTGACCAGAGCAAAATTAACAGGTCAGATGTAGGATTGTAACAACATCCCTTTTTATATATAATAACTTGAACCTGAACTTTTTTATTTTTGTCAGCTCTCTCCTTAAGCTAGAGAACACACAAGGAGGAATTCAATCTAATTTAAAACCTCCACTCTGACACAGAGGCTGACTTTGTGAACTTGGTGTAATATTTGTTTGAGCTTTCACACACAGATGAGGTTTGTTTGATAGTAATGTTCTGAACCAGAAAATGAGCCCATATCTGCAGAAAATCTCTCTGATTAATTTCTTTTAGTGTTCACAAGGTTGGTCTCATTTATTCTAAATGCACCGTCTCAGTCTTTTGATTGCTATACAGATTACAGCGGCTTAACTTGATTCTCTTCTTCCCAGTCTTGGGAGAGAATTGTTCCGGCATCACAAATGAGTCTAAAATCGTGAAGAATATTCAAATACTACTTTAAATGAATTGATGTAGACATTTTCTGGAAAGATATTTATTGTATCTGCCCCTGTTTGGGGGTTTTGTTCATGTTCGATGCACATAAATATCCAAACACACTTCTCAGTATAATTGTAAAACTTTAAAAACAAAGTTATAGACGGGAGCACTGTGAAACAGACACACCCATTTTGACTGACAGCCAAAGTCCACCAACGGTTTATCGATAATCAGTGGTGAGGCCTTCTCTTGACAGGTGACAGCTGGCCTCTCCAGGCAAACACAGTGTAAAAAGCCAGAATCCATGAACTGCTTATTCCGCAGAAAGCCACTTGCTATTTTTAATCTCTGACACAAAATAGAGGCGGAGAGAGAGAAAGGAATCAAGCTCGGGAGCTCCAATATGGTGCGTACCCAGTGTCGGCCCAGTGCCTGCCAAGCTTTTTTTCTCCCAGTGAGTTTAAGTATATAAACCAGATGGAGTCTGAACTAATGGAATTATAAGATGATACCAGCTTGCATTAATTTCTCGACCTTCTTTTTTTTTGCATGCATGCATGTGAAAGCCTTTAAGAAATAGTATAAGCTGTGCATATCTGTTAAAAAAGAAAGAGCGCCACCCTGAGGTGCCTTTTCTGATTCAGGCTAGATGCTGCGGGCCAGTTAAATGTGGCACATTGGTTGGAGTTGATGGTATTTATTTGATATGTCTTGGATTTCCTTAAACACTAAGCCGACATTCCCATTTGAGGCATTCTCACGATGCCATCTCTCACAATGTCACGGTGAACTGAAAATCAGTAGGATTTAAAAATCACAAATGAATGATAGTGCTGTGTATTTGTCAGCAAATGTCTGAAGATAGATTACAGTGCAGAAATACCACAGACATTTTTCGAGGTCGTTTGTGCACCAGAGAGCAAAGGCAAAGTCATGGCCACAGTTCTCGGAATGCAGATCTGTATATTTCTATGCTTAGTGTTAAATCAATGTTCTTTCTTTCCCATTGAGATCGGCCTTTTTATGAAAAAAACCCAGGTTGTACCAGGAAACCCCAAGATTTTTCAGTGAGTTTACAATTACCGGAAAGCATGTAGTGATTCTGAACTCACATGAATGCATTGTGACTTAACTTTGGCACAAAAGTAAAGGGAAAAAAGGATGAAAATGCCGCACTCAAGTTCAGATAGTAAAGACAAAATATCAGGAGGTGCATTTCTTTTTTTAAATAATTACTCAAAATAACCTTGATGTAACCACACAAACCATCCCACCTGTATATGAGCTTTCCCTCTTTAAAGATGTATCGGAGACTTATCACACGACTGTAAGATTCAGACTGCCTCCCCAGACCCCCCGCAGCAAAAGAGAATTGTCGAGAGCTGTTGAAGCCAATCAACAGCACTACAGATAAAATGAAGCTACACTACCAGCTGGCCCGTGCCAAAAACTAATCTTAGCCCCTTATCTGTGACGGCGACATCCCCCACTAGAGGGCAAGTGAAAAAGAAGTGCATTGTCAAGTGCTTTGATTAGCCCCATGCCGCTTCGATCACAGGTGTGAGTTTGCCCCCATTTGTGCTTCAAAGAGAGATCAAGGGAGGAATCATTTGTATGTGTGTGCATGTCCTTTTGACTTTTGTAGCTCCGCGCCTTCCCTTTCATGTTTTAGATGTCGATACGGGCTGGTCCGTCACAGAAACCACTCATCATACCGCGGTATCAACCGACTTTTGTTCTGGTCCCAAGCAGCCCCCCCCCCCCCCGCCCCCCTCTCAGTTATCTCACCCTGCAGCCTGGATAGTCGGAGAGACCAGCCGGGGTCACAGCAATGCTCACTGTCTCTAATAGGTGTGACCAGGGAGGTTTTGACATCCCATCATCTCTGGGTCCTCTAAAGGTTTGAGGGATAGGGGTGCAGAGGGGCATGTGGAGCCAGCAGTTTCCAGGCCAACCACTATGCAGGGTTAATTACTATACCAGCCAGATGCCTTCTTCCAGTGATGGCCAGTGCCCTCGTGGTCCGTGCTTCATTCGCTCGCCACCACCTTTTTTTTTACGCTTACCTGAGTTAAATCGTGTGGTGCCTCTGAGACGCAAGGGCGCCGCAGGACTGGCTCCCCGGGTGCTGCGATTTGAGGAGTGTAACTTTCTGCTCTGTTGCTGACAATGCTGTTATTATCTGAGATAATAGAGGAAAGAGGAGCAGGGGGAAAAAAGGCAAAATATGTCAATCATTTTTTTCCCGCTTGTTTCTTGCAGAGATAATAATTCTAATGTAGCAGGGACACGATATGCATAACTGCATCATTTGCTCAGTTTGCATTTTCATGCGGACTCAGTATCACTGCAATTACTGCGTGTTTTTTCTCATCACTTTGGCTGTCAAATTGGAAAAGGGTTTAGTCACTTGAAAGGGAAAAATGTGTCTCTACTCCACTTCGTGAGGCTACAAGGCTATAATTTAAACAGTGACGTTGTCCTCCCATACAAGCTTGGTATCCCGTGAAAGATTTGGGTTAAATGGATTTTCACGTCCTATTCATACTTAGGTTTAAATTAAAGAAATAGTCCCACATTTAAAGAAATAAACATATTTAGTTTTTTAGCTTTTGCATGAACTCTGTACAGAGCCATGCTACTTGTTTCAAGTCTCTACGTCACAGATATGAGGGTGGTAGGCAAAAGATTATTTAAATGACAACTGCCCTCACATTTATATAAAACGGTATTTAATCCCAGAGTACTTTCTGCCAACCCCCCCCCCCCACCCCCCCCCAAAAACCCCCTTTCTGGGGGTCTTTTTCCCCTATGACCGACCCGCGTTGTTTAACAATTTCCCAAAAAACCCAAAACTAATTGCAATAAAAACAGCATGACCTGGAAAGGTCCTGCTGGCGAGCAAAGCCGGCGAAGTCGCAGGACGTTGGGGAAGCGTGGGCTTGTGGACGGCCGATAAGCAGAGAGGCCCCGCCCGGGGTCAGCGCGTAGCCACGGCGTACAGTCAGATCTCTATTAAGATAGAAAATGGTGGTCCAGCGTGATAAGAGCTGACAGGACTTGATGCGATATCAGCGATGGGGACAACAGCTGCAGGTACAGGAGATATCTTCTCCTTCCCAGAAAAAGAATCAGAGTCAGGCCAGTCTTATTAGCTCTGCAAGTCCTTAATGACCTGTGTCTGTTTCCTTTATGTATGTTTGTTGTTTTGAGCGTTGGTTGTGGTCATTTTGTCTCTCTTTCTTTGACATTCTGGCGTCCTAGGTGTATTTGAATGAAATGTTACAGCCGTAATATAAACAGAATAAATGAAGAAAAACAAATATTAGTAAGGATAAGGTTGTCAATTACTGAGTATGATTAAAACTGACTGGGATCCTGACCAGGATAAACAAAGAAAAGAAATCAATACATTCCTGCTTTAAAACTGAGCTTTTCTAACTTATTATCGTCTTTAAATCTATTTTATGTTCAGTTCTTCAAAGCTGTGGGTTGCAGTCTAAGTTAATGCAGCAATGTTCCAAATGATTAGTCCCCAGCGTTAGTAATGTCCATAATCTAATACGGCCAGCTCTGCAGCTGTGTTTGCCAGAGCTATTCATACAACGTTTGGACTGCAATTTAATAGCCTGTGAAAGCGAGACAGACAGAGAAGTACCGGCAAAATTGTGTTTTGAATTATCCTTGCATATTATAGAATTATGACTTAGTTGAAAAGTTGACTTCTCCTCAACCATCCCCATCAATCCCCCAACCATAAGCAATGAGCCATTTGCCATTATGCAGCTTGTTAGCAATGTCTAGGCTGTGTAATTACCTGTGTCAACGACAACGATTGTCTTCCGGTGACAGATTATTCATCACTCTATAATTGTCGAGGTTGAAAGACGGATTTCTAGCTCTTTGTCAGATCTGAGAAGTAACAAAGCTCGTCGCAGTCCTGATAAAACAAGAAAAGCACCTGTTCCCATTCATGTGGGTACCAGTACTGCCCGACGATGAAAGGACATTAGGATGGGGAAGGAGGCACATTTATTCCAAATAGAACTGTGTGTATTTATCTGCTTTGCATGTTCTTAGGAGTCAGTGTTTGCTATATGAATATAGCAAATGAACCCTCTTTTTGTTTATTTTGCGGGTGCACTCTCCACTTTTGTTTGGCGGGCACATCATCCTCCCGACCGAGAGGCAGCAGACCTCCCACCCCCCCGTAGCCCCCCCCCGCACACTCCCCTCCTTCCCTCCTCCTCCCGTCCCGCATCCCCGAAACACCGCATCGCCTCTGCAGGCTCATGTGCCGGGCTCACTAACGCCAGCACCCCGTTCTACTTTGCAACGCTGTCGCGGGTCCTGCGGCAGCAGAGCACCGCTTTCGTGTCGTTTCGCCAAGGATAAGGATAAGGATGAGGTAAGAGCTTCCGGTCGCCATTTTGCTGGTGTTTAGGAGGGGAAATCTGCAAGGAAATATTAGCGCGGTGCCCGGATTGATACCGGTGGCAGGATGTTCAAGAGACACCGTTTAGATTTGGGTGACGATAATTCGACCGGCAAAAAGAGAGCTACCGAGGGGTACGTTAGCGTTACCGAAAGAGACGTCCGGCCATTTCTGCCCTCGCTTTTGTTGTCTTGTTTCTAGCTAGCCGCGCTAATGCTAACCCCGTGGCGAGCTTAGCTTGCTAGTTAGCACCAGCCGCGGTAGATATTATTATTGTTGTTTTATTGATCACCAGCCATTTGCGTTAGGTTGTGAGGCTGGACGGTGCCGTCGCTCAATGGTCTAAGCAAAGTAACGTTAGCTAAGCTAGCTAGCTAACTGCCCGCCTGCTCTGATCTAAATTACACGTGGCTACATGCTAACCGCTGCTAGTTTTAGGCGCCGTGTCTTCAATAAAAGGGACACGCGTTTCACGAGCATAAGTCATTATGTCACAGTGCATTAGTTGATGTTATGGCAAGTTGTGTTTACAATATGTTGTGGGAAATCCCCCTCCAGCCAGGCTAGCGTTAGCCGCATGGCGGAAGTGGGTTGCCCGGGGAAAGTGCACTACGACGTCTCAAATTACAGCCCCAAGTCGATCGACACTAGCTGCGATGCCTAGCTCTGTTTGGGGATAGTAAAGGTCTGCTGGGCCTGTATGACTTGGAGGACCCACGTTGATGCGTCCCTGCTTGTCAGTTGTCAAAGTCATCGAGAGTACTCTCACGGTCACTGCCTCTGGAACTGACATCGCGTTGACGCTGAACGACAAGCAAATTACAGATGTCCCCAAAGAGGATTGCACGCATCGGTTGAAAGATGCATTCAGTCATATTCATCTCCAACCAATATAGCCTCGCATCATTCGATGTGCATGCTTTTTCCCCATCGTCAAGGACGCGAAGGGCAGAGAGGCGTACATATTTTATGACTCCATTAAACGCCTCTTCTTGCATGAGCAGAACAAAGTTGTGGATCGTGCAGTTTATTCATGACCCCTGCATGCTTTCTGCAACGATGAAGAATAATGTGCAGTCACCTTGCCATTGAGGTTCACAAAACAAGCTTGACTTTTTGACTAATACATGTGAACTGTCTATTATATGCTGTGAATTGCATGTGTGGTTTCATCATTTTTCCATTTCTAGGGCAACATTGTTTAAAATGTATGCAGGGATGTGTACATGCATTGAGACGAACAAAATCTTAACTTTGGGCATCTTTGTCTCACAGGCGCGACAGGGACAGAGACTGCGATGAACGGTCGAGGGACAGGGACCGCGACCGAGCTCGGGACCGGGACTGGGACAGGGACAGAGATGCGAAGTCGGCCGGGGTTCCCACCAACCCGGCTGCAGGCAGCGGAGTCTTCGTGAAACCAACCCCCTTTCAGCAGAAGATCAACCCCTTCACCAACCTGCCCCACACGCCGCGCTACTATGAAATCCTGAAGAAGCGTCTGCAGCTGCCTGTCTGGGAGTACAGGGAGCGCTTCACAGAAATCCTGATGCGTAACCAGTCCTTTGTGCTGGTGGGGGAGACGGGCTCTGGAAAAACCACACAGGTACAATGCAGAATGTTTTGCGTTTTGTGCAATTCCAGCATATAAAGGGGCCTTTGTGTTGTCATTTTGCCCCATTAAAAAAAGTCTATAATGATACATTAACTTGAATGCGGCAGATGAAATTGAAATCCAGTTGTATAATTGGTTTAATAGTAGCATTAAGACAGAGAGGGTGCAAGAACAGATGATGAATTTTAAACAATTCCTCTGTGGAGCTGATTCGCAGTGTCTTGTTAAGTTCATTTCAAGTTGTTACTGTTTTTTCATTTATTTTAATTTGAAAGTGAGAAGATTAGAGCAAATCACTGGTTGAGCCTGAGCAGTCTCCTGAGGGGCAAACAAACCATCTTCCAACCACTTCCTAAATAATTTGGTGTAATCTTGTTGGTGCCTTTTGCCTCTGATGCAAGAAGTAATTTATATTCCACAAGTTCATCGCGACTTTTTGAACAGACCTTCACAGAATGCTTAGTTTGCCGTCACCGCTAAATACATGCAGAACATGCTCACTAAGGTAGGAGCTACATTTATGGATCTTTTAGGATTATGTGGTCATAAAACAAAAATAACAAAAATCATCGATGCATTTGATAATGATGCGTTGAAGTTTGATAATGGGAGTTCTTTTTAGAAAGACGGTCCAGTGTTTCATGAAGTTGTCAGGGAAACCGTGTTGAAACAAATATATAATACTACATTAACTCTTAACGGTTAACATCTTGCACTTTTCTTGAAATGTGTATCCCTTCCAAAATCCTCTCGTCTGCATATTTTTCTGATCAGATGGCAATTCAAATACGGCTATGATTTAAATCAGTCATCTGAATCCTAAGCTTAATTAAGTGGAATTGAGAAACTCTCCTCAGTTATCTGATTCTGTTTTTAAACTTAAAGCAAAAACGAGTATGTAAATATTGCCAGGAATGCCTCAGTTCTCAGGACATAGTAAACCTGCTAGTAGTGCTGTTGAAGACTCGTACACCCATTGATGATTTTCATCCCCTCACATCATTTGCTCTTCATTCATCTCCCTGTCTGCGTTTTCAGTCAGAGAATTGCAATGTCTTTTAAAAAAATATATATATATACACAACGTCTCTTGGCCTGTGTGCTGTTTTCCAGATCCCTCAGTGGTGCGGCGACATGGTGCGGTCGATGCCGGGAACAAAAAGAGCGGTGGCCTGCACCCAGCCCAGGAGGGTGGCGGCCATGAGCGTCGCCCAGAGGGTCGCTGATGAGATGGATGTCATGCTGGGCCAAGAGGTGGGCTACTCCATCAGGTTTGAGGACTGCAGCTCGGCAAAGACCGTACTCAAGTAAGTAGGCCGGTGAGAAATATTCCCCTCGTGTCTTATGTTTTTAGCAACCAATGACAAAGGAAGTCGGTGGTTATTTTAGTCCCGGGACTACTTTTCAATGATCCCAAAGGTTCCTACAACAGACTAAATACTTGAAATAGCTTGGTTTTGCCTCAATAGTAGTATGCACACTATTTACTGATGTATTTTCTATGTAATAAATGAAATGCAAAGAAACCCAATGGAAATGAAATTAAGAATGTCTCCACAGTGTATCCTCAGTTGAGTGTTTGATGGTTATTGATTTGTACTTTAGAATGTAAGTGTCTGAAAGGCTCAAATATTTTAAAGTCATTTTTTTCTCTTATTCACGGCACTTTCTCTCTTTTACAACCTCTTTTCAGTCAACAAAGCCCAACTTTTTTTTATGTCATCCAACACAAAAAATGCTTTCTACATGCATACCACTACGGCATACTCTGGTCCCGAATTGATACTTGAGTAATTTCTTGTTTTATGAATGAAGCCGTACGGAGGTAATGCCATCTGAGCAAACGGTGATTGCCATGGCAGCAAACTCCACCTGAATGTTGATGTACTTTCTGAGAGCACCAACCCACTCCAGGGCCTTCTGAGGGGCAGAGGGTGATGCTAGCTGTTAGCTGTACTAGCTGGAGTACATCGTTGTAGCCTATTTGCATAACAGAAGCTTCGTACATGCAAAAATGTACAATTATTCCATACGCTCATGACGGGGGGGGGGGGGGCTGAATACTGCAATGGCATACTTTCTGAACCGCCATTACCTTAATCACAGTACACTTGCTTTAAAGGACAGGTTTGAATTTTCTGGGATCCCTTTTGATTTTTATACTTTCACCATCCTTTTTTGTTTACATTATGACTACAACAGTCTGAAATGTTGTACATTTCTCCAGCTGTTGTTTGCCCTGATGAAGCCTGCACGTCTTTACATTGACCAGGTACATGACGGATGGAATGTTGCTGCGGGAGGCCATGAATGATCCTCTGCTGGAGCGCTACGGTGTCATCATCCTGGACGAGGCTCATGAACGCACGTTAGCCACAGATATCCTCATGGGAGTCCTCAAGGAGGTGGTCCGCCAGAGGGCTGATCTCAAGGTAAACCCAAACATGCGTTTCTATTTCCACGATATGTCGGTATTTTAATCCATGGATAGCAGGTTGGATTCGTTTTTTAAAGGTGAAACGCTTCTCCAAATATTATTGCAGCTATTTATGTAAATTCCCTGACTGTAGTGTGTTGGTGTGGATGGGAGCAAACAGCCAGGCGGAAGTTTTATAGGCAGACTTTGCCAGACATCCCTCTCATAAAGCAGATGGATAATGATGGGTTGTTTGTCAGTGTGTAATCGAAGGTTAGATTGTTGTTCGCCGACTGTTAAATGAGGTCTAGGTTATTGGGAATGATCATCCACCCACACCCCTCCATCTCCCTCATCCCTATCCCCTTCCAAATTTGAAAGTTTAATTTGCCTTGATTAAGTGCAATTATGATGTCTCGCGGAGCGTAAAGCGGAATGCCGAGACACTGGCCCTGGAAAATGTTTGAGATTGAAAACGGGAGAGCCGCTTCCCATCAGAATCCTAATGCGCTCTATCTTATGGCTCTGGAGGGAACATTGTGTACCCAACATCAGGAACATGGACTATCAATGCTCATAGCTCTGTGTAGGTCAGTGACTCGCTGTAATGCCAAGTTCCGCAGACACCGTCTTGGGTCCGTGCCAGCGCCCTCACCCTGAATCCCGATTCCAGGCATTATTCACCCCCGTGTAGCTTTTTGCTTTCGCTCATCTCTTTTGCAAGTGGTTGCGCCCTTATTCGCTTAGAGTGTGTCCTTATCCTTAATTATCATCTACCCATATAAACTTGAACTCATTCTACACCTGAGTGCTCCCGCCCATAATCGCCACATTTACACCCGGCTGTCGTTACTTTTTAGTTTTATCTTTCCCCTCATCGCTTTGGTGAATAGATTTGTCCCCTCACAGACCTCCCTCTCTCTCTTCCCCGTGTCCTTGTCCTTCCAGGTGATTGTGATGAGTGCCACGCTCGACGCCGGCAAGTTCCAGGTGTACTTTGACAGCTGCCCACTGCTGACCATCCCCGGACGCACGCATCCCGTCGAGATCTTCTACACGCCCGAGCCCGAGCGGGACTACCTGGAGGCAGCCATCCGCACGGTGATCCAGATCCACATGTGTGAGGTGGATGAAGGGGATGTTCTCCTCTTCCTCACCGGACAAGAGGTACGACTCCAGAGGTCTTAAATTAGATTTAGTTTCTTTGGTGGGTTTGCGCGTGTTGATGCAAAAGATGATTCGTCAGAGTGGCGGATTCAGATTCCAAACCTTAGTTGTTGTTTTTTTTGTGTCTGTTTGTCCGAACAACATGGCTATAAACTTGTGCAAAGATGTTATTCATTTACAAAGCTAAGTGTTTGTATATTCATCTAATTACAAACCTGAGTTACTCACATAAACGGTGTCATGAGCCCACTTGTGCAGCCTCAGCACAGGCTATTATTAATCCTCCGTTTGATAGATGTTAATGCACAAGGGTGCGCCTGCTTGGGAACCCAGGGTTTGCACAGTGGAGGGGGAAAAAAGAAAGAAAGAAAACTAGGAATGACCCACATTCTGCCCTTCCCACAAATTTCTGAAATGAAGACATTTATTATTATTTTTTTACCTCCCTGCAAATGTTATCCACTGATGTGTGATAGAGGGCGGGGTTTATGCCTAAAATGATGAATTGGGTCACAGCAGGGTGAGCTCACACACGCAGAGGAAAGGACCAACAAATGTCTCAATGTCCTGATCACTGGACAAGAGAAGCCTGTCAGAGCCTGTGCTGCTGTGATTATTCTCTCAGCACTCGGTGTTGCAATGGTGTTGCAGACCATGTGGTTACTCGTGGTTGTAGAGAGAACGTAGTGTGAATACAGCACAAATTGCTGTGGAGTTTAATATGACATTTTGGATTTAAGCGTTGATGCTTTTTGTTATTTTTAAATCTGTGCAAAACTCTCCTTTAGTTGATTTTCACACACATCTCGTGACACGTTGTTTATTAGCAGTAATTAAATCTCACTCGACGTCAGCTCCACCGTTGCAGGACACCTGCGTCCGTTTCCATTTGCCAACGCAGAATCAATGCGCGGCTTGTTACGAAGGTTGAGAAGTCACCGGGGGCCACGCTGTTTGAAGTGGTCTCCTTCAAGGGCTGGTAATTGATTTCAGATTTAGTAGTATCCCAGCTGCTCGCGGGGCTACGGATGCTGATGGTCACTCCTCCGAATGCGTAGAAAAGGTCTGGGGATATTTGCCAGCGATGTGTTGAACATTCCTCGTGCAGTTAAATGTAATTTGTTGATTTATATTCCCACTCCGCACACTGTGCTCAGCTACGGCATTACACAGCACTCCCACGTTGAGTTCATTATCATCACCCCACCCCCCCTCCTAATTGGGTTAAAGAAGTTAATGTGTGGTAGGTCTGGCAGAGAGGGGTGTTCAAAGGGTGCTGCAGCTCGCTCCCTCCAGCACTTCTTAACCTCTTCCGTCTCCCAGCAACTTTGATGTTGACTAATGATTGGGAGGCAAAGCCGGGGCCTCTTTTTATCGGGCTGTTTAATTTATAACGGACGAAAGCAAAAAAAAACTTGCGCGGGACACCGCTCCCCCCTCTCCCCTCCACTGTTTTTATGCGGGATGTTTCACACCCGCAAACAAATGCAACCGAAGCACCGAAACCCCAAACAAGAAAGTTGAAACTTATCACAGCTGTTGAGCAAAGATAAGTCGTAATGGTTAAGCTTCCCCCTCAGCGGCGAACATCAAAACATGGGGATTGGGAGAGGGGGGGGGGGGAGAAGGGGAGAGGGGTGTTTGATAGTCGAGAGGAGTGCCTAAACGTGTTGGTTATTAGCTTGGCTGTAGATTGTGGCTTCCGGGGTCGCAGGGAGAGCTTGTGGCCAGGTTCCCGACACTGGCCAAATGCCCCGTGTGTGTGTGTGTGTGTCCACACACACACACACACACGCTCTCTTGATGTCCCTAAGGGACAGACAGCCAGCTTGCTTCCAGCGCTTTGGCAAAGAGGTCCCCCCCCTTTTTCTCTCTCTCTCTCTCTATAGCAGCTGCTGCATCCGGAGGCTTGATGGGCTATTAATACCCAGGCTAATTTTACCAATCCATTCGGATTTACTGCTTTCCACTTGTCAGTGTGTTGATTAAAAGGGTACATGGCCATCAGCGGGGTTCGACTTAATGCGACGAACAAGGGAACAGCAGGGGCTAATAACACACTTGCGGTCCAGAAGGAAAACAGGAAGGCGCTCTCTCATGTCAAGGCAAGGGTTACTGGCTTCCCACAGCAGTACAAATGATGTCCGCTTCAGTCATGCTTCAGCAGATTTCAGCACAGCGTGCTGTCAGAGAGGGAAAACCCAAAGAAACGTCTTTCACAAAGTGTTTTGTGGGTTGATTTGTGAGCCAGCTAGATAATAGGCCCCCTTGTCCGTCTTTAAGCGTTGGGATAATACATCCGCTTCTTGTTCAGCGTCTCCTCCGACGGAGGAACTGCTGCATTGCTCCCAGGGGCCTGCAGGTGGTGCAACCGTATAGGGTGTAGCGTGACACACACGGCAACCGCTCCTGCATGGCGCTTAAATGATTGTTGTTAGCAAAACAAAAGAAATGGTTCTTAACAGCAGGGACATGAAAAGCTGCGGTTTGTTTGTGTTAGGCCGCACCAGAAACCACTTCAAGTGTATCGATAAAAAGAATTGTATACGTGTGATCGCAGGTGACCAAATGCAAGTGTCTATGAGTCACTGAGTCCCAAGCAAGGGGTGCCTGTGGAATGTGTAGCCATATTTCAGAGCATTTAATGGTGTATTCCAACGGGCCTGCAGAGAAAGGGCTCTAAGCCCCGTGCTCACTCTCGTGCCTTCTTATTCTCAGGTCTGCTGTCTTGCCATCCCACCGGCTCTAGAACGTTCGGCTTCGCTAAACTGATCGGCAATGATTTGCCGCTGGTTATGCATCAGTGCTGCAGTCTCATCTCGCATCCCCCTCAACGATGCTGCACTGTGGAATAATGAACCCCGTTTGAGTCTGCTTGGCTGTGTGTGTGTGTGTGCACGTGTGTGTGTGCACGTGCGCGTGTGTGTGCACGTGCGCCCTCCATGTTTTCCATGATTGCTGCATTTGACAACAGAGCCACGGGGAGCTCGGGGAAAGCACGCTGCAGTCCAGGTTTAATTTCCTCCGTCAGATGGAGCGATTGTTAGAACAAATGCGCTGTAGCAAGGAACCACGGTTCCCCCAGCCCCCCCCCACAAGCGCTCCTCTATCACCCCGGATTCACCGCCATTGTTCAGCCAGGTGTCGTTCAGAAGCTGTTTGACTTTCCTGGATTAATTGTCGCTCTTGCGTCTTTCAGGAAATTGATGAAGCCTGCAAGCGGATCAAGAGGGAGGTCGACGATCTGGGCCCTGAAGTCGGCGATATAAAGATCATCCCGCTGTACTCCACGCTGCCGCCGCAGCAGCAGCAGAGGATCTTCGAGCCGCCCCCACCCAACAAACCAAGTGGGGCCATCGGAAGGAAGGTATAACTGCCTTGTTGCTGTAAAAACGCCTGGAGGGAGAGGAGTTGAAGAGGGGAGTTTTGAGAGGAGATGAGTGGGTTTGGTGTAGGAAAAAAAAGGCCAGATGGGGGATAAGGAGGGTAGTGGAAGAGAGCTGGAAGGTAGAAACCCCGCCCCCTTCCTACCTCAGCTTTAGCGCAGAACTGACTCACACAACATATGCTGCTTTTGTCAGCATGCAATTCTCTGCTCTAAATTATAACCGGGGTATTACTCACGCCCTCTGAGCCTGTGGAAACCACTGCATTCAGTCACTTTTATCTTTCCGCTACGTTTGCGGAGGCTCAGAGAGAGGAGGCCGTCCACCTCTGACGTCCGAGACGGCGTGAAGTGCACTCCTCTTGAGCCGCTCTTCCCTCGTCACTCAGTCCCAGGGGAGTGGACGGCCCCTCATTGATACAGACACCAGGCAATTCCGTTTTTTGCGTGACGGTTTCGATTCAGATGGGCTCGTCACCGGCAGCAGCAGCAGTACCTGTGCTGCCACGCTGTTGGCTCGGGATCTGACGGAATGGCAGAACATTGCCGCTGCCAGTGAATGAGAGCACAACATTCAAACAAACAAACAAACACTGGCATGTGATGTGGAAGGTGTTGACGAATGACTCATTGCTCTAACCCTTCTTAATTAGAAGTGTATTCATGGGCTTTCAAAGTTAAACATGTCACAATGCTGTTGAAACGCTCGGTTCAACGTGGATGAAATGGATAAATAATGATTTAGGGATCACATTTTTTATACATATTTTTTTAAACATTATAAAATAGTGTGTTTTTTGAGTTTCCCCTCGAACATTTCAGTCATCCCGGATTCCTCTCCTCCAGCTTTCTGCATGAATGATGTATTGTGGGGCTTAAGATGCTTGGAATTCTGGGTATCACCCGGTGATCCCAGAATTTCAAACCATGATACGGAGATTGGCCCAGGGTTGCGTTGTTCCCGGCGGGCGCTGTGAGTTTACTATCATTCTGATCGAAAAGTTATCTTTTTTCTTTCCCGTTAACAGATTTGCTGTGAAAACTGGGGTTTTTCCTCTCGGTGAACTTCTGGCAGCACCCCCCCCCCCCCCCCAGGTTCCTCCGGGTGAAGTTAATTCAGGAAATAAAGTGAATTCAGTGTCACCTCTGAACCAGCCGCCACTTAAGCTTCACTTCAGCCTCTGAACAGCACGCTCGATGGCCCTCACCCCCCCCCTCCCCGCGAGATCATCAATTCAAAAATGCAGAGATGTCGTCCCGAGCCACCCCAAGAAGAATTAGTGAAAAAGAATTAAGGGTTGCGCCAGCTGCCTCTACGCATGCTAACGGCTGCATTAGGCACCCTTCAATTAACATAAAGCACTTGTTCGTCATTGCTCCATTTCTCCAGGAAAGCCACTGATCTTCTTTTTCGAACAGTTTAATCATTTGGAGCCACGGCAGCAATAGACTAATTACAAAGACTATAATCTCACTTTGCTTTTGAGCGCCTGAAAGATTGCCCTACAACAAATGCACCGCGCTGAGTGTTTGGTTTTGTTTTTTAACATCGTCACGTTTGGGGATATTCCCCTTTAAATGTCACCCGTGATCCAACCACGTCTCTGCTTCGATGAGCTCCGGCTGTGCGGCGCGTGGATGCTGCTCGAGGCACGCGCTCCTTTTCCCCAGTCGAGGGGGGGGAGGCTTTATTTGTCAATAGGGCTGCGTATCCCCCAGCCGGGGCTGTGAAAGATGGGCCGTGTTAGCTGTAGCACTTGCTCTCCTGCAAGGTAATAACCCAGAAATAACATGCAGAGATGATGCTCTAATGATATTACTGATAAAGAAGCCGGGATTATCCAGCGCAGCAACAGACTGGAAGGAGCCGGCCCGCGTTCCCTGTAATGGCCCCGGCCCGGATAATCCTTCAGAATCAATGCAGTCAATGAGGCCACTCGTGTGATCATGAAATGTGAGAGGTTGTCATGTGCGGCATCTGCCGGAGGACTGGCTGTGTCTCAGCGCGAGACAGCGGCAGCCTCACCTCGTCCATTTGTAAAGCGGACCTCGAGGCGCTCCGGGCCTCTCCTTCCTTGCTGGGACGTTTAGTCGCTGGCATATAGTGTCTGTCATGAGACGCTTTTTTTTTTTTTTTTTTTTTTTTTGGACAGCCACTTTAATTTCAGTCTGCCACAGTGTGGCTAATAGGTTTTGTGAAGATGTAATTCCTCTGTATCTATTGGCCACTGTGGGCCTTTTTTCCCCTCCACTGCAGGGACTGAACCCGTTCCCTGAAGCTTCATATAAACTAATCTTTTTAGCAACCGTTTGAGTCTTTGGTACTCGAGTTTTCATTGTATTTTATAAAACCTGGGATGTTTTAGATATATGCTATTTGAAAGGCAGAAGCAGGACCGACCAAGTCCCTTTTTGCTTGTGCTGTTCGGTTGGAGGTTGAATTAAGCCGTTGTGGCACCGACGACGATATGACAAGTCATGCTGTTTTTCAGCTTGTCAAACTACGTCATAGTTGTTCCCGTTTAATTCACTGCGCGCACAGTCATGCATGCATTTCCTATCATGTTGGTTGTATTGTTGGCTGTCCTGCTTGATCTGGATAGTTATCATCTTTGCTTTTGTAGTCTTCTTTGCTGCGATGTGACGCCACGTCAGCCTAAGTAATACTGATTGTCAGCACTGCCGGCAACTTCTAAAATACTTTGATTTAGTTATTTAAAATGATGTTTCAGGAACACGTCCCTTAAGCACAGTGTGGGGTGGGGGGGGGGGGGGGGGGGGAGGAAAAAGGGGACTTTTGTGCTGTGAAGATGGGCTACATGTGCGTCTTTGAACAAGTAGTTGGTTTCGATGCGTTACTGCTCAGCTGCAGCTACTGCTGTGTTTATTTACAGCCCATATTATTTTCTGTTGTCTCAAAATTAAGCAACTCGTGTTCGTGTGCATGCCGATCCAATCTGAACGGCCATTCATCCAAAAAATACACAAACAAGCTCTGATGAGCTTCATGCAGTTAATAATAATACATTTGATTTATAACGCACTCTTTATCAGCAGATCTCAGAGTGCGACAGAGATGGCAAAACATAGTTAAAAATAAAGTAAAAACATAGGGGAAGAAAAAAGAAACTTGAATGAAAAGGTTTTCAGGCCAGTTTTAAAGGAATCCAGTGACCGTACTGCCCTCAGGTGGTCGGGGAGACCGTTCCACTTGTGTGGCGCTGCCGAGCAAAAGTTGTGTATTTCCGTCTCTCCATTCCTCCGCTTGAATACTAAGGGGAATGTGCCTTTTGTCAGGTGAATTACCCAAGGTCAGCGTCTGAATGAGTGGGAAAAGGCCCTTCCTGGCATTAATGCCGAAACACTCAGGCATACTCGGGCTCAAGGGAAATCCTCACTTAAAAGGTGGGATTTAAAAGGTCTGTAAGGCTCGCAGCATGACGACGGCTGAAGAGGCACGGCTACAAAGGAAGTGTGTCAAGTGTGTGCAAAATTGGTTCTGTGGACCAGCATTGGCACCGACAACAGAGGAGTGTTTGGGTTTTTTTCTGCTCGCCGCTTCATCGCCGGGACGAGAAAGTAGGCGGGATCGTGCCAACAAAGCCCGCTCACAGCCGGTACCCTTTCTGGAGAAGATGTGGAGCAGGTCAGCGGAGGGACGGATATTAACGTGCGGTGTGGCATTTCTCCCAAACACTCACTGGCATATCGAGCGCTGAGAGTGGAGTGGCAGTTGCCGGTAGAGTGGGCTGTGATCCGACCGCCACGGTCTCCAACGACGACACGATTTTGCAAAGGTTTCCTCCGTCCAATCTGCTTTAAAAAGGTTACGTAAGGGGGAGCGCACCCTGGCGGCGGTTATGGTTCGCGTGAGAGCCACTGCGGATCTGTCTCCCTCCTTTCAGCCTCCCGCTGTGTACATGATGACAGCAAGAGACCCACAGGTCATGTGACTCCTTTTTTCGCTGAGTTTTCTCATCTCACATTGACAGCCACAGGCATAAAGGGGATAATCGTAATAGCGAAGGATCTGAGACTGCGTGATGGCGCCGGATCAGTCTTCTCACTTTGTCTTGTTCTCCTTTTCACCGGTTCTTCCTACATTTCTGCACAAGGACACTTAACAACGTGCGTCCGCTCTAATGTGTCCACCTCTACTCTTTTACCACTGTGGTATGAGAGTAAACCACCTGTGGTCTTAACACAATTCTCAGTTGAACATGATGGTAGAAGCATGTGTTGGCCGGCTTTGAAATGCGTGAAATCTTTATTTAATTTGAAACATTTGCATATGCCCACAGCTGTCAACATACACAACCCGTGGAGGACTTACCACCCAGTCACGCCATGACTTTGTAGTACTCTGTTGTCCTTTTCCGGTGACTCACATTCAGCAAAGCAATCACCGTGGTAAATTTTCCCCTCACGACAACTGCTGCTGTGTCGCACTGAAAGAGAAACGGCAGAAGAAACACATGGATTGCATGTATTTGGACAAAGTACTGTTTAAAAAACCCAAAACGACACGTCTGTGACTCCAGCTCTATAACTAGATGGGCAGTCTCTATATTTAAGTGGGGAATACGTATAATTAAAGCACAATGCCGCCTGATCGCGGTGAGTCCAACAAGGGACAAGTTTGTGGTGTCGACGGGGGAAATCAGTGCTGAACTCTAAATCAGAAGCTGCTCCGTCAGTGTTTTCATATCTACGACGGGTCTCTGTTGACCCTTTTGCGTCAGCATGAATCCAGCTACTCGTTTGGTGGGGCTTCTCCACCTGCACCCCAAGGTTTATGGATGGTTTGCGCTTAGGTGACTCAACAGATCCAAATGAAATGTTTCATTGTGACACTATGACATTTTTCTTTTTTTAAACAAATCACCCGTGAGGTGCAATCATTTCTTAACCCGTCCGTTCTCATCTCCAACAGGTTGTCGTGTCAACCAACATCGCGGAGACGTCGCTGACCATTGACGGCGTGGTGTTTGTAATTGATCCTGGATTTGCCAAGCAAAAGGTTAGCTTTCCCCTCCTCCCCACCAGCCACCCACCCCCTCCCCTATCTCCTGCGATCATCTCCGCCTGTTGCCGGAGAATCCCCAGATAACACGGCAGTGCACACCTGACAGCGGCGAGGATGGAGAAGCCAATTATTTATTCCTCTGACATTTCACCAGCCTGGAGCGGAGTCGTAGCCAGAGATTCTACATGTACTGTTGCATTGTGGTGGATAGTGTGTCTGCTTTATATATATGCAATAGATGAAGGGTGTTGGTGTGCCCCTTATTTGCTTTCTCTTTTTTTTTTTACCTCATGTAAAATCTGTTATTTGTTTTTACTCCTCTTTCCATTCAGGTGTATAATCCTCGTATCCGAGTGGAATCCCTTTTGGTGACGGCCATCAGCAAGGCCTCGGCCCAGCAGCGGGCCGGCCGCGCCGGACGCACACGCCCGGGAAAGTGTTTCCGCCTTTACACCGAGAAAGCTTACAAGACAGAAATGCAGGTAAGAAATAACGCAGCCTTGAAACCGAATGAAATTCTATGAGGCGTTTGATTCTCGGCGCTTTGTATTCCTCTAACGCCGCGGCCCCCCTTGCTGGGAAATATCTCTCATTTTGCAATATTTGCACTCCATGAATCCATGATTCCCAGTTCGGCTGAAATTATGAAGCCAAGCGCTCAGGGTTGAACCACACTGCCTCCACCCTTCTTCATAAAATATGCGAACGAAACCGCCACCTTGTGACAAATGAACCTGCGGAGGCCTATCTCTCCACTTTAACGGGCTAATTCTTTCACGTCACGCTGAGTGGCAAAGGGAATTTTTCAAACAAGTTAAATAGCCCTTCACATGGCCCAGACTCCCGGGCTCTGTTCAAGTTGACATATGAGCAACGCATGAGGAGATAATAAGCACACAGATTAATTCATAACAAGTTATTCGTCGGCTTTGTCTTACTCCCCTCTTAACCGGTATAGGACAACACATATCCAGAGATTCTGAGGTCCAATCTGGGCTCTGTGGTGCTGCAGCTGAAGAAACTGGGTATCGACGACCTGGTGCACTTTGACTTCATGGACCCACCAGGTTAGTGTGACTTATTTTTTACAGGGTTCTCGCGGACGTGGAACACCTGTAGACATCATTGAATTGGAAAATAACACCTTTAAGGCCATAGAAAGACCACATGAGGAATGTGAAGAACATTAACGTAATGTAATAATTTACACCAGTTGCTCCTCATCCAATAACATCACGCTCTTCATTTTGATCAGACATCTGAATCCAAAAGTGAGACTACAAACGGCTGTAAAAATCTTCATTTAGTTGAACTGTGGTTGTTTCATGTACAGTATGAAATCTGGGGTGGCCGTGTCACATGGGAGCTCGGGGGGAGACAAAGCACTGATAAAAGCGCTCTGGCAGATATCAAATACTGTGTGAATGTTGCATGAATGTGGTGCATATAAGCCAAAAAAACAACAGACAGTTATGGCGTTCTCCAACAGGAGTGGGTGCTCCCGCGGAGGCCACCACGCCTTTCCCCATCCCTGTCCTCACCCCTCCCTCCCCTTTTGTCACCATAATATAGTTTTCATCTCACCTCTGAGATTAAACCCATCTCTCCCCGTCCACCGTGGCAAACTGCATTTTGAGAGTGAAATTGGTTACATCAATAGCCGCACCATCACCGTGGCGATTGCCTTCCCTTTATATTCCTCCAGCAGAACGGGACTGCCCCCCCCACACACACACACACACTTTTCACAAAAAGCAGAAGTAAGCGCCAATACGCAGGGACTGTCTTCTCTGCTCTGAGTCTAAACTGGGAATTGTGGGGGTGAAGGGAAAGGGGAGTATTAACTTTAATTTATTTGATCCACTCGTGGCTGAAGGTTTCTGCTAACTAGCTCCCGAGCGCGCAGGAAGCCGGAGCCAGTTTGTGTGCAACAAATGACGTCTGCTTTCAGTCGCTAGATCGGTACACTGTGTCAACGGCCCACCTCACAGAAGCTTCTCTGGAGAGTCAACGATCACAGGATGACGCAATCGCATTACAGCTGTTTTGAGATGGTAGATAACCAGGATATGGTTGTATTGTTCTTGGTGTTTAAAGATCCAATCAGATGAAATCATGAATTTGATTTGATTTAGGCATCGTCTCCCTAATAATCAAACATGTCCGAACCCAAAAGCCGGTGGCCTTTTCCATTTCAGCTTGTCCGCATTCTGAACGGAAACCGCGGTTTTCCTTTTTACTGCGGGGCGCTAAAATGTTTATTTTCTGTCTTCGCCCACCTGGCTGCCCGCTCCCTAAACACAGGAGCGACGGCGCGAGCCAGCCAACCAAATAGAAAATCCAAAAGGAATCAGTGGACTTACAGAGACTTGTCTGGCTGGGATTCATTTGCCTCGTGACATTTCCAAAGTACCACCTTTCAAAGCCAGTGTGGTTTAATGTACCTTTTAGCCTTTCATCACATTGATTTGGCCCTTGGTTTATATATCAGATGCTTGTGTGTAGAGAGTCAATACTTACTTTCTGATGAGCGTGTGTGTGTGTGTGTGTGTTTCCTAGGTCTCCAACTTTAGGGGGGGGTAGTTGGGCGGCGAAAGGGCGACGGGAGGGAGGGGGGAGTGTGTAGTCTGCTAGTGCTTTTCAGTTCGATGTTGCGAGCGATCGTCCGCTCAGGGCGAAACTGCCGTGGTTGGGGTTGGAGGGGGACGGGGGACGGGGGGGGCAACAACACAAGCCATCGGTGTGGTACGAAATGTGGCCTACGCTCACTTTGTGTTTAAAAAAAAAAAAAAAAGTACCTTTGATGCCCCAAATCAATATTTCTTAATCATAAGAAAATGCCTGCCTGCTGTTTTAAATTGAATTTTTTGGAAGCACTTGAGAGAAATGAACGTGAACGAGCAGCGCAGCCGGCGCTCAAAGCTAATTTTCAGTTAACATGCAACTGGTCATTAGGCTTTAGCTCACGGGAGCCAAAGGTCAATAATTGCATCTGGAGGAAGAAATCTTTCTACCACACAGCGGAAGCCTTTGTGTTGAAGCATTAAGTAGAAAGTTCCCCTGTAATTGCATAAGTTGTTTTAGGATTGCCTGAGCGGAGGAAGAAAAATGAGCTCTGCCGCTACGCTGTGGTCATCGAACATGGGGAAACTTCTCATTGTGATGGACCCCCCTGCCACCAATTAGCTACCGTTCTACTCGCTCTGTCTTTTCTCAACTCACATCTGACATCTGTTTAAGGCCTGAGTAAAGCAGGTGTTTGGTCACCTTTTTCTTTTCTCCCGCTTCCTGTTAAGTCAAATGTGGTTGCTCGGGTTGCAAATCACTTCCCCTTTACGGAGCCAACAAGCAAGATTATATCTGATTCCAATTACAGCCAACAGTACATGACAGATCAAAAGAAATCAATTGCAATTATTGTGTTTTTATGTTTAACTGCTTAATTTAGGTTTGAAAATTGTATATTTAATATGTTAAGGACACAAACGGGAAATGAGACGTGTGTTTAAATACTGGACCAGCCAAATGTAAAACGGGTATTAAAGCGAAATGAAAACTCTTATACTGCTATATGTCAAATGCCATAATAGTCAAATTAATCTCACGGTGTAACTGAAGTCTAAACCCAAATGTATTTGATGGCCATCATCTCAATCAACCGGCCATTATAATAATCCCAGCCCGAGGGGACTTGATTCCATCTGACCAACAGTCTCATGGCATGCATGATTTTGAAAAAGGTTTCTTCCGAAATTTTGGCGTGACGATAAAATCAGTTAATATTTCCGCGGCCAGAGATCTCCGTTCATGGCCCCGCCTCTCTCATTGTGTTGTGCACCAGCCCCAGAGACCCTGATGAGAGCCCTGGAGCTGCTGAACTACCTGGCGGCGCTCAACGACGACGGCGACCTGACGGAGCTGGGCTCCATGATGGCGGAGTTCCCTCTGGACCCCCAGCTGGCCAAGATGGTCATCGCCAGCTGTGAATTCAACTGTTCAAACGAGATCCTCTCAATCACTGCCATGTTGTCAGGTAATGCTCAGGGCTGGCTAAGTGTGTGGGGTCTGAGCTGCCACTCTTTCCCCTTTGCTGTGCTCGCGGGCCGCGCTGCAGAAATGGCCGGTGAGCTTCGAGGAAGTGCGCGGAGCGGCTTCTGCCAAGTCCCTTTTTGATGTATTTGCATTCTGTGACCCCGTCGTTTTGTTTTTTCGATTTGCCCTCGTCATCAAATTCCACTTGGAAACAACTTTAACTGTATGAACAACAGATGAAACTACCCCAAATAAATCCACCTATTGAACCCCACTATAAAGCAAGTGGGGGGGGGGACAAAGTCAGTGGCGTCAGCTATAACTTGCGCGGAGGGCAGGGTACATGTCTTATCAAAATGTATAGGTGTAGCTGGAGCAGCACCAGCATGCTGCAGCAGTAATTGCACTTTAGGCTTGCCAAAGCAGAATGCTGCTCATTGAGATGAATCTTGACGCCTTTGAAGGGAGTGCGAGGGTCTCTCAGAGTGGGGAAATGGATTTAACTAGCTCTTTGGACGTGACCGCGAGGCTCAATAAACACAGGCATAGCCCATTAAAGCCACAATTAAGCAGTTTCTACAGGAGGCAATCCAGAGGAAGCTCACAGAGGGTCGACGGCACAGCCCGAGTCCTCTGCATGACCCCTCGGCCAGCGGTTTCTCCAGCTTCACTACAGCTTCCGTAGAATGGCCGTCACCCGGGTCGCCACGGCTCGTTTACCGCCCCACTGTAGTGCGCCAGGGCAGACCACCCCCACGCCTCCCCCTGAACCCGCATCTTCTGTTCCATCGCAATACACTGTCACGTGCTCTGTGCCTCTCTTGAGCAGAGGCCTTGTTCCTGTCTGTGGGATTGGCTTAACTTATCCCTATGGGCGGCTGTGTTGGGGCCTATACCAACCTTGTTTAGTCCCACAGTGCTTCGTCCGACCCACGGAGGCTAAGAAGGTGGCCGACGAGTCCAAGATGCGCTTCGCCCACATCGACGGGGACCACATGACGCTGCTCAACGTCTACCACGCCTTCAAGCAAAGTGAGTGGCGCGCCGGGGGGGGGAGACGCACAACGCACAGCGGCCAGGGTTCGGCACATCACCCTAACTCGCTCTCGTCTCGTCCCTGCAGACCACGACTCCACTCAGTGGTGCTACGAGAACTTTGTCAACTACCGCTCGCTGATGTCTGCAGACAACGTTCGGCAGCAGCTGTCCAGGATCATGGACCGCTTCAGCCTGCCGCGGCGCAGCACCGAGTTCAACAGCAGAGACTACTACACCAACATCCGGCGGGCGCTGGTCACGGGCTTCTTCATGCAGGTCGGTCACCGCCGTGAGGCCCCCACGAAGCGTTGTTGTACTCGTAGTAGTCTGTGTCTGTTTTCCACTCGCTAAGCGTACCGGTCTTCTTCTACCGTCTGTCGATGCATCATCAGGCTTCGATCTATACAATTTGTTGCTGTTTGTGCAGAGGCAGTCGTTACATCCGGCTGCAGCGGCACTCTAACGCAAAGTTGTCCCTCGTTTAGCTTGATCATTTGTAAAATAAGTCAAAGTTACGACTAACAAAAGTCTTTAAGAAGATGTTAATTGTAATGGATAGCAGCCGTTGTGTACACAAACCCCTACACACACACACTCAGCGCACACACCGCTGCTCTGCTTTAAACACACAAACAGAAATCAAGTCGATTTGCGCCTCGTGTAAGGAAACAAATGTCATTTTGCAAAATGCCATTTTCTGGGCCACCTGAAAACAAGCAACCTGTCAAGTTGAATTATGGCGTTAATATTTTAATGTTTGTCAACATTAACCTTTATCTTGGAGACAAATTTGCGGTTCATGTTGTAGCTTTTTGCGGCATGCGTGAGACCATGTCTTTGTTGGGAACAGCCTTCATTAAGAGCGATTGCCTCGACTAATCACAACAGCCGCCGCGGCTCCAACGAAGGGAAATCACTCACCGCCCGCTTACTAACAAGTTTGCTGTTGTATCAAAAATCTGAACAGACTAATCCCGATTTTGATGTGTGTGCATAGTTAACCTGCAGTATTTCTCTGTGATTTGGATCTGTTGACGCTCTCCTCTCCCCGTGGTGCGGACAGATCGCTCACCTGGAACGCACCGGCCATTACCTGACCGCCAAAGACAACCAGGTGGTTCAGCTGCACCCCTCCACCGTGCTGGACCACAAGCCCGAGTGGGTCCTCTACAACGAGTTTGTGCTCACAACCAAGAATTACATCCGCACGTGCACCGACATCAAACCAGAGTGGTAAGTTTCTGCTGCAAAGGTGACCAAAATAAATAGAACATGCAATTGCTTAATGTGGTTGAAGCGCTTTTAATTTTGCACTCACTGTCATGATTTGATTTTGTTGGCTTGACCCGGATAAATGAATAAGGAATACTAAAAACAAATGTCGTTTTAATTGTTTGTAATTTGTGCCCTGGATTTCTGCACACTATCACTCCATGTGTATTTATTGAATGTGTTATTATTTTAATAGCTTCTAAAAGATCATTTTTCTTTTGAAATGCATCCGTACCTCTAGTAAGCATGTTGGGGGAGGACATTTTGTAGAAAAAAAACCCTTTTAATCTTCTAAAATTGGATAAAATTCCACAGTGTGGTCAACAAATATCCTAATGGGCAGCACAGCGTGAGACTCGTCAGCATCCACACCGACTGGCCTCCGTCCTCTTTCACACGCATTAGCGAAAGCATTCTGGAATTAATGTTCCATCTTCAATAAATGGGAGGGATGACGATATGTCAACAAATGTTTATTAATTAGTTAATTAAAGCTGAAAGTTTGGTCCTCTGGTACGTTTCGCTTGTAGAGTGCCCGCAGTACAGAGCCAACACACTTTTTATGAGTTTTACCTTTGGTCTAATAATAATAAAAACAAAGGGCTCACCGGTGTACGCCTGTTTGCACACACGTGTCCCCTGTGTGACCGTTTGACAATTAAGTATCAAATATGAGCATTTGCTTGGCGGGCGGCGTGTGAATCTGCAACGGATCGCGTTCTCCCGCGAGTCAACGCTGAAGACAATGTGACTAATGTTTACTCGCTCTTTCTCTCAGGCTGGTGAAAGTGGCCCCGCAGTACTACGAGATGGGCAACTTCCCCCAGTGCGAAGCAAAGAGACAGTTGGAGCGCATCATCGCAAAACTCTCATCGAAGGAATTCACTCAGTACTAACGGGGGGACGTCCTCCGTGTGCGTACAAAGTAAAACCAGAACTTATTTTTTAATTCCACCGACAACCCAATTTGGAATTCTATTTTCGTCGTGCCGTTGTTGTGACGTATTCCACCGTGACCGATGAAATGTGTCCCCTTGATGGCTGCCACGTGCCGTTTCTCTGGAGCCCCGGGGGTGAAGCACCACCAGAAGTGGACTGCGAATGGCCGGTCGTCGGGAACGTGATTATTATTTCTGTTCAAAGCATGATGTGTCATGTACATTTTTAGTGTTCCGCTTAAGGACATCCATACTCTCAAGTCCCAGCTCAGGATTCTTTGCTGTTTTCCTGCTTCTACTGCTGAAACGACCCCACGTTTTGATCGAATATAATTTATACTGTTATGATGTGGGGATAATGGATTGTGGTCTTGTCGTGGATTTACGAAGAGGGGCTCTTTGGTCGTACTTCCTGTCGCTATTCAGCTTAATAAAAATGACTTTGTAATAATAAAAAAATTCCCCATGTCAGTGTTTAAATAACCACATAATCTGTGCCCTGTGCCTCTGTAACCTTTCACTTAACCCTCACACACCGACACACACGAACCCCGACCAAATCCGGCTTGTTTCCGGTAAATCTTCCTACTGGGATATTGATCGCTTCAGAAACCGTTGGAGTGAGGGGGATGTTCATTACAAATGTTTGGGAAGAAGGTCCTGGTGAACTCCCCGCTGCGCCGAAGCCCGTTCCCGGCCGCGCTGCTTTGTGTCCGGGAGAAGCAACCGAGGACACCACCGGAATATAACGGCCATGGACAACTTGAATATGTGTCTAGTTTTCCTTCAGTGCGCCTCAGGGTTGAACTTTAAATGTAGCGTCCAACTCCAAACTTTCACAAAGTCCTTAGCAAAGAGGAAAGTCGGATGAGCTCTGACAGACTTTCTTGGGAGGCTTTCACCTCTCATTCCGTGGGTCAACAACATAAACAAGGCGAGCTGCCTGTGAGCGCCGGAGCGTCCGACTAACCGGACTCGTGAGAGGCCTGTGAAGGGTGTTTTTTCTTTTTTAAGGGGGAGGAGGTGGGCAGTCCCTGAGCTGAGGAGAGGTAGCACTTTAGAAACATTCTGGTCTTACAGAACTACTCCTGAAGACTGTTTATTGCTACTTGGCAGCTGCCAGTTAATAGTTTGTTTTTTTTACCGACAGCTCCACTTAGCAGCTGGAACCTGCTTTAAAGGAGCATGTCCACAGGTAATAGCTCTTTTCAGTCTGAAGCAATTTGCCACTCCATGTGGCTGCAGGCGGCCTTTGTATAGTCCGAGAAAATAACTTGTGACACCGGCCAGGAATTTTAGCTCCGCATTGGAGACTTGGTATAATAATATAATATTAAATAAATGTTGCATTACAATTTGGAGGTGCGGTGCTTTTAAAAAAAAAAACTAAATTTTTTGCTTTAAAGTATAGTGCAGAATTCTAGACCTGGTACGAGGGCTGCATCTAACAATTTCTTTGCGATTCATGAATATGCCAGTGGCCTTTTGATTAACCAACTCCTATAAAGTCTTTTTGTGGCACCAGAGCTGCTAAAATTCTGACTAACTGCCCCAAGATACTGATTGATTTGAATATATTAAGTTAAGGTCGACGACTTAAACTTAAAAAATCGTTTTGAAAGCGTGTGGATTTAAATCAAACCATTGGTGGCCGGATTACATTGTGGGTAATGTACCAAAACTTGACAATTAAAGAGCACCGGAATAATAAACACAATACCTGTTCTGCTCGACTAATAGTGAGTAAGAACATTTAAAAAAAAAAAGGTTTTGATTAAAAAAAAGTCAATTTTCAGTGGATTCCATAAACGGCTTATCATTTCAGTGATGTAATCGTGACATGAATGGACACAAAAGTGCAATAATCATTAATCAACTTAGTCTGAGCTCTACTTTAAATGTAAATCAGGATCCACATTTTGCTCTCCCACATTTCATCCATCAGATTTTTGTTCCGTTCAGGTAGCCTTTATGATGGCGTAACCTTGCCTTCCTCTGTTCTGGCTCTCAACTTGACACCAATTTTAAGGGAACGTACATAACACAGACCCGAGGACACAGACAGAAGTGTGCTCATAAGTGTTTTCCACAATCTCTGTAGTGTCTGCATGCATGCAGGCAGGCCGAGATGCCAGACCTGCTAAGGGAGTCTTACAACAAGCCTGCAGATTGTGTAATATGCTAACTCAGGACACATTTGCATGTGCGCTTTACCATTTTTTGGACTGTTTGGAGACAAGTCTTTTTTTAAGTGGAAGGCCTTTTTGCTCGGGAATGCACACAGAACCATGAAATGGTGCCGGAGCGATTAGTCTCCCTCCAAAGTGAAGCCGATAGAAAACCCATTAGTCTGAGCTGATGTGGAAATTATATGGAATTGATCCTGAGGTAAGAACAGTTTTTCTTGCTCAATACTTCCCATTGATTCACACCGCCATGATTACAAATGAAAGGCATAATGTCTCCCAAGTTGTATTTAGTTAGCGCCTGATACAACGCGACCTACGCGTGCAGCCCTTCCTCTCATGCCCACTCGTACGGTCCGTCTGAAGTAACCTCTGACCTCTGACAAGGGAATACTTGGATATTAAAGACTGAATCCCAACACAGTTGCCCTGACTTCAGTTTCGCTGTTCAGGCTGAAAAGTTACTCGAGGTCAGAGACCTACTGTACATTTCCCTGGCACAGCTGTGCACAGCTGCCCCCATCCCCGATGTTCGAGGCCGCTTTATGTGTCTCTGTGACGGTAACTCAACAAAAAGTAGCCAACACAAACAAACACCAGACAGGTATTGTTCAGCTTGTTTCCGAAAGGAGTATGAATCACCGGCGTGCTGCACCTCAATCTCCTGCCACCCACAGAGTCCAGTACGGGGCCTCATCATCATTTGAGACCGTGGGTAGGAGAGTTTATTGCAGAACACCTCAGCGTTTCAGGAAATCCATCGCCCCCGGCCCGGTCCTCCTCCTCCCATCCCACGCTGATCCTTTCACCCGCCGACGCAACCACCAATCGGGGGGCCCAGACAGGTGTCTTATCTCCATCACACAGCACAAGCACAGCCAATCTTCCGGGAAGATGGCGACTGGAATGTGACAAATCCATCTGTCCCGGTTTGAATTTGTATGCTAATTTGAAGTAATAGCCCCTCTGGTGACAGTGCAGGGGAACAATTCAATCACGCCATCTATGACAGTTGCTTTCCAGCCTTCCCTGTGATACGGGAGTATATGCACGTACCGCCGGGTTAGGCTTGATAAATTGGTTATGTAGGGGAGATGTGGCATGTAGACTGCATGTTTAAGATGGGCTGCCAGTTTGGAATGAATCGCGCTGCCACTGAAGGCACCTGTGCAGAATGTGCAGCCCCGACCTGCCAGCGGAGGGGAAACAACATTTGATTTGACCTCATTTATTTACCCCTCAGACGCCCGTCCGGAACTTTCGCCCAAATCCCCCCCCCCGTCCCCATCGCCGCAGCTTTCACGAGCTACGTGTGAACCGTAGAAATATCCCCACATGAAAATCACACTGGCACAATTGTTACATTGTCACACTGAATTATCTCAGGCTGCTGATTTGATTCCTGTGAGAAGCTTTCACGTGTCACTGGGCAGACGGGGGACCCGACCGGAGAAGGCTCACAGGCGATGGCACAGACACATGGGGGGGGGCCTGGCTGGGCTGTGCCACACGTTCAGATGGAAGCCAGCTATACGATCTCCCTTATGCCTTGGCACTCGCCCACGTCGTGCAAATGCACGACGCTCCATAATCTTTAAATTAATCCACGGGACAGATTACGGACGATAAAGCGAAAGAAAAGACTATGCTATTCATATTGCTTGCATCATTCTTTATCATCTCCTCCTCCTCCAGATTTCAAAGCGCTGACTTGGTTTTTGACCCCCCTCCTCCCCCAAATATGTATTTTCATTCAGATATTTTCACAGGAAAAAATGCATTCTTTATTCCTTCTCAAAGGCCGAGCAACATAATGTGTTAATGCCACAATTTATGAAGTAGTTTACACTGCTAACAAGGCTGGTGAGATTTAAGAAGACGGAACGCGTAGGCCGCGTTATGGTCAATCGCCACGGGGGGACGTCCACTGTCATTCTGTCTCTCACATCTGCAATGAATTCTTGACAATTTCTCCCCAGGAAAAAAAAAAAGAGATAAAAAAACGCACAGCGCTGTGTCAATTGACCGCACTTCAAACGGGTGCAGATCACGCGTGGCAAACACGTCTGATCAAACGAGGAAAAAGGCTGATGAACAAAAGGCCCCGTCTCGCTGCGCGGGTCTGGCGTCACAATAAATGTGTGTGCTGAGAGACAGCTCTCCAAACGAGCTCCACCAGCAGCCCGCCGTGTACAGCGTGCAGGGAGCTGAAAGGGTTTTCTCCGCTCGGGCACGGCTGCACGTGGATAACAAATTCTGTTGTCCAATATCCAGCTGCTTTCGGGTTGTGTTTTCCACAACGCTTAACATTTGCTCTAATGGTTGACGCACTGTACTTAATTGGCAGGGTTTTTTTTCTTCTCTAAAGCCTCGCCAATATTATTCAATTTTAATAAGGCAGGGTTTCTCGTTTTAATTCATGGTAATGAGCTTGAATAAAACTCCGGCCTCGTGGTCCGTCACAGTCTATTGCACTGATAAAACCTTTTGGAACGCAAGCCGATACATTGAAGCTAACACTAAAGGGGCAGTAGAATGTTGCAGAAAAAAAATGAATTTATGGGTTCCATAGACGAGGAAAGACACTGTCCAAAGCGACCTACAATAAGTGCATTTCAACCATAGGGATACAAACTCAAAAGAACAAGAAACAACAAGTACAATTTAAGTGCTACAATTTGTTAGTGGTTTCAGTTAAAGTCTGAAGAGGTGCGTCTGTGAAGACGTGAAGGCCCTCTGCGGTCCTGGTGTCACCAGAGAGCTTGTTTAGGAACCAGGACAGCAGATAGTCGTCATCTCTTCGAGGGTTTCGCTCTGAGCGAGGGAGGAACAAGCAGTTTTTTGGAAGATGCAGAGCGATGAGTGCGGGTCGGAATGTATGGCTGAAAGTTCTGCTATGTCTGTCCTTCCGTGTTGGTTGACCACGCAGTCGGAAGTGAAGTTGGCTACACTCTATTACACTGTTATTATATAATTGTATGTTTAGGGAGCAGTCATCCCAAATTAAAAGGCTGAAGACTGACACAAAGGACTCAAAGTCACACTCTGAAAAGTTCTGACAAAGGGACAAATGTAGCATGTGCAGGACTTGTTGCTAGACATCCCACAATGCACCACTGTACATTTCACCATTTTGCCACATTCGGTTCAGCAGCAGGTCAGCGAGCATGCAGAACAGCAGCCAACCTAATCAGCTAAAACTTTTTTTTAAATGTCAAGCTCTCGAGTGAAGCAGGGAATAGTGAGCGAGTCCAATAAGGACTTTAGACAGCTGTTTTTTTTGATGGCAGCCATTGGAGCTAACTGAATTCTGCTGGAGCACCAGGTGAATTTAATTAACAAAAGTAACCTGGCTAGCGACAACTGCAGCACAATATAACAGCTACAATTGATATGACTGCGATTCTCTCTCTCGAAGCACGAGGTGACACCTGCCGGCGGTCCGCGGGCTCCTTTGGGGAAACAGTGGCTTCCAAAGCTTTTTTTGGTGGGGGGTGGACACGTGACATAGGAAGCAGCCGCCTGCGCCACCGCCGCTGTTGGTTTGACAGCTTCCACGGCGCCGGACGGAGGAGCGAGGCAGGGTGGGAGGTGTGTGTGTGCGCGCGCGTGCATGTGTGAGTGAGTGAGAGCGAGTGTGTGTGTGTGTGTGTGTGTGTGTGCGCGCGGCTTTGTGCGCGCGCAGAGCGAGGCGGCGAGAGAGAGAGAGAGAGAGAGAGAGAGAAGACACTCGTCGAGAGGAAGACGAAGCGAAGACAACGTCCTTCGTTCGCCGCCCGACAACTCCGCGCAGACTGCCCCCCCCCCCTCACCCACCACCACCGAGAGCCGGCTGGCGCACATCATGGACGGTTATGGCCGGACCGAAGATGAGCTGTTCTCTTCGTGCCTCCTGAACCTCACCTGGGAGAATTGCTACGAGCAGGTAGGACACGACTCCCCCCCCCTCTCCTCCCCCAGCGAGTGAGTCAGCTCACGAGGCGGGGAGAGCAGGTAGCAACTTCACTAAAACTTAATTTCTTCTCTCGCTTAATTGAGGAGCCGCGAGAGGGTCTCGAACCCGCTCTTCCCATTCCATGTGTTTTAATTCCTATGAAACGTCTCAGCTACTTTTTTTCCGGAAGGTTTGCCCTGCCCAACTTCCGCAGCCCTTCCAAAACATCCTGCACCTTGAAATCCATAGTGCATTAACCGAGTAGACAAAATAAATGTCATGCCAGGAATTCTATAAATAAATTAAGAGGGTAAACGCAAACTTAGCATTGGCTTTTTTGAAGTGACCAGTCGGTATCGACTGACCAGCTCTCTCCATCTGCCTAGGTACCCAGGTAGGTGCTGAAATCAGAAGAGAATAACCTGAGAAGGGCCTGTTCTGGTTCATGGTGTCTGTTTGGAGATAATTACCTAATTCTTCCCGCTTCCCTCAAGCTTAATCAGTCCTGCCTTTTTAAAATTACACTTATCGCGCTGTATGAAATCCCTCTTCATTCTCACGTTGTAATTTGTATTTGTAAAAGTCATCTGCCACAATAATGCCAATGAAATCCCAGCTATTTAGCAATGTATGCTCAATGATTGATGCCATACTATTTGTACAGGAATTTGTATGGTAATTTACCCGTGTGTGTGTGTGTGTGTGTGTGTGTGTGTGTATATATATATATATATATATATATATATGAAGAAGACTTTCAAACAATACATCTCACGTGGTTTTGCAGGCCGCCATTTGAATACAAGTAATCACAAAATAAAGAGGATTAAGCTCTTGAATTCTGAGCTTGCTCGTGATTGGCTGTGCTAACAGTCATATTGTAACCATTATTTAGGCATAGAAAGCAAAAAACCCTCAATCAGAAGTCATTATGAGCAGCTATTTAAAACGCGCAACAACTACGCCACAGCACTTTCCGCTGATTTTGTCAAATCAATTGGGGGGCATTACGGCACTTAAATCTACAATGACAGCACATATTTTAGCTGCCTGTTTCTTTTGTTTAAGTTAAAGATCATACGCTTCTCTGTTTATAAACCACTGTAAATTAAATATCCCATCGGGTTGCACCGTTGGTCGGACAGAAGAATGAAAAATATTCGTCCAATTTGCCAAAACAATTAAAATAAAAACCGCTCACAGTTGTTCCAGGAAACTGTGACGACCATATTAAAGTTTTTCTCAAACATTTCATAGACAAAATGAGTAATTGATAATGGATATTCAATAACTAAACCTGCTCTCCGTGAAAGCGTTGCATTTGATCTCCCAAAAACTGTTTGGTACATTCTGCTCACACGTTAATAATCCGTCCCTTTTAAAAATAAATAAAAATGAAGCAGGTCATCGGCCTGGCCAGCGTGTGTTAGCCATGCGCATATCCTCACTTTCCCTCCCAGAGTCCTACAGCGGGCGGGTAAATAAATAAATAAGTAAAGGGAAACGTTGACACAGCCTGTCCTTGTGGCCAGATTATCCACTCATGCTTGAGCACTGGGTAAAGTCCCTGCATTATTCAGCCAAAGACACAGAGATGGGGGGGAAAAACTGTGGAAAAGCTTGGCTTTGCCGCAGGAGTGTGTGTGTGTGGTTTGTGTGTGGTAAGCGCCTCCACCTTTGAAAGTGCAGACATGGGGATAGGTGAAACGCACGACGCCTTTGTTAATTATCAAATGAAACCATCGCCGACCACCTCGTTCCACCCCGCCCTGCATCTCGCACACTCGCTCTCCACCTCGCCAGGCTTCTTGGGGGCCGCTGTCCATGGTGCTGAAAGTTTCACCACACATTTCGTGTGTGTGTCTTTTCCAGGACTCCCAGCTCCGATCCCTGCTCTTCAAAAGCAATGTATTCAGTTTGTCTCGACAAAGCGTGCCGGCACTTGGCAGCGCAGCTCAAAAGGGTGAAGCCTATCATTCAAAATGTTTCAAAAAGCTGCAGGTAACACTGCGTGCTCTCAGCAGCAGTGAGGACTAATGCATTTTTTTTTTCTTCATGTGTCTGCTTGTGCCTACGGCATGTTTCATCACAGCAAGGCTTGCGTTACGTTGCTACTCACTCGGTGGCTCGGTTGAATGAAAGCTCCTTTTGTACGCGCTCTCATGTACAGTATTTGATCCGTGCAAGTCGCTTCTTTTCCACTGTAATGAGTCAGTAGCCTGAATGGGTTTAGTGGAGGCCCGTACACACGGCGGCAGGAAAAGGATATCGTGCATTTAAATACGGTAGCTCTTTTGGAGCTTGAGGCTTTCAGGTCACAGATTCGGCAGGAAGGTGGATTCTGCTGCTGTGTATAAGGTGCCAAGATGAAATGCTATTAAGTGGCTCATTTTTGTTTCTAGCACACGTGGTAGCAGAGACAAGGAACGGTGTTGGTCCTCCAACCTGTCAATTCCTGATGAGCATTTGACTGGAAGAAAACTCAAAAAGCCTCATTACCTGTTCCAGAAAGTCACTTACTTTTAATCAGGATTGGAGTCCATTATGTGCTTCGTGTACTTAGAACTCCTCCGAGTGCCCCTAAAGGAGTATATCTAATTTTCCATGTTGGCACATCATTATTATTTATTCTTTTTGATCAACAAATGTGTGTGTGCCTGCTGAACACCTTGCTTTTGATAGCCGCCCACAGGAGCAGCGCCTGTCGGCAGTTTAATGAGAAGTGTGTTGTTCCCTTGCAACATATTGCCAAGCTATGGATGGGTAATTATCTAATCAAGACTTTATGGAAGTGCCGCCACTTACTCACCGCTGACCTGCTAACCGTCTGCCAGTTTTTGCTGCAAGATGCTCATGTACGTTAAGTTGATCGTGTAGCTGAATTTGGCCAATTGTTGCAGTGTAGGACATTGTTTGAAGGTTAACATGGATTCTGTTAAAGAATCTTGTTAAAAAAGAGAATAAATGAGGATAAAAATGACAATATCAACATGGCACTAACCGTTAATGTACATGCCAAGATTTTAAAATACGGTTGTTGGTTACCACGTCATAAACCCAAAGCTTACTTCATCCAGATGGAGCTGTAAACCAGCAGAGGGAGCAACACGCTTTGATTCCCAGTCAAACTGACTTATTTGAAAGGTTTTCAGCAGGAGAACCTTTTGGGCGAAACCACTGGCCCAATCGTTCTGTATATTAGTTAAGAGGGAAGAAAAAATAATGTTGTTTGGTGCCAAGGAATATCTTTCAGCTTCATCTTGAGTCTCATTAGGTTAGGTGCTTGTTTCCCCAGCAACTCATTGATAGCGGCAGTAACTTCTTCAAACAAAGGATAATAATATCACCTAATGCTGAAAGTCACTTTACAGAACATTTTAAAATATCCCAAAAGCTAAGCAAAAAATAAATAAATCCAAGATAAAATCGAGAACAAAACAGAACACACAGTCATACATTAAAAGCAGTTCTGAAGAGGTGGGTTTTGATTTGAATGCAGATGTATTCCTCTTATCAAACTTCTTCACAGCATTGTATTTTATGTAATCCAGATTAGAGAAATGATCTGAACTCATCTGCCGCTCGCTATCAGTAACGGATCAATCGCAGCATCTTCAGTGCCATCTGAATTCACGTCGGGGGGGGGGTCGGGGGTAGTTTCGCCAGACTATGTTCTTTGATTATGTGTGGGAAAATGTCTTCCTCACCATTGACAATCTGTTGATCCCTTGCGAAATCTGAGATGAAAGGAAATGCAGCCTAGGCTGTGAAAAATCCTCGCCTCCTCACCGGGAGGTAAAAGTACTTTCACAAACATTGAATTGTCCATCTGAAGTGTTATCAATTCCACCTGAAACGGGACGGGCCCCGTGGCACAGCTGAACCCCCCACCCCACACCCCCCCCCCGTGCTTTTGATCGCGCCAGCAGTGCCTATAGACAAGTATTTTCCCACCTCCCCTCTCTGTCTGGCTCCCCTGTCCCTCCGCTCTCTCTCCGTCTTGCTCCCCCACCAAGGGGGCTGGAGGGAGGGGGGGGGGGCTTCTTGATTATCTCCGCCGTGGGATAATTTGCTTTTTTTAAACTCTGCACAGACGTGCTCCTGCCGCGCCCGGAGCCCGCCGCACGTGCCCAGATGGACCCCCGCCAGGAGAAAAACAAACCCCACCACGCTTCCATCTCCCCACCTTCTCTCAATTACTGACCTTCATCCTTTCATTTCGCCTTGGATGTTATCACCGGCATTATCGGGGTATTTACTTTGTTTGTTTAGCTACTTACTTGGCGCGCTGCAGAACTCTTGGATAGATTTAAAAGGAAATTGGAGCCGGTAGATTTGTTTTAATTACTTTGTAACTACGGTGGATGAGATGAGTGTGCGTTGTCACGTGGTTGTGCGGGCGCGTGTGAGGCAGAATTGTTGCAGATGCAGTTGTGCGCATCACACTTGCCTTTTTTAGAACTGTCCTTATTTCATGATTAAATATAATTTGGCCTTGAGTTGTGCTGGCCAAGCAATTTCAGTCACGCCTTTTCTTCTCAACACTGAGTGCTCTTCAGCCTCTGTCACATCACTAAAGAGGTTCCAGTCCCCCCCCCCCCCCCCCGCCCCCCACACCCCTAGACTGTCATATTGCAATGGCCCGCTTCCTTCAGACCTTGGCCTTTGCCCCCCCCCCGTTCCCCTCTCTTTCTTCTCCTGGACATCCTGAAAGCACATCCAGGGGCAATCTCAATGATTAATGTACTGCACACATGCAGACCACCTACAGTACCTTCACGCTCTGGACTGGACTATGACTGAATTTAATTGCTACAGGAGGAAAGAAAAAGTTTAGATCTCTTTTTTTAATTTTCCTGTGGATGAGGCTGAGTTAAAAATGTAGAAATGAGAAATCTTTCTTAGCCTAGAGTTGTTGGCAGAAAAGTGTTGGAAATAGAACCTTTTTAGTCTCTGGCGGGAGTTTCATAACCCATAACTCAGACTTTTTG